ACCATCAGAGCCGCGGGTGGTCGTGGCCGATGCCCGTGCCTGTGCGGTCGTCCTGCGAGCGATGGAAAGTACCTCCCTGACAGCGCCTTGGATACAGTGGCGACAGGTATCGGATATCTGGCTCGTGGCTTGTGGCTGAGGACGGTTGTCCCCCCAAGTGGGGTCTGGTCCGTCTCAAAGTCGTCACCTCGCCAGTTTCATGAGTCGTCGACCGGGTTAGCCTGATGCCCTGCTCCTCCTGTGCTATCGTTCTGCCGGGCTTGCTGGCCGGCCACGAACTTGCCCTATCGGTTTGCGTGCCCTGCGACAAACCGTTTTTTGACTCACCTGCAACCGCGACAGGTCAGCCACGGTGCCTTGTTTGCGTCTCAAGTCGGACATTGCCTCTCTGCAAGTTGCAACCATGGGCATGACCATGTACTCCGTACATGCAGCGCATTGCGCTTGGTTGTCGTCGCGCGCGACGCAGCACTAGGTCGGGAATAGCCTGGCCATTCGCCCGGCAAGCGATGAGCGCGAACCGGAATCGTGTCAGCCGCGTCAAGGGCACCTACCAGCGTTCTGTCACGTCGTGCGCGTGTCCGAAGTTGACGTGACTGGGGAGGAGGCAATCAACTCATGATCAGCGGGCCCCAAAGGGGATACCAGGAAACGCGATCCTTCATCAAACGGCAAACCAGGGTACATCCACGCAACCCATGCAAGGGGCTGATGCGCGTCGCCGGGTGCCAGCATTCGTCCTGGGCGTTTCTGTTGTCGCCCTCCTCGGCTGTTTGTCCATCTCCCGGACCGTGTTGCTGGAGTGTTGTAGTCCGAGACAGAGGGGGCCAAGCCCGCATTATAAGCTGTCAATCGTCGTGAGCCACGCCGTTATGGACCGGGATTGTGACCCAACTTTCCGCCCCGACCCGGGTGCGATCTTGTGCGAATACCGAGCGGTATACATGCCGTCAAAGACAGACCTAGGCGTCGTGTCGCTCATAAGAGCAAACAACCACGGGAATACGTCGCACGTAGATGTCGTGGCTCCACCGCATTGACTGCCGATGGGATGAGCAATTACTCACCAGGCCTGCTCCCATGATACCGGATCCCCATACATGGCAATCAGGACGAGGTTCCAGATCGCATGCCGAATTGCCGTGGCGCGACGAGACAGACTCACGACGAGATCGTCTACCCGGGAGTCGGCACGCGATATACTCTTTTCTGCGCTGTCTTTGCAACGCCGCGACGTAGCATCGTTACGCGGCCACTGTCCAAGCGCAAAGGCTTCTGTCGCATAATTGCGGCTGCGACTGCGGCGCGGGACCCCAGATCAGCGCGCTCGGAGGGCCACGGACGATGTCCGCCTGCCATCCCGGCGCCGTGGTCCCGAGACGCCCTGCCGCGCGCCCGGAGATGCGGCTTCCGCCACTGCCGGAAGGGGCAAGGACACGGCCTGCACGCGGCGCCTACAGAGTGCTACCGTGACTAGCACGGCAACGCTGTGACACAAACCAAACTCCCCGAAACAAGCTCGCGATTTGCCATTTTTTTTTGTTGCACCGGCCAGAGCTGCCATGTAATGCTGCTGGTTTTCAATAGGCAGGCGCTGGTCTTGGAGGCGACTCGAGGCTCCGCGCCCTTGCGGCGGCGTCTGCTAACTTACTCGGGGCCCGCGGGCCTCGACGGTCCGGCCGGCTACCACCGTATCATCGCCAGTATGAGTCGATCGTAAGATCTCCTGTGGCCTTGGGCCGATTTATTTGCATGGCAGCAAACCATTATCTACATCGTAAATCTTCCTTACAACGTCTTTGCTCACTGTCAAGTGCGCCGACCAAACAGTTGCCCGCGATGGGTAGTGAGCAGTCACATCTAGACAACTATTTTTTATTACCACGTTTACACTCTTGCCAAGGTCGCTTAACTACCGAGTCCCACCCCGAAGTGCCGTGAAGCAGGCAAAACACCATGGCACACAGTATCTGGGCCAAGTTGACCAGGCAGGGCCAACGCCCTGTCCTGTTGGATGTCCGGTCGTCAACGTTCCTGATCGTATTTACCGTGGCAATGGCAATTTTTACTGTGAGTAGATTATAGCTATCGTTGCTGTCGTTTCCGATGGTCTAATGACCTATGTTAGGATCTCTTTCCCTACGCCGTCATCGTGCCCGTGCTTCCCTATGCACTCCCAGAGCGCACAGGCGTCCCAGGAGATCAAGGTAGGCATCCAGCCCTCTGACAAGAATCTACCGGGATTGACATGGGATTAGTGCAGCGGTGGATGTCTGTATCGCTGGCGGCATTCGGCGCCTCCGTTTTGGTATTCTCGCGTAAGTTGCTGACCCTAACGCTGGGTCCGTCCGCTCGGGCTAATCAAACTGCGTAGCAATATGGGGGTTCCTCGCCGACAGGATATCAAGTCGACAAGCGCCGATGCTTGCAGGCCTCTTCCTCCTCGGAGCGTCAACCCTACTACTCACACTGATGAACAGCGTCGCCATGATGGTGGTCGGCCGTGTCCTGCAGGGCATGACGGGCGCCTTGACCTGGGCTGTCGGCTTGGCCCTCGTCGTCGACACGGTCGACCCCAAACACATCGGCCAGGCGATGGGTTGGATAGGGACATCGATGAGTTGGGCTGCCCTTTCGGCGCCGTTACTAGGAGGAGTCGTGTATGGAAAAGGCGGCTGGTACCAGGTGTGGGCCATGTGCTACGCCCTCATCGCCGGCGACATCGTATTGCGGCTCGTCATCATCGAGAAGAAGCGCGCCAAGAAGTGGCAAACGGTCGAATGCAAGCCGGTCTCCCGGAGCACAACCGAGGACAAGGAGAAGGAACAGCCCTCGTCGGAGTCGATCGGCCGAGATCCCGAAGCATCGCTGGCGCCCGCCCCAGGCACAGGGCAGGTCACCTTTCGTGGTATACTCAGGATGTTGAAGAATCCCAGGCTCATCGCCGCATTCTGGGGTTGTGTGGTGGAGTCGTCCATCCAGACGGCGTTCGATGCCATCATTCCGCTCCAGGTAGAAACCCTCTTTGGCTGGGATTCGATCGGAGCTGGACTCATATTCCTGCCTTTCATCATACCGACCTTCCTTAGCCCCGTAGCAGGGTCGCTGGGGGACCGATACGGCGCAAAGTGGCTGACCACTTTTGGCTTCTTCCTCTCAACGCCGTTCCTCATTTGCCTGCGGTTCGTCTCAGAGAATACGATACAGCACAAGATCATGCTCTGTGGACTCTTGTTCGGGATCGGCCTCGGGATAACATGCACCATGGGCCCTCTGATGGCAGAGATTAGCTGGTCGATGAAGGACAACAGGGATGAGTCGCTGATGGAACGGGAGCCAATTGCTCTTGCATACGCACTGTACAACGTCGCGTATGCTGCTGGCTGCATGATCGGTCCGCTCCTGGGAGGCTTCATCAGGGACCAGCACGGCTGGCCCACGGTAGGATGGGCCCTGGCCATCCTGACGTTCTTTACGGGCGTCACTCAGCTCCTGTGGATAGGCGGCCCGCTGAAGCTGCGAAGACTGAACCAGGCGCAGGCTGTCGGGGCATTGTGATAGAAAAGTAGACCCTCGAGGCATTTTGTAAGCAAAGCAAACAACACTGCTTCCGAATTAATGCAACCGCAACGTGAAGTGACTCTTGGGGTGGTTCTGAATGTCAACTTCACTCGTGACCGAGGACATGGGAGGGTGAACGAAGTCGAGATTAAGCTGGGGGTTCTTCGGGAACCGGGAGCCTCCTGCATGCAGGTCGCCCCACCACAGCTCCCACCTTCGAGTCCACGCACGCCTCAGGCAGGGATGACGCCTCTCATCCGACGTGTGCTTCGTACTCTCATCTCAGACTTCATCACCACATTCTAGAGCGCCCCTCTTGTCACTTACGTCTTCGGCGCGACCGATTCTCGATAATCATTTCCACTTGCGCTCACTGTCCCGGCCACGGCCACGGCCACGCCCCAGCACTCACCATGACGGGCACCGAGGAGGAGAACGAGCAGCAACTGCAGCAGCAGCACCACATCGACGCGCTCCTCCAGCGCTACCTCACCTTGCTGGACGAGTACACGAGCCTGCGCACAGAGCTGTCGCGCCTGCAGACGGGCGTGTACCAAGACCTGGCGCGGGCCAACTTCGCAGCCGAGAGGGGCATGCGGTACGGCGCGGACTACTACGACGAGCGGATGCAGGCGCTGCGGACGCTGCGGGTTGACGTGCCGACGGAGGCGGCGCACTTCGCAGTCGAGGCCGTGGGCGACCTGAGGGGAGGCGAAGAGGCGAAGGTGGATGGCAAGGAGGAGAGTGCGGGTGAGCAGGAGGGACAGGACGTGAAGCACGAGGATGACGGCGATGAGGAAGAGAAGGAGAAGGAGAGTGAGGCGCCGCCTAGAGTAAAGGACCCGCTGCGATGGTTCGGCATTCTCACGCCGCAGGCGTTGCGGTCGGCGCAGGCTCGGTCTGTGGAGGCGGTAGAGCGGGTGATTCCCCGGCTCGCGTCTGTGGACGCCGAGATGGCTGCCGTCGAGATTGAGGTGCGCCGGGCCAGGAAGAAGCGGGCCAAGGCGCTGGCGATGATCGGGAAGAGGAATGGGGAGGCTGATGCTGGCGATCAAAAGAGTGTGGCTACTGGAGGGATGGCGACGGCACGGCACATAGAGGAACAGGCGGCGTGATGTTGTCACAGCTGAGGTCGCTCGGTCATGATAATCACTATTGATACATGAGCAGCATGTTGGGCCGTGTGGCAGCATTATCATTAATATGACGCTGGGTATCAGATCCGCTGTTCCAGCTCACGCAGCGTAACCAGCACATCCTCCATCTCTTCACGCAACACGGTTTCCTTCCCCATGCTGCCACTGAGCTGGCTCGCGATGCCACTGATGGCGCTGACCGAGTGCTTGTACCTTGTCCTCATACCGTCCCTTGCATTCTCCAGGAGCGTACAGCAGAGCTGCAGCACGGCAACAGTAAACTCCTGCTCGACAGGTCGCAACCCCTGAGTAGAGGACGCGTCCCACGACGCGACGGCCGTGATGAGATCCATCCATGCCTCTTCCGTGCCAGTGGATTCCTGCTCTGCGATCTGTAAGAGGATACGCACAATCTCGATCCCTCGGGTCGCATTGGCTTCGCGTGTCGAACCTGCGGACTCTTTGGCTTGTAGTATATTCGTCAAGTCCTTTGCGAGAATCTGCCATCCGTCGTGGCGTAGCAGTATCTCGCGCCCCTGATCGAGCGTGACCAGGGCTTCCAGGGCAACGAGAACCGGTGATCTAAAGTCGAGTTTCTCGGACTCGGTGCTGGCCCGGTACAGATCCATGAGCATATCGATCAGCCCGGTAGCCTCCTTTCTCAGCTGCTCGTTCTCGTCCTCGCGCAGCCAGAGCGCCACCGCTCGTATGGCTGACAGAATGAAAGGATCGCTGTCTGCTGTGTCGGCGACCGAGTCCCACGCTAGGGTATAGTGCGCCCCCGTAGATGTTGCTGCGGCGCCGGCCCGGGCATCGGGATGCAACCCCATGGCTCCCGCAACCGAGGCGTCCCATCTGTCGCGCAGATACTCTATCGCTACGGACATGGTTTCGGAGATGCCCTTGCGCAATTTAAGAAGACTATCCGGAGACATGACAAACGTCTCAAGATTGTCATCTTCCAGGGCCTGAACGAGATAGCCGATGAAGATGCAGATGACGTCAAACGCCGAGGCCAGCCTGCGCGACATTTGAGGATAGTCAGGGGAGTTCAGCTTTTCCAGGAGAGTCGGGGCGGAAGAGCGGATATCGATAAGCATGAGGTTGATGAGAAGGTATGCAAAGGGCTTGTCGTCGCTCTTTTCGTCGGTAAACAGGGGGTTGGGCGCAGAAGAGGGATACGCCTGTAGAAGCGCGGCGGTGGCGTTGGTGTAAGCGGAGCGTGCCTGAGGAGCTGGGCGGCTCGTAACGAGACGTTTGATTGCGGCAGCGACAGCCTTGAGCCACTTTGGGTTTGCAGGGAGAATCTGGAAGAGTGTTAGTCACTGTGACGGGATAGGATCATGAAATGGCCGTGATCAAGGTGATGCTCAAACATACCGTCGCATCGGCCTGCCGAAGGAATGCTCCAAGAAATTCGAGCAGCGTGACAGCGTCTGTGCCTGTAAAGGAAGACACTAGGCTTTGAAGAGCCTCATCTATCCTGGTAGAGAGGTCTCTCTTGTTCTCAAAGGTAGTCATCGAATTGAGCCACGCGAAGCGCAGGACGTCCATGGCATCGGGGTGCGCAGGGGCGGCCTCGGTGAGTGGAGTGAGGTCCTCGATTTGCACGAGAGCATGCGCCCCGTTCGGAGTGCTGGCCAAGGAGTGAAGCACCTGGAGGATCTGGTTTGTCGTCTCGTTGGAGCTGGCAAAGCCGAGTCAGAGTATGTTCCATATACGGAATCGTCGCCTTCATACCTGTACAGTAGCGCGTTCACAAGTCCAGGTATCCTTCCCGTCAGTTTCACCTCGCCTCTTGACTCTTCTGGCAGGAGAGCAATGAAGGTGTGCAGCACCGAGACAGCCAAGTCCAGCATGTCCTTGGCGGTCTGGTTGCTGGACGAGGGTTTCGAGCCCGTCTTGAGGAGCCTGTCGAGAAACTTTGCGGATATGCTGGACCACAGGGCCTGGACAACTTGCTGGTCCTCGCGGAGCTGTGGCGAGTTGTCGAGGACCGACTTGAGCATGGCGAGGCCCACGAAGCGCTTGGTGTCATCTTTGGTCCTGAGGAGCTGGTGAATGTTTGCGATGGTGGCGGCTTCGCTGCTCGACGCAGCATCGCCAGCTGGGTTTGCAGCCGGTTCGGCTGTCGGTTGCGCCTCCATGGCGGCGGCGGGCGTGGGATGTGTGCAGCACGCTGTGCGGTGGATGAAACGAGCGGTATCTGGGAGAAATGAAACGAGGCCCCGTCACACGAACTTGAGATGGAATCTGCAAGGGCAGGCTTGGCAGCCAGATCTCAAGGCGATGGCTGCCGCTTTCGATGGCATGAAGTTGCGACGGGCCAATCACCAGGACGCCGCGGCTTCAGTGGACGGGTCCCGCTAAACACCTCGAGCTCCGGCTGATGTGGCCCACCCGACAGGGCCCGGGGGACGGGAGCTGACCTCGGAGGCGTTCCAGGCTGCTTCCAGCGATCCATCAGCGCTCAGCGTCCAAGAATACCCACTGGACCTACCTACGTAAGCCGGGGCCGTCCATCAAATGGTGACAGCACCCGACCAGACAGGGTTCGACGTGGCTGAGGAACTCTCGTTCTGTCCTTACACCACCTCCCGCGACCACTCGTCCCCTTCACGGCGCATCGCGGGCAAGAAGATGGGATGAGCCGCAACATGTCTGGAGCTCCCCAGCACGACTACGCCTTTGCCTCTGCATCTTCGTCCTCCCACTCGCCCGCGCCCGCCAATACGCCGCCCTCGGCCGCCGACGACGACCACGCCGACCTCGACTTCCTCGCTGGCGACGATGCGCGCGATGGCGACGACGACAACGACGACGACGTACTCGCCGACGACCCAATTCGCCAGGAGCTGAACACACCGCTGTCTTTTAAGCGCAGGCAAAAGCAGTCCTTCTTGTCTGCGCCGTCGCGGTTCTTCTCGGCGTTCGCGAGCGGCAGTGGCTCGGCCGACTCGCCGGGCTTCGGGGCGTCGTCTCAGCGATACCAACACCCCAATGTCCCTCCCCTCGTGACGGGCCACTCGCACCGGCCATCGGGCTCGACGAACCTCAATACTGGGAGCAAAGATGGCGTGCCGCTGGACTGGTACGCCGAGGGCCCCGGGCGGCGCGTTGGCTACGAGGACCTTACTGCCATCGACTGGATCTTCGAGTACACCAAGGAGCGCCAGCGCCTGCGCGTGCTCTCTTCAAGTGCTAGCGGGCTGATGGGATATGTCCAGCACCTCATCGACGCCAGCCAAGTCTGGATCATCCTCATCCTTACAGGGCTGCTCGTCGGCGCCATCGCTGCCGCCATCGACGTGACCACGGACTGGCTCGGCGACCTCAAGCTGGGCTTTTGCTCCAGCGGGCCTGAAGGCGGACATTTCTACCTCAATAAGGGCTTCTGCTGCTACGGGTACGACCAAGGGTCCAAATGCCTTGGTTGGAAGACGTGGGGTGATGCCCTCGGCGTGCATTCCGCAGGCGGCAAGTGGTTTATTGGATACATTTTCTTCCTCCTATTTTCTGTGCGTGGCGCCACTTAAGTGACCCCTTGGTTCTTTTGCTAATACCTCACCTAGGTCTGGCTGGCATATTGTGCTGCGCTGCTTGTCAAAGAATATGCTATATACGCTAAGCATAGTGGTATCCCTGAGATCAAAACTGTTCTCGGAGGCTTTGTCATCCGGCGCTTCCTGGGGACCTGGACGCTGATAACCAAGTCTCTCGGCCTGGTAGGTCAATCAGATCCAGTAGAGCGATGTGTAGTGCCGAGCTGACACGTTCCAGATTCTGGCCGTCGGCTCGGGCATGTGGCTTGGCAAAGAAGGCCCCCTTGTCCACGTCGCTTGCTGCTGCGCCAACCTGTTTATCAAACTGTTTAGCAACATCCGAAGCAATGAAGGTAAAGTCTATGACCACTTACCAGCGAGAAAGAAGCTGACAGACGTAGCTCGAAAGCGCGAGGTCCTCTCTGCAGCCGCAGCTTCGGGCATTTCCGTAGCGTTTGGATCACCCATCGGGGGTGTTTTGTTCAGTCTCGAGGTGAGCAAGGCGCTCGAAAATCACGATCCCGAATTCGCGCTGACCCGTGAGAAGCAACTCTCATATTACTTCCCGGATAAGACAATGTGGCAAAGCTTTGTCTGTGCCATGACTGCGGCCGTGGCTTTGCAGGCTTTCGACCCGTTTCGTTCTGGCAAGCTTGTCCTGTACCAGACCAAGTACAACACCGACTGGCATGGGTTTGAAATGATTCCCTACGCAATCCTCGGTATCTTGGGCGTATGCACCCTGCCCCTTCATATGTCGGGTTGGACGTTTAGCTGACCCGTCACAGGGCGTATACGGAGGTCTCTTCATCAAGGCGAACATGACTGTTGCTCGCTGGAAGAAAGCCCGACCATGGCTCCCGGGCCCGATCGCCCAGGTTCTGCTGGTGGCGCTCCTGACGGCTCTCGTCAACTACCCCAACTTTTACATGAAGCTACAGACCTCAGAGCTCGTCTCGAATCTATTCTCTGACTGCTCACGCCTCCTGGATGATCAGATCGGGCTGTGCAAGAAGGGTGCGGCGTCGGCCAGCACCATTATCCTTCTCATCTTTGCCTCCGTTCTGGGCTTCTTCCTCGCTACCATAACATTTGGTCTCCAGATTCCCGCAGGCATAATCCTGCCGTCCATGGCCATTGGCGCACTGACCGGCCGCGCCGTTGGCATCATCATGGAGATCTGGGTCACCAACCACCCTAAATTCTTTGTCTTCGCGTCGTGCGAACCCGATGTTCCTTGCATCACGCCGGGAACATACGCCATTATTGGTGCCGCTGCGGCCCTGGCTGGCGTGACTCGAATGACGGTCTCCATAGTCGTCATCATGTTCGAGCTCACGGGCGCGCTGACGTACGTCCTGCCCATCATGATTGCTGTCATGATCTCCAAGTGGGTTGGCGATGCTTTTTCGCGTCGCGGCATCTACGAGTCCTGGATTCACTTCAATGAATATCCGTTCCTCGACAACAGCGAAGAAATGATTATCCCCGACATCCCTGCGTCGCAGATTATGACACGCATCGAGGACCTGGTTGTTCTCACCGCTACTGGGCATACTATTTCGTCACTAAACTCGATCCTCGAGATGCACCCATACCGCGGATTCCCTGTCATCTCAGATCCTCGCGACGCGATTCTCCTCGGCTACATCTCTCGTGCCGAACTTAGCTACAACATCCGCACCGCGTCTCAGCCACCGCGTTCACTTCCTCCGGAGACGGAAGCCTTCTTCTCTCACCAACCCCTCGCTGACCCCCGGACAACACTGGACCTGCGCCCTTGGATGGATCAGACGCCTCTCACACTGCCGTCGCGTACGAACCTGCACTTGGTCGTCTCATACTTTCAGAAGCTCGGCCTGCGCTACGTCCTCTTCAGCGACCGCGGCGTCCTCCAGGGCCTCCTCACGAAGAAGGACGTCTGGTACGTCCTCAACGGGGCCGATGAGACGCGCCGCACGGGAGGCGCGCCCACGGCCGGAGCTGGAGTCGGGACGGGCAGGCGCCATGACCCCACGCGGGAGGATGGGCCACGCGAGGAGAGAGGCTTGCTGCGTGCCGGGGGCCTGGATGATGACGCCGAGAGTCTAAGAGAGGAGGATCGGGCGTCGATATTATAATACCTAGATGGGGGCGGTTGCTGTCGCGGACACGGTAGCGCGGGGATTGCCACGTATGATCTTAGATTTGGGTTTTGAAGCATCTTGTACGAGACATCGAATATGACCACATCATTACACAGTTCACATACAGCGAGATGGATTACCCAGGATGCCAGAGTGAGCAGTAAGCAGTGAGAAGTGAGCAGTGAGCAGCGAGCAGTGGGTGCGAGCGTGCGAGCGTGCGAACGAGCGAGTGAGAGCATGACGGCAGCGCCGTGAGTTTATTTATGCATGTGAATTTTTGAGTTCAAGTCCCCGGGGTAAATCATGTCGCGGGCACGCCGACGCCGCGCGCGCACAAAAACGCCTCTAGCAATGTATGGTCTAAAGATGACAAGATGATGTAAGTCGTAAATCAGCCTGCCCTGTCCTGCCGTGCCCTGCTCCCCCCCATGTGTGTGTTTGTGTGTATGTGCCGGTGAGCGGCTTCCCCATTCTACGTGATTGACCGCCCGCCCCGCCTAGTAGTCCAGTGATGAATGAGTTTCCCAGCCAGACCCGGACCTGGATATGTAATGCCAGTTTCCCCACGTTACCAATTTCGGGCCCCCTTTCTTTCCCCTTTCCCCGATAATAATATTCGCTCGCCGCCAAATGTCCATGTGTTGTGTGTCCAAAAGGGTGCGGCGTCTTCGGCTGTGCGTGTGCCCCCCTTAGAACTTGGAGTCGTCGAGGGCGCCGTTGACGACCAGCGTCTTCTCCTTCAGGGCGTCCTTGGTGATGCGCTCGAGGCAGCCCGACGACGCGGCGATGAAGCCGAGGTACGGGCGCGAGGGGTCGAGCACGCGGCTCAGGTACTCGGGGTGGTACTGGACGCCGACGAACCACGGGTGGTCCTTGAGCTCGAGGACCTCCATGCGGCGGCCCGAGTCGTCCTTGCCGACAAAGTTGAGGCCGGCCTTCTCCAGCTCCTCGACCATGTCCGGGTTGACCTCGTAGCGGTGGCGGTGGCGCTCCTCGATGACCAGGGCCTCGCCGTACAGCGCGCGCAGCTTGCTGAACTCGCTGCCGGGCTGGAAGTGCGTCTCGCGCGAGCCGAGGCGCATGGTGCCGCCCATGGTGTCCTTGGAGCCCTCGGGCATGAAGATGATGGCGCGGTTCTCGGCCTGCGCGTCAAACTCCTCCGATGTGGCGTTGGCCTTGTGGCAGACGTGTCGCGCGTACTCGATGACGGCGATCTGCATGCCCAGGCAGATGCCCAGGTAGGGCGTCTTGCGCTCACGGGCCCACTGGGCAGCCTTGATCATGCCCTCGGTGCCGCGGTGCCCGAAGCCGCCGGGGACGAGGATGCCAGCCGCCGTCGAGACCTCGTGCCACGCCTTATAGAAAGCAACGGGGTTGCTCTTTTGCGTCTTGTCCTCGAGCTCCTCGGAGTCGACCCAGATGAGGTTCAGCTTGCGGCCGCATCGCATGGCCGAGTGCTCCAGCGACTTGACGACCGACAGGTACGCGTCAGGCAGCTCGACATACTTGCCGACAAGCGCAATGTTGATCTTCTCGGCATGCTCCTGGGGGATGATCTCGTTCCACTTCTTCCAGATGACCTCGCCCTTGGCGACCAGGGCAGGGGTCAGGGCGACCTTGTCGAGGACGAGCTGCTGGCGCAGGAGCTCGAGGAGACCCTGATGCTCCAGCAGGATCGGTACCTGGTAGATGGTGGGCATGTCGCGGACGGCGACCACCTGCTCGACCTCGACCTGGCAGCTCTGGGCAATCTTGGCGATGGTGACCTTTTCCAGCGGGCGCTCGCAGCGGCAGGCAACCAGATCCGGGATGAGACCAGCACTGCGGACGCTCTTGACCGCGTGCTGGGTAGGCTTCGTCTTCTGCTCGCCGTTGACGATGGGGATGTACGAAACGTGGATGTTGATGAAGTTGCCCTTGCCAGCCTTGTGGCGGAGCTGGGTCAGGGCCTCGACGAAGGGCATGCTCTCGATGTCGCCGACGGTGCCACCCAGCTCGATGATGCACACATCCGGCTCTGAGCCTGAGTCGTCGACGGGGATCCGGGACACACGCTCGATGTGCTCGATAACGGCATTGGTGACGTGGGGGACGACCTGGACAGTCCGGCCCAGGTAGTCGCCTCTTCGCTCCTTCTCGATGACGTGCTTGTAGATCTTGCCGGTGGTGATGTTGTTGTCCCTTGTCAGGTTGAGGCCCAGGTACCTTGGGAGGTCAGCCGGTTGTCTGGGTATGCAGTCTTCGCGCACGCATACCGTTCATAGTTACCAAGGTCCAGATCCGTCTCACCGCCATCCTTCAGCACGAAGCACTCTCCGTGCCTAGGCGCCGCCGTTAGTGAGCCGCACAAAACAAAACTCAACCCGAGTCAGAAACATACTCCTTCGGGTTCATGGTGCCGGCATCGACATTGATGTAGGGATCAATCTTGATCGCCTGCGCCAAGCAATTAGCACCCGTTTTCGATACACTCCGTCAACCTAGGCGTTGCGCAACGCTTACCGTAACCTTCAGGCCGATCGTCTTGAGCAGCAGCCCGGCAGACGAGGCTTCGTCGCGTCAGCACATGTCGTCCTTCCTCAAGACCAGCATCTCATTTGCATGTCATTCGTACCAATGATGCCCTTGCCAACCCCGCTGACAACACCTGTCAGAATTCACAAATTAGCATACAAGAAAGCGACACATCGAGGGGATCCAAGGGCGGCATACCTCCAGAGACCAGAACGTACTTCATCTTGACGGCTGACACGGGGACAATTGGGCAGGCAAAGCGACAAGATGATATCTTGTAACCCGCAAAAATTTGGCGTCGAGGGGCGGTTCGCGCTTCAGTTCTTGAAATTCTCAGAGAGATAGCCGTCACGTGATTAGCACGGACCCAGCGGCGCGTCTGTTTTGGGTAAAAGTGGGTGGGCTCGCGTGGTCCCTGACAGAAGCTAAGCCCCATTCGGACGCGACGCGGCTGTCGTGCATGAAAGGCGCGTTAAGTGGCATCCTGTGTCACACCAAGGTTCACGACTCAATGCGCGGCTTACACCAATCTGTGTGAAGCTAGATTGTTTTGTTTTCATCTTCAGCAATTGCCATCACGCCGACTCACGATGTCTCGGTCGCGTTCTGACACGCGCAGATAGCTCAATAGCAACGCCGGCTAATACTCAAAGTCATCATCCACCGAAGGCCCCTTGTTCTTCGTCACGCTCTCCTGCTTCCTGTACATTTCAGCCACCTGTCTGCTCGAGGTTGCCTCGTCTGGCTTCTTGTCGTCTCGTAACTTGATGAATCGTGGAAATCTCAGGCTGATTCCCTTTTCACCCGAGGGATCCACCCCCTCCTTGGAACCAGCTTTGTAGCGGGGACTGAGGGTGAGGTCAGCCGTCTTCACCTCCCAGACATACCGCGGCTCAAACCAGACATCGGGCTGGTGCTGGCCGCCGGATGAGTGCGAATAGAATGGCTTCGGCCGATCAATCTTAATCTCCGAAAGCTGTGCATGCAACTCCTCGAGCACCTGTTCTGAGAAGCCAGTGCCAATGTTGCAGACAGTCTCATACGTTTCGGTCGAGGGGTTGTAGCATGCAAGGAGGAACGCGCCGTACACAGACGTGCGCTTCCCCTTTCCGTAATATGCGCCCAGAACGACGAGGTCGAGCGAGTCACCGATGCCGGAGAGGTAGTCTTTCTTGACCTAATAATCGTCAGCATATGGTCCCGCACAATCAGTCAAGGGACGCCTCACCTTTAGCCAGTTACGACTACGCTTGCTCGGCTCGTATCCGCTCTCAGTGCCCTCCAGCATCTTCACCATGAGTCCCTCGCACGAGGCCTTCACACTTTCGTCCAAGAAGACTTGGATCTCATCAAGTTCCTGGCCATTCATGGACGTCGCGAACGAAAACTCGCCCTCGACTGGGACGAACGCTTGGTGCAGCAGTTCTCTCCGCTCAGAAAGGGCCTTCTGCACAACAGGCTCGCCGTTCAGATAGAGAAGGTCAAAAGCAAAGACGCAAACCTTGACCGTGACGTCCTCAACCTTGACATCTTTTCTCTTGCGCGTCATTAGCTGCTGGAACGGCAGCACCTTTTTCTCGTGAATGTCCCAGGCGACGGTCTCGCAGTCGAGCACGAAGCTCTTCGTGTCGTCCTTGACCCAAGTATGGAGCTTGGCAAGAATGTCGGGATACTTCTTTGACAGGTCTTCGGAGTTTCTGGAGAAGATGCTTGCAACTCCACTTGCTGCCTCTCTGGAGGCACCGGCGGTTTCTTGGCTTAGCTCTTGAGGTGCGTCCTTGGCGACGTAGTGAATCTGAGCCCGCTCGCCGTCGTATTTATACTCGCAAGTGAACTTTTGGCCTTCAAATCTGTCCAAAACCTCTGTGATGGCCTTTGTGGGTTTGGCCAACATGGGCTTCAACGGCACGCCAGGGCGAAGCTTGCAATTGTCTCGAAGGTTCTTGATACCATGTTCCAAAACTGCAGGAATAATGGCATCGTAACTCGGCAATTCACTGCGCTGAATTAGCCACACGCTAGGGATCTGCTGGTCCCCTGAACCTACCTGTAAACCGTCTTGAGAATTGACTCGCCATTCTCGAGGTCTGTTGTGCTCGGGACCTTGCCCTTTTGATCGGCCTCGTGGCAAACGATCGCCTGTGCCAAGGAGACGAGCACCGTCTTTTCAGCAAGGCCGAGTCGAAGTTTGCCCTCGAGGAACCGGATAATGAACTTGGCTTCGCTCGGCCCACCCTTGTCTTTCGTGATGTCCACCTTGCCTGTAGACCGGGCATCCGCCGCAGACAGGAGCTTCTTGATCCCATCCACCTTTCTGCCCTGGGCGCCGTTGCCGGTGACAGTCGCAATGTTCATCAGTCCCTGATGAACCCCACGCACGGTTAGGGGCTTGGGCTTGAACATGGTCGGCTGCGTCGATCTGCTTTTCACGGCAACAAGGCCCAAGTCGCCAATATCTTTCTGATCTGCCTTGATGACTTGCAGGCTGCGGCCGGTGGTCTCGCCAATGGCCTTCATGATGAGCGACTCGCCAATGCCCAACTCAATACCGGCATAGTCGGGGGCAAGCTTGTTGATCATAAGAAGCACCGTGGGCAGCAAATCGTCGGGGGTCAGCCGCATGACCTGTCGGAGGAAAAGCGCACAGTGCTCCATAATCACTAGCCGCTTCGTCGTCATCTCGATCAAAGAGAACGTCTGACATAGTGCTGCGTAAGGAACAGGGTCTCCCGCTTTCCAATCCGGGTATGGATGGTTCGCCTTAGCCTTGAGCTGGGTTTGGATCTTCTCTCGTGCCTTCGCGGCAACCTCGGGCTTTTCGTCCTCCTCCGCTTCGATCTCCGCTTCTGCATCGGACGCAGATTCGCTGGCCGACTGCTGTTTGACGTCGTCTTCATGCTCTTCCTTCTCCTTCGGCTGGGCAGCCTTTGGCGGCGGACTTTTCGAGCGAGGACTTTTTGCTCGGGGGCTTTTGGCTCGTTTAGCCTTGCGTTGAGGACTCGGCGACCTCTCTTTCTTCACCGCTGCTGGCTTCTCCTGGATGTCCGGCTTGTCCTCCATGGCGCTGTCATCATCGTCTTCGATCTTGACACGTGAGCGTCGCGCCCGCTTGGCAACCGGTGCGGCATCCTCATCCTCGCTCTCATTCTTGGAAGTTCCATTCTTGTCCGACTCCCGTAACCGCTTCTTCGAGTCTTCAAGCACGTCAGCAGCCCGCAATTGGATTATCAGAGTGGGTTGACCAACCTTTGTCTGGGTCGGCATTTTCCTTGGCGCTCACGTCGCCCTCCCCGTCGCCCTCCACAGGCTCATCCTTTGGCTCGGCTCTCGCCTTGGTGGCAAAGCTCAGCTTGGTCTGCTGCTGCGGCGGCGCACCCTTTGCGCCGAAAAACTTGCTATAATCGCAAACGGCAATTCAGGTTAGCTCATAGAACAATGGCCATGACGCCATCGACGATTTAACTTCGCCGTGCACAAACGCACCCCAACGTGCTCTGGTTCGGCTTCACGTACCCGAGGGTCGCCTGCTTCGGTGCCATGGTGGACAGTCTTCTCGCAGGGAGGAGAGCTGGCTGCGGAAGCGTATGGAGGCGGAGGAGGAGGCTGCGGACGATCCTTGAGGCGGCCAGCGTGAAGAAATAGGAAGCGGGTGATGAGGAAGGAGCTCGCAGGCTGCAGCCGCAATTGAGGGTGACAGCTCCAATCATTGACGCGCTCCTGCTAGGCAGAATCGCGTTAATTGGTTTCGCGACGGGAACAAAGTCACGACGCGCACGGCAAGTCACGTGGCCGCTGGCGGCAGGGGTCCACGTTGTACATCAGCTTGTACCTCGTGTTTTTACATAAGCGTCCTCACCCTGGTCCTGGTCTCCGAAGCCCGTCCTCCAGGGCCCGAACAATGGTAGGTGGTCACCGTCGGACATGGCCGGACCGGAGCATCGCGGTCAATGCGCTCCGGCCATGTCGAATTACCTTCTTCGAATCACACGGTTCATTGAGTGCAGAAAAGTGGCACAAAAGACATGTCTGATTGACCATTCCCGCCCTCTATCTGCAGGGACTATAGTACACAAGGCGCAAGGTTCAAGGATTCATTATAGGTTTGCTGTGCGGTGCGTGCAGGTGCAGGTCATCCATCTACTGGGCAAAGTAGTGGTTCTCGTCGGGGGTGCGGCCGCGGATGTACTGGGGCTCGCTGCCGCGGACGTAGATGTCCTCGAAAAGAATCTCCGGCTTCGGCTCGGGGACAGCCATGGCCTCAGCGGCAGCGACCTCCTCGTTGACGTGGCTCCGGGCCTCCTTGTCAATCTTCTTGAGCTCCTCCTCGCTCGCGACCTCCCAGTCCAGGATCTTCTGCTTCAGTCCGGCAATGGGATCGTTGGTCGAGCGCATGCGCTGAATCTCCTCACGGGTACGGTAGGTGGTGCCGGGGTCGGACATGGAGTGGCCACCATATCGGTAGGTGACATACTCGAGCACCATCGGGCCCTTGTCGCTGGCGGTCCACTCCTTGCCGTACTTGACAGCGGCCTTGACGGCCAGGACGTCCATGCCGTTAACCTTGAGACCCGGGATGTACTGGCCACGCTTGTAGTAGTCGGTCAGGGCCGACGACCGGGCGGCGGAGGTACCCATGCCGTACTTGTTGTCTGTACATCCAGCGTCAGCGCAAAGAACAAAGCAGCAAGTATCAACAGAATATACTCACTCTCGCAGCCGAACAGAGCAGGGAGACCCCACAGCTTGGCCATGTTGAAGGCCTCGAAGACCTGGCCCTGGTTGCTGGCACCATCGCCGTAGAGGATGATGGAGGCGTTCTTGTTGTCGTTGTACTTGTGGGCAAAAGCCAGGCCGGCGCCGACAGGGACCTGGGCACCAACAATGCCGTTGCCACCGTAGAAGCCCTTGGAGAACATGTGCATGGATCCACCCTTGCCGTAGGCAATTCCCTCGCGGCGGCCAAGGAGCTCTCCGATAATGGACCGGACGGTGCCGCCGCGCATCAGGGCGAAACCGTGGCACCGGTAGGCGGTAATCAGGTCGTCCTGCTTCGTGATGGCATGCTCAATGCCGACGGCGACGGCCTCCTGACCGGTGGAAAGGTGGCAGAAACCGCGAATCTTCTTCTCCTTGTACAGGCGGTCGGCCGCCATCTCCATCTGCCTGCGCGATTATCAGCGAACTGTCGACCCGGTCCCACGTTTCCGTGCCATTGAAATCGTACCTGATGGAGACCATGTCGTAGTACATCTGCTTGAGCTCCTTCTTCGTGACCTCGATGGTATAAGGCGGAGGGTCCAGCTCGTACGTCTCGAAACTCTCGTCGCTCAGGGTAACCTGGAAGGGCTCATCCTCGGACTGCGCCGGAAACCGTCAGCACCCATTTGTCGCGAAAAAAACAAAAAACAAAAACTTAGACGCAAAACGTGAGTTAGGAGAGTCTGTTCGTGCAAGCCTTGCAGCGTGCTCGAATCCGACCGCCCGGGAACCATACCTGAGGGACGGAGTTGCTCAAGGACGACGACGCAGCATCCGTGGTGACGGATCGAACCGCCAGCGCAAAGGGCGCAGCCCGGGCCCTGGCGCTGAGGGGCAGCGCCCTGGGGACTCTGAGAGCTCGGGAGAACATCGCGGCGCACTGGAGATGCCTCTGTGTCGATTGAATCGAGGGGTGAGTTGTCAGAGAAGAAGAACGGAGGGCCCTCGCGATAAACAGGAGCTCCGAAATTTCGCGGTGTTGAGCGTTGAGCTCAGTGTTGGATGGCGCTAGCACCGGAGGGGCCCTAGCGTCAAATGCACGTGATGCGACATCGGCCCCAGCGAAAAATGGGTAAGGGGACCGCCGACGGGTCCAAGGGGGCTTGCGGAACCCGTCGAGATCTGCGATTGCACTTGGCCATGGAGCCTCCCACTGCCGCACACATGCCTGCTGCTGGGCCCATGTGCCCCTGGTATTTGCTCTTGAAGTGTGATATATCGCTGAGCCAGCAGCGCGAAGGCTCTACTGGCTTTCTGTCTTTGCAGTCCTTCGGATACAGAATTGTGAAACAACGCCATTACCAGCACATCTGCTGTATAAAGTACCCTAATGAGGTACCATATTAACTGCTAATGGCTGCCTGGGCCTCCTTAATGCCCGGGATAACGCCGCCCGGGTCGCCGTCAAAACTCCACTCGCCGGTTCCCGCGCCTTGCCCAGTCAGTCTCTCAGCCCGTCCCTGCCCGACATGTGAGATGCATTATTCCCTCCTTGCTATGCTTGCCTTTGTAAAGTCGCAACGCCATTAACATGCAGCCCACACATTGTTGCCGCGTTCTATAACCTGGAAGCCGGCACAAAAGTACAGAATATTCGAGTCGCGAAGCCGGCTGTCCTGGCCGGCACGACCGCAACTGCATGCTGTTATTTCAAATCACGTATCGACGGTGTGAGCCGCGGCTAGCGCTGTCTGCCATCTTAAGAATTACGCTCGCGCGGCGCCGCTAGTCGTCGTGGAAGAATGTCTTGTTTCCGCCTTGTAGCGGTGCCGTCGAAGGGCCAGCATCCTGCATGTCGACATCCTGTGCCGAAGACGCCCGGCTCGACTCGGCGATGGCAGGTTCGCCTGCACGGTAGTCCAGCGCCATGGCGCTCAATGGCCGCGTCGGGTTGTCCTCGAGGACGCGCTGTTGAAGCGAGAGTGGTCGGTCGTAGAGCATCTCTTCTGGGGGGGAGAATGACCAAACCTGCTGCCATTAGCCACAGCTGGAACCAGCGAAACGGCACAAAGCTTACCTCCATCACGGTCCGGCCGTGTCGCAACGCCAATGCCACGCACTTCTCGTCCTCAAAGGCTACTCGCCACACAGCCTCGCCTTGAGCAATGAGCTCCCGGACGAGGTGCCCTGTCTTGAGATCCCAAATCTTAACTCGACCATCGCTGCCACCGCTCACAACTCGTGTATCGTCAAACTGTAGGCTTGTGACACTGTTGTCATGTGCGGCGAGGCGGTGGATTGGGCACATCTTCTCCAGTGACCAGACTCGTACAGATCCGTCCGATCCTCCAGTCACCAACGTGTCGCCGCGCATCTGCAGCTGGCCCACCAAGGATGTATGACCCTGTAGAATAGCGAGACACTCCCTATTGTGTAAAATTAGCGAGTTGGTCGACGTGGTTGGCAAGAAGCGAGAGAACGTACCCAGTGGTCGGGTCCCAGACCCTCACGTTGGTGTCCAGGCTGCCGGTCACTACTCTCTTGCCATCGAAGGCAATGGCGTAGATTTGGCTGAAATGGCCCTGTAGCGTCTGGAGACAACGGCCTTCGGAGATGCTCCAGACCCGGGCAAAGGTATCATAGCTTCCGGAAACGACAATGTCGCCTTTGATCTCCAAACATCGAACGCTAGACTGATGCCCAACGAGGACATTTCTGCATAGGCCGGTGCGGATGTCCCAGATGCGGAGAGTTGTGTCTCGGGAGCCAGAGATGGCCGTGTTAGCGTCCGCCATTTTGAGGCATCGCACTGTCGACGTATGTCCCCGTAGAGTGTGCAAGCAAGCCCTGCGCAGCTGTCAGCCAAGTCAAGGCGTAAATTCTCGAGGCCATGTCTCTTACCCAGTTTTCAGATCCCATACACGGACATCGCGGTCGCAGCCGCCACTGACCATGGTGTCTTCCCACGGGACCATGGCCCAGACACCCATAACGTGCCCTTGCAATATTCGTTGTGAGTCGCCCTTTGTGTCGAAAACGTGGATCTTGGCATTATCTAGAGCCACGATGATGTACTTGGGCGTCAGATGCAAGCTAGTCACGACGCCGCCTTCTTGGGTGATGTTCCTGTGGACGCTTGTCCCGCCAGACCTCCAGGCCGCTTCGACCAGGTAGCGTTGCTTGAAGTGCGATTTGTATGAGCGCAGCTTGGGCCGTGCGACAGTGCCGTCAAAGCTGCGCGAGCCCGAAGAGTGGCCGGACGAGGGATAGGAGCCGGGGAAGCTACTGCTCGTAGACATTTCCGTATCTGGGTTGCCGAAAGCGTGGGCGGTCGACCGCATGGGCATGATCGGAGATCGAGCGTTGACTTCTGATAGTCGTCGGCCGTAGTCGTGCTTTACGCAGAGGTTCTTCCAGGTCATGTCGTCGCTCAGGAGGTCCCGCCACCGTTTCGAGACCTGCGATGCTCGGGCGAGGACCTTTGGGTCATCGATGAATGACAGTATCTGGACAGTGTCAACAACTCAAGCTTGGCCTGGCATCGTGGAGATCATCATGTACCCTAAGACAAAGCTCGTCCGGCAAGCTGGTGAACGGATCCTTCTTCAGCAGAGGGCTGACAAATTGGTGAACAAAGCTCAGCTGCTGGCTGGTGCAGAGATTGAGCATGTCGGCCAAGATCCTCGTGCGTTGCGGGCCCGAGCAATTCTTAAAGTGCTGCCGCAGCTTGGAGAGGAAGAAGTCCTCATCATCTGCAGCGTCGCTCCAGTCCGGCTGGCAATGGGCAGGGCCTGGGGAGGCCGCAGGCGTCGGAGGAGGCGGTGGCGACCCGGTGAGCTGCTGGTCGAAGTCGGCAGCTGGCGTGGGCATGCTTGGGGTCGGCGGCCCTCTAATCTGCCGTTGCTGCCGGGGCAGCTTCTCGAGCCTCGCATTCATCGGGGCGTTGGCGGTGTTCAGGGCCAAGTCCTCGGTCAGAATGCTTCCTCTCCGTTGAGAGAAGCTCACGGGGCGGTCGTAGCCAGCCATGGCCTAGGCCAACGACGCACGCGTCCTAACGGAGGACCTCGTCGATGGGCGATCAAGTCGGGTAAAGGGGAAGCCTGACCAGGGCTGCTGCGTGATGGGGGCGGGCGGCGAGTCGGAGGAGGGGAGAAGTCGAGTCTCGAGGGCGGTCCAGGTCGGAGGAGAAGCGCCTACAGCAGCGAAGCGAGGGCCATGTCAGCTCTTGTAGGGACGCAGGGACGGCGCTCGTGTCGCGATGATGGCTCTGCGCTGTGCGGCAACGGAGGAGGACAGACACAGGCTTGCCCGGCCGATTCAAGGAGGGAGGCTTAATGGTTTCTGGGTCTGGAGGGCGAGGAGGCCGGAGGCGGTGGTTTGAGGGTTGAGGGGGGACGCTAACGGAAACGCATACCTATAGCCGCAAATGGCATGGGATGGAGCGCCGTAGCGGCGACGGCTTACTCGCAGAACAGCCCAAAGCCACCAGCCGTGCACTGACGTATTGACGCTGCCGGTCCTGCAACACTGAGCACGCAATAGTGCCGGGCGGGCGCCTCGACAAAAAAAGTCCTCCCTGCTGCGCAGCTGGGCCGGTGCAAGGTGCAGAGCTTGTCCTCCCTGGGGGATGGGAGCCGGGCAGGACGTGGTGGTGGAGGTGGAGGCGGAGGAGATGGAGGGATGAATGGATGAGATGTCAGTGAGATTGGCCTTTGGAACAGGCGGTCGCGCCAGACGGTGTTCCCTTGGATATTTGTGCCGCAGCGCTCGTAGCCCGAGACCGACAGGTGCAGCCGAAATGCAGTCACTGGACAGACAGGAGGCGAAGAAGGCCGCGGGCGGTCGGGTAGTGTCTGGCGACAGGAGCAAGTCTGGCCCGGAGGAGGAGGAGAAGGAGGAGGCTGGCAGCGAGGAAGACGGTGAGGGAGAAGGCCAGGTGAAAAGGCGTAGGTGCCCTGAGCCAGGAGACGGATGGCGGGACGGCAGCTGTTGGCAGTTGGGACGGGATGCAATGGGAGCGACGGGAGCCCAGGGCCACGGCGTGACCGAGGGAGAAGGGGCAGAGGCACCCGCATTCACTGCACGCACGCAGGTGCTGGCCACTTCCAGGTTCCATTCACTTCTCGCTCCAGGGCTGTCCTGCACCGCACTGCGCTGCACCGCACTGCGCTGCGCTGCACTGCACGGCACGTACGAGGAGGGCGCCCGCCCGGGCAGGTCCCGTCTGAGTTGGTAGGTGCCCGGACGGGACCCTGCGTCCAGGAACCTCGGGGGGGCCACACTTGTGCCGGGCCGTGACAGGCCCCCCCAGCCGCCGCGGCCGATCTCCAACTGCGGGCACCCTTCTCGAGTCCACTGAGGCGGCGACACCTGCTCACCTCAGGTCCTGGCGGTGACCGCACAGCAGGTCGAGGGCGACCACCACCCCCCATTGCCTCAGTGGACCGCGCCGCCTGGGGCCCCCCTTGGGTCGGGGGTCGGGCTGGCGTCGGGTGGGGCGCGTGGCCCCTGCGTGGGCGAGACACGACCCAGGGGGGCCCCCAGGGCTCCGTGGACAATGATTGTTCATACACAGGGGGTCGGTCACTCCTCCGTGGGCTGGCCAGTGGCCGGAGCTGCAGCCAACTTCAGACATGGACGACACGGCGAGAGGTTGGAAAGGATGTAAGTACGGACTATGTGAAGCAGCGTTGGGCAAGGCACAGCCAAAGGATCGATGCAGCCGCGTTGTCGGCCATGTGCTGTCCGTCCGCGTTGGAGCCCGAGCTGGAGCATGGAACTCGCGCATGCGCCGGCCGCGAGCTGCACGACCGCTCTGGCACCACCCGAGCAACAAACATCGGGCCGCGCCTGGGCAGGGAAAAGTCCCGAGTCCCATCGCCGCGACACGAACGACGAGTCATGGGAGAGGCCCGTTGCTCTTCTCCTCCGTCCATTCATCCATTCACACATGCGCATTGCCCTCGCATCGCCCATCGTCTCGCGCTGGTTGGGCAGATACGCGACACGACAGGCCGGTCGGCAGACAGACAGACACGCAGCACCTCCAGACGACGCGAGGGGGGGGGGGGACTGCACAGAACCTCACGCAACGCCGAACGCCCCAGCCTGCCCGCTCACTGAGTGCCCTATTAATATCGTTACACGAAAAGGCGGCCGGCGCTCGACGAACCGGCCGCCATGGGTCCCTGGGCCTCGGCGGGAGAGCCGAACACGGCGGCGGCGGCGGCGGCGGCGCATGGCTGGCCGGGGCGCATCCAATGAGCGCCGGTGGGCACGCGCCTGTAGTGGACCAGCCTGCCTCTGCATCCGCCCACCGCAGGCGCTGTCAAGCCCACGGGCGCATGATGATCAGAAGCCCGCGTGGGTTGTGGTCAGATGCGAAAGCAGCTGCGGCGGCATAACGAGATTGCTCGAGCGGCCGTTGAGCTGTCAGTGGCGGCACGACTCAAGCGGGCATGTCCGTCCTCATTTGCCTTTGCATGGCCCGGTAAGGTACTGTAACTATAACTATCGGGTCCGTCCTGCAGCTCGGTAGTGCTGCGTTATTCCTGCGTCGTGGTTGGCGGTGGATGGATGTCGCGGCCTCGCCTCGCCCGCTGCAACGCCCTCAACTCTCCTCAAAGTGGCTCGCGAAGCCAAACACATGTGCCGCCGGCCGCGGATCTGCAATGTATTCTCGTGATTCGTAGATGGTGACAAGACTCGAAAAGTTTCGCCAGGAGCCGCAGGCGTAGCGAGAGTCGATGCAGCCATCATCCACGTCCTTGTCCGCCAGTGTCTTGATGTCCGCACTCACCACATGCAACCCGCACCCATTGAGATCATGGGACAGACTATCGATCCAGCCCACATCCTCTGACCCCCCGAACCCTGCCCCCCTTCGAACCAGCTCATGGTCTACGGAGCATTTCGTGCTGGCCAAGAGCGCAACCACCCTCCCAATGTCTCAGATTCCCTCAATCGCGCGCCGAGAAGGGCAGTTCCTCCAACCAGCCCCGTGTCAGATCCTCAGCTCCCGCCGCAAAAAATAGCAGCATCGGCGAGCGCATCAAACCGCCCGGCCCGCATCAGTTTATGCGAACGCCTTTGCAGAGGGCGTGACTGGCCCGGCTGCATGGTAGAGGGCCGCCAGGGCTGCTGGCCTGGTGCGACCAAATACTCCAGTCACTCAGTTACGAAGTACGGGCTCCGTAATCAACGCAGCCAGATCCAACGCAGGAGCAGGCGCCTGAATTTGAAACGCCTCTGGGTGCTGCGCCGTCACCTCGCTTCTGCACCACAAAAGCTTCAGTCACGATCGCTCAGGTCATACCCGCAAGCATGCGATGCAATTGTGCAACTAAATGGGCACTGAGCTTAAGCAGCGCTCTTCTATGGTGTCTGTCTCATGGTGGCCGCTTGGGGCTCTTGTTCGTACACTCGCGCTTGACTGCCATGCGCTCTCCACCGGTCTATAGTAATCTTCTCCTGCCTTGATTCTATCCCTCGACAGGCAATCAGTGGTGATGGTGCCCAAACTGGGTAAGCAGAGGCAGAAACATGCCCGCAACCGTCGCCAGAGTGTCGCGCATCTGCGGGCCCTTTGGCTTCCGCTGGCTAAGGGACGTCCCGTCCGTATAACCATTAGCTCCAGGCCCGTGGTCATGGCCGTGTGATCCGCCATCGTCTTGCATGGCGTGCATGGCGACATATCTGCAATTCAATCTCAGTCAGTACATCGTCAGAACCAGTGTTCGCCAGGGAAACATACAGAAACGTCCCCCCTGAAAAGAGCAGTAGCATCCCGGTCCACCACTGTCCCTTGGCCCCTTCAAGATGATCTCCGCCTAGGAGGGTGACGAGGAGCCAAGTCGAGATGGCGCCCACGGGAGCGGCCAAGCTGAAGATGATCAGGTGACCGCGCGCAGCTCGTTTCGACAACCCTTGTCTTAAGAGCACGGATGTAAGCCCAAACGCAGCCGGGGCTTTGTGGATCATGATGGCGACGAAGATGATGAAGCCCAGCTTCATGTTGGACGTGGTTGACGATGCACCCATGGCGATGCCGTCGGCGGCAGCGTGAATCACAAGCCCTACCGTCGTGGCCAGGCTGCGCGCACGTCTCGGCGTCGGCGCCAATGAGCCCAGGAACCCGTCAGATTCCTCGTCCGTCGTCGCGTCACCGCCGCCCAGGTTGTCCAAGCTCATATGCGTCGTCTGAGGCGCAGACTGGAAAGTCTCGGTGGCGTGCCTGGGCAACCTATCAATGAGGAACATGAGGACGAACCCCAGCACCATGGAGAAGCCGACCTCAAAGGCGGGTATCTCGACGCCTTCGTCGTGCTCCTCGTGAGCATCATCCTCGTGCTTGTCTTTGTCTTGGCTAGGGGTTTCTGGCGCCGGGGGAGGATTCTCTGTCGCCGGCTCGTCATCTCTCTTCGATGGGCCTGGTGAAGCCGTAACCGGGACCACAATATCTCTCAAAGCTTCTTCTATATGTAAATCGCCTCGTGGTATTGTGCCACCCGCGTTCGCGGGCGCATCGAGAATGGTTCGCCCCTCAAGCGCAAATTTCCAAGGGGCCCTGCGCGTCAGGTCACGGGCCTTGTGAGCGTGTGACGATGCCTGGCTCGCGGCCGCCTCGATCCCCTCTGGTATGATCACTATGAGTGATGTGCCGACTAGGACTCCAACGCCGATACTTGATATCAAGCGCAGTTGTGACTGCGACAACGTCATGGACAGAGGCAGCGCGCCGGCGAGGAACGAGCTATGGGAGCGTCAGCGATCGGTAACCTGTCGGGTTCGAGGCGATTTGACGTACGCCAGCGCCATGACGGCCTAAAGCAGGAACGTGGTCAGCGGCTATACGCGCATCGTAAACACTTGGCGTGGACTCACGCATAATGCCAGCAGCAGGAGGAGGCCAGCCATGATGGGCGACGTCGATGCTGCGGGTAGTCGTCACCTGTTGGTTACGCGAAAGACATGGCCACTGCGGGCACGCGTCAATGAGCTGTCGGCGCAACAAGCCAGGGAGGCGAGGAGTCGTGTACGGAGTCGGCAGGCGAGTTGGGGCGGCTGCAACGAATTGGTCCGGGAGCAACGAGGTTTGTTCGTCGCGCAGTTGAAGAAACGTGGACTGGAATCGATTGGCTTGGCCCGTGACAGGGATGGCGGCTTCCTCCACTGTCGTCGTCACAGCTTGAGCGCTAAAGGAACCGCGTAATGTACCTGAAAAGCCGCCGCCAACAGCCCACGTTCCAGGTACCCACGCCCTCGGGGCCCACCAGAAACCCCGGAATCCGGCAAAGCCACTCGAGAGATGTTTGTCCCGTCACACAAACCTTGCTTGTCAACTCCCACCCAACACCTCTCGACGCCCTCTCCTCGACCACATCCATACTTGACGAGTCACGATCAGCAGCTGCGCTACTCGCTGGCTCTTGATACCGAATCGCTACACTCGAGCCGACCTACAGGCATAGCTAGCTACCTATCAAGGCGTGGCGCGCTGGAATGCGACTCCGTTTTTCGACTCGATCATGACGTCGTGACCATGGACGGCGAGCCTCCATCCGCCAAGAGGCGCCACATCCTATCGTCTTTCAACCAAGACCGACCGATAGAGGCAGACACAAGGCGCAAGAAGGAAGCTCCGGATGAAGAGAGACATGAGCGCAGAGACTCTCAGGCCCCGAAACGCTCCCCGCCTCGAGACCCAGAGCCTGAAGATGCGGACGGGGATCCGCTGCGCCCGAGGAAGACGCGCTTGAAGCTCAAGAAACACAAACATCGCCATCGATCACGGTCGCGCAGCGGCTCCCCACGGCGACATGACGAGGAGAGCGGCAATCATACGATCGGTGACCGGCACCGGCACCGGCGACGCCACCGCCGGCGACATAGGTCTCCGACGCCTCCCAACATCCACGACGCGCCGCCTCTGGACCCGGAAGCGGCATTTCGGGAGTCTCTGTTCGATGCCATGGCGGACGACGAGGCGGCTCTGTACTGGGAGAGCGTCTACGGCCAGCCGGTCCACATATACTCGAACGAAAAGGTCGGCCCGCAGGGCGAGCTCGAGCGCATGACGGAAGAGGAGTATGCCGCTCACGTGCGGCAAAAGATGTTTGAAAAGACCCACGCTGGCATGCTCGAAGAGAAGGCGCGACGGGAGGAGCGCAGGAAACAGCGGGATCAGGAGGATCGCGAGCGGCGCAGGACGCAAGACAAGGAGGACAGGCGACAACGCGAGCTGCGCGAGGAGATGGAACGCAGCCTGCGGCGCGGCCAGGAGCGCAAGGAACGAAAGACGTGGACCGAGCTGTGGGATCGGTACACGGCCGCGTGGGCAGCCTGGGACGGCGACCCGACGAAAGTTCCGTGGCCGGTCAGAGACGGCGAGCGCAAGTCCATCGACGAGCAAAACGTGCGCGCGTTCTTTCTCCAGGGCCTGAACCTGAGGGAACTCGGCGAGGGTGCGTTTGCCGCCAAGCTCAGGGACGAGCGCGTGAGATGGCACCCGGACAAGATGCAGCAGCGGCTGGGTGGGCGCATGGACAGCGAGGTGATGAAGGATGTGACGGCGATATTCCAGATTATCGACCGGCTGTGGGGTGAGATGCGAGCGAATAAGTGAAGAGAGGCACTGCAGTATGGCCTTGATGGCAGGGCGTGAAGTCAAGATACCCGGACTGGTTTCAGTCCATAGACTACGAGTTAGAAATGTCACGCAGAGAACGATTTTATGCGATACCACCGTATTGCAAATATGTGCTTGATTGATGATAATGCCATTTTAACTGTGAAATCTATTCTGGCAATGGTCGTCTCGTGAGTGACGACATGGCTTCCGAACCACCCACAACGCCGCGGAATGGACCCGATCCGTCCGCCGATTTAAGGGGTATTACATCCTCCGCCCATTCCATCCGATCCTGTCTCTCAACTCTGCAAGCACATGCGCATTTACAGGTTGGCAAAGAAGGCCGCACCGCCCATGAGCGCACCCATGGCGACGGCAGCAGTCGGGGCCGGGCCGAGGGCGCCGCCGGCGGTGCTGGAGCTGGTGGCCTGGGAGCCGGCGGCGTTGGTGGCGGAGGAGACGGCGGCGCCGATGCTGCTGGTGGCGGCGGCGACGGTCTGGGAGATGCGGCTCAGCTCTGCGCTGGCGCTGCTGCGGGCGGCGGCGTCGGTGGCGGTGGAGAGGAAGTTGTTCCAGCTCGAGCGCGCGGCGCCGGCCTCGCTGGTGAGGCGCTGGATGTCGGACGAGGCCTCGGCGGCGTGCGAGGACCACCAGCCCTGGCCCTTGGTGGCGATGTCGCTGGCGATGGACTTGCCGTCCGAGATGATGTTGCCGGCCGAGGAGCCGACGCCGTTGACAAACGTGGACGCGTCGGAGACGATGCCGTTGACGAAGGTGGAGGCGTCGTTGAAGATGTCGGGCTGGGGCGTGGGCATGGGCTCGGGGGCGGCCTGCAGTTTTTACATGTTAGCAATGATTTCTCCAATGAACACACACGGCGTAGACCGAATAAGTCGAGAAGAGTCGTATTCTGTCTGACGTACCTGGACGGCGGCGGCGAGGGCCACGACGGCAACGTTGGTGAACTTCATGGCTGCGGCGGCGGGTTGTGTGGTGGTGTGAAGCTGTCAAAGGGTCTCCTGATGCAAGATACTCAACGGCACGCGACTCGCAGATGGGTCAATGTCTGAATATATGAACAGAGCAGAGCGGACTGAGACAGGGCAGGCAGGATTGGAAAAGCTTAAGATCCGGAGGAAAGGGGAATCGCCCAAGTGCTTTTATATCCCGATCATCCCACAGCGGTCCTTCATCATCTCCACGCACTCACTATACACACGCACGCACACACACCCATGGCGCCGCTAGCCAGGTAGGCAGGCGGGCATGGCTGCCTCCCACCAAGCCTCCTCCCTCTGCCACTCCGTGCAAGTTTTCGCCTCCCCTTCTCCCGCGCGCCGGCATTGCTTCCCTGCTGCGCCCACACAAGCTCCACTTACAACCTAGCACCACCCACGCCCACGTCCAAGTTTGGAGAGTCTGACATTGACTACTAACCCCCCGGCTCGCCTCGCGGACACACCCCCCAGCCCAGCCCAAGGTTCGGCACCAAGTGGACCGGGGGGGGGGCACACACTCACCCATACGTACAGTCGATGTCGCCGTTGCGTGCCTACGCAGCCACGATGCGGCGCTGCTGGTACTACGTACGTAACCCCATCGTAAGGAACGGAGATGGGGGGAGGGAACCCTTTTTCTCAGCGTGGTAACAGGCTGGCGGCTTGCTTTGGAGCTTCTAGACGGCGGGGGAATGGTGGTGGTGTGTGGGCGCAGGCGCGCGATGAGGTGGAGTGTAAGCTGTGGACGGCGGGCGGTAGTGATGGTGCCGCGGGCACCAGATCTCGCTCTGCGCGTCTTTGGTCAGGCGAGGAATGGTAAAACGGCGGGCGGGCGGGCGGGCACGCGGGCACCGTACGATGCCGGTCAACTGCAGTTGTGTAATACCTCGCGCAGGACGCAGGACAGACATTCCGCTGCATCTGCAAGCACGCAATGGCCAAGTCCCCTCGTCCCAGGCAGGACGGGATGCTCCCCTCGGCACCACAGCAACGAATCACTTACTAGCCTGTCCAAGACGTGCCCATCCGACGACCACTGCGCGCTCGATCTGGCGGGCCCTCGATGACGGGGCATCTCGACTGGCCCGTGGCGCCTGGGCGATGCCCGGGAATCTCTCCCATCGGTGGGAGGGAACCTACTGGCAGCTCCACGGCATCAGCCCGCGCTGGGAGGGAGGGTCCGGGTCCCGCGTCTCACTCCTCTCGCGATGCGCCGCTCGCTAGGCCTCGGCTGGCAGCTGAGCCACCGGCAACCCGCGCCGCGCCCACCCATGGAGGCGTTGCGTCACTGTGGAGCGCTGGGTTTATGCTGGTTCAGCAGGAGCAGCGACACAGCAGCAACGTCCCATCACACCCCAAAGGGAATCCCTCCCGCTCGGGTCAAGCATGGCTGTAGGAAAGGTTCCCACGTACCGACCGAGGGAGTCTTCAGCTGGGCCCGGGTCCGTGGCATGATGACGACGCAAGGACAGGACAGGACAGGACAGTGTCTGGGCGAGGGCGAGGGCGAGTGGATTGGGTGTCCACCCGAGATCCAGGCCCCGGTCCGTACGTACGGTATGCTTCAGCTCGCAAGATGTGGATTTTGAATTGGCTTGATTTGTTTTGATGCCCTCTGCCCGGCCGGGTTTTCTGCCCAGGTAGGCAGCTCGCCGTCGCGCAAAAGGTCCCGGCAAGGCAGCAGATAATCACACGTCCGACATAGTAATCCCCAATCCTCCGAGAAACAGAACCGCCCCCCTTCTCCCTGCAGCGTTTTGTCCCAATCGGGAAACAAACGACGAGAAGGAAGGAAAGGAGGAAGAAAGAAAAACACACACAGCTCCCGTCCGTCTAAGCATAAGCCGCGCCCCAGCGCGCCGTACTGCCGGATGTGCGTCGTCGGCCGCGCGCCGCTGCATGGCTCCCCCCCTCCCCCTCCGACGACGCTTATGCAGGCCGTTGCGCCTCCAGCAACAACCAAAAAAAAACAACCCGGTACGTAACCCGGCAGGGCTGCTGGGCTGATGCACGACGACCTGGCATCCATGGGTCCTAGCCCCTCTTGGCGGCGATGCGAACCAGCGAACTGGAAGAGGATCGCGAGACCAGCGTCATTGACACCCAGGCCTTTCGTAAGCCAAGCTTCCCCGGGGACCGGGACCAAGCTTTTGCTTGCTCGGCCCAGAGCCAAGACACCGGTAAGCAGGTTTCAAGACGATGGGCACGCGACATCATAGATTTTGCTTGCTTGCTCGCTGGTTCGTTCTGTGCTCGATGGCACACAAGAGTTGTTGCTACCCGCGTGCCGCGTAGCCGGGCCGAAAATGCCCATGTCCTCCGTCGTTCCGCGCCGGTTCGTCACGCCCTCTGCGCGACAACGTCCTTCATCCATCTGCGCCCGTCCGCCCGCGCCCCCGTCCTCATCGACACAATCAACGGCTGCCACGATCCCAACACGGCTTGCTTGTCTCACGACTCGCGATCATCGTCGTCGTACGTAAGCCCCCCTTATGCCGCACGCAGGGCCTCAGCCACACTTGACGCCCGCGCCGCCGCTCCCACCGACCGACCCCACGCACTCACACCCGCCCACGCCTCCTGTGCCGGCATTCTCGAAGCATTCGGACTCGACCGTCAAGACGCAGTGTGCTTGACTGTGCCATTCTGTACTTGCAGTACGTACTCGTACAGCGACCCCGCCGATCCCATGTTTCTAAATCTGGCAGACTGTCCATCCATCCCCCCCCCCTTCTCCCCACACATCTCTCTTCTCACACCTCGCGGTACGGCGAGATGCCCTTCTTGAGCTCCGCCACAATCTCCGCCGCCTCGTCTGCGCCTCGAGCCTCAAAGTCATACCGCTTGCTCTCCGTGGCCTTGTAGATGACGAGCTATTTTCGGCGTTTCAGCCCATGTCAGCCTCCCACCCAAAAAGTCTCTGCATTGTACAAAAGGGAAAGAAGAACCAAGAAAGAACGCGCGTACGTACCTTGACGTTGGTCGGGTGCTTCCGCGGCACCTTGCACCCGATCACGTTGCTAAAGTGAACCGTCGTCGTCTTCCCGCTGCCGTCGTGCACCGCCTTGCCCCCCGACGCCGGCACGATGTGGATGTACTCGCCGTCAATCACCAGGATCCGCTCGCTCATGCCCACGATGCGCATCGGCTGCTTCCGCCACACCGTGTACTTCTTGTGGTTGGCGCTCGCCAGCTCGTCCTGCTTGAGCGCCTCCCGTGCCAGCGGGTGCGGCCCCAGCATCTGCGCCTTGAGCTTGGCCCGCCGCCCGCCCGACCCGGCGTTGTCTCCCAGCGGCACCGACTTGGGCGACGCGCTGCTCGGAGAGCCCGTCATGCTCAGCGGGCCGTCCGTCGCAAACCGCCTCCGGTACAGCTCCAGGTCCGACACGTTGCCGATCGACGACACTGGCCGGTCAATCATCACCACCGCCCCGGACCCCGGCAGCTTGAGCACGTGGTTGGCCTTGTCGAGCTGCCGCTTCCGACACACCAAGTCCAGCACCTCCGCCAGGTACGTGTCCGTCGTCACGTCCACCGTCACCATTTGCCCCGGCGTCGTGTCCGCCGACATGATGTGGATCCGCAGCAGCTTGTGCTGGCCCCGCGCCATATTGGGCGTCGCCGCCCGCGCCTGTGGTGCGTCGGCGAGCGGCGTGTTTGACCTGTACGTCGTGAAGACGATTGGATTCTGCCGCGGACGAGCCTGCGCATCGGCCGTCGACAGGTTCGCCGCTGGCGTCGGCGCGTTCCGCGCGGTAGCGTCGCCGTCTTGGCTCGTACGCGGCACCTGCTGCGCCTCGTCCTCCTCGCCACCGTCCTCTTGCGGCGTGAGCGCCTTATTCTCTTCGAACTCGTCCTCGGTGGCCGGCACCAGGGCGAATTCGTCAAACGCCGAGGAGTTGGACCGTAGCCTCCCACCTCCACGGGCGCTGGCATTGTTGACCGTCGTGAACGCGCTGAGGGGCTTCGTTCTCTCAAAAGGGGGAAAGTCGTCGTCCACCTCGCCCCCTTCCTCCACCATTCGTAGTGTCCACCAGTTGATGTTGAACTTCTTGGAAGGGATCTGTGGCTCCCTTTTCTCCTCGTTGTACCTGTAGAGGCTGAGGCCGATGAGATCCGCCACCGTCACTACCCGCTCCGCGTTCTGCCCGTCCTGGACGCGTGGCCGGATGAGCACCTCGTAGGGCTTGCCCGGCGTCTTGGAGAAGGGAGCGTAGATGCGAACATTGATAGAGCCTTGCGTCCCCTGGCCGCTAAAGTGTGCAAACTTTTGGAACGGCACTGATGACTTGTGCTGCTTGGCCTTGAGCGCCGCCGAGAGTAAGCTCTGCGGTTGAACCACACTCATCGGCCGGATGGTGCTCATGGGGCGCGGCGGAGGTAATGCTTCCAAAACCACGGGCTTCGGTGGTGCATTGGACCTTCGAATCGTAGACTGTCGTGTAAAGTTCTTGGGTGGTGTTCCAATGACGGGTTGTGTAGGCGACGGGTTGATGGGATTCTCCACGCCTTCCAGGATCGACGCCGAGTCTATGCTCCCGACGTAGTCTCCTGACATTTCCGAGCCCTCATCCGAGTCGTCCTCTTCCTCCTCCTCGGGCAGCAGCGTCGTGTCCGTCCTCTGCAACCCGGGCGTCGGCTCCTCGTTGATCTTCTCTTGCAGCCGCACGGCCTTGGCCGCCGCGCGCGCCGCCTCTCGATGGCGATGCGCCGCAGGCAGGTCGAACTCGTTCTCCGACGAAATCTCGCTGCTGGTGACGGTGTCGCGCCGTGGTCTCTCCCGGACCGTCTCCAGCGCAGACTGCGAGCCTCGGCGCGGCATCCGGGGCGACGTCTGCTGCTGCTTAAGATGCGACGACTGGATGGGCGACGAGCCAGCGCGCTGCCGAACCGGCATCTTCGAAAACTTTATCTGCTGGGCGGCTCGCTGCTCGTGCTCTTCGTCGCTCTCGTCGCTCAGGTCGCTGCTGTCGTCTTCCTCCATCTGCTCCCGGCGCCTGCGCCTCTTAATCGCCATGCCCGGGCCCATCGTGTCGGCACCGCCACCCGTCAACATGCCGCCGTCCTCCTCGCCATCCTCGAGCGTGTGTCCGACCTGGCGGGGGGCCTGGAAGTATTCGGAGGCGATGGCCGTCGGGATCGGGGGCGAATGCGTCCGTTTGGTGTGCGACGAGTTGGGCCGCCATCCCGCCGCCTTGAACGGCGCGGAGTTGAGAAAGCCGTCATTTATCGTGAGAAGGCGCTCTCCGACGCCGTCGGCGATTTCATTGAGGTAGCTCGTCCGCAACTGATATGACACAAGCCTGCGAAGGGCCGTTAGCACTTGACCTTGGGTCTCGTGAGAGTCGGGGCGACGTACTCGTCGAGCTGTATAACCGACATGACGCTGGGCTAGAGTGTAGACGACTCGCCAGAGAAGCGGTCTACATGTCTCGTTAGGCGGCTGATGGCAGTCGAGCGTTGGGAGGGAGAAGAAGCGCGAGTGGATGGTGATGTATGTGGTCTGGTCTGGAGCTGGACGTTGCCAGATGAACGTGGGGTATTCAGGGCGCCGCATCAGCGAGCCGACCCCAGGCTAGCGCAGATGGGGCGCTGCCGCTGGCGCATGCCAGCCACGCCTGATCAAGGCCAGAGCAGCCAGCGCCCCGCTGGACAAACCCGACGTCAGTCGGGCAACCTCAAAGGGAAAAGTCCCATCCGCAACGCGTCAACTTCAACATCGTCACGACAACCCGCGCCCATCGACGTCCGCAACCATGGGCCTCGTCAACTACTCCGAGTCCGAGTCCTCGGGCTCTGAATCCGAGGCGGCCCCCAAGAAGGCACCCTCGCAGAAGGCGCCGCCGCCGCCTGGCGCAAAGAAGCCTTTCCAGAAAGTCGTCGACCGATCCAACCCAGGCAAAATCGTCGTCAGCCTCCCGCAGACCTCCAGCAGCGCAGGCGCCGAGGGCGCGCAGCCAAGCGACGGACCGCCGGCGAAGCGCGCGCGCACCGACGGCGCAAGCGGCGGACGCTTCTCGGGCTTCAACTCGTTCCTCCCCGCGCCCAAGAATGCACGCAACGCCGCGGTGTCGAAACCATCTTCCTCCTCCTCATCTGCGCCTGGGAACGCCCGACCCGTCGTGAACCTCAAGACGAGCGCAGAGCCTGGTTTCAGCAGAGAAAGGGAAGAGCCTCGAACGGACGGCAATGCGGCAGACGGCGATGAGACACCAGCCGGGGGCCTGAGTTTGCCTCCTCCGAAACGAGCGGCCGAGCCGTCGATACCGCAGGGCCAGAAACCGGCAGACGAGGTCAAGCTGGTCGGCAAGCCTCTAATGTTCAAGCCGCTGTCCGTCTCTCGGAAGCCGAACAAGAAGAAGAAGTTCGCGCCGGCGGCCCCTACGGGTTCAACACCGCCGGCTTCAAATGACGCGGGACAAGCCCAAGCCAACGGCGGCGCAGAATCGCAGCCTGCCCCGGCACCGGCCCCGAAGAAGGTGTCCCTGTTCTCATTACACACCGAGGAGCCTACCGCTTCAAGAGACGCAACGAAATCAAGCGGCGCATACGAGCCGCTGTTCGAGACGCCAGAGACATCCAACGACGACTACTACGCGCAGTTCGCGGGCGACGCATACCCCGGCCTTGCCCCGACCACGGCGCCGCACGCATCCTCCACCGCCGGCCAGTCGCTCGACAGCATCGCCGACGACCTCAACCTCTCGGCCGCGGCGCGGCGGGAGCTCTTCGGCCGGGGCTCCGCCGCCGCGCACACGGCCACCAGCGTCAAGAATTTCAACATGGACGACGAGTACCAGCACAACGAGGAGCTGCGCGCCGCGGGCGACCAGCAGACGCACAACCCCGTGCGTGCCATCCAGGGCGGCAAGCACAGCCTGCGCCAGCTGGTGCAGAACGTGCACAACCAGCGCGACGCGCTCGAGGACAGCTTCGCCAGGGGGAAGAGCAATCGCAAGGAGGCGTCGAGCAAGTATGGGTGGTGATGGCTTTGTGTATGGCGAAGCGCCTCACGACCAAATGGTCAAGAATGATACCCAAATGTGCATTTCTCTCTCTTCCCGAACAAAATGCGTATCTATGCTATCTTGTCCATATCTTCACAACATATATACGGATGCAACCAATTCAGCCGATGCAGCCAAGGTTCGCCATGGAGCATTCATCACGGCCAATATCATCAGCGTCGTTAATTTTCGTTGCCCTTGAGCTCGGGTACGGGGTTCACGTCCAACTGATTGCATCGACAAGCAAAGACGGTGATACATGACCCGCCTCCGCCTCGCCGTCAGCACGTTTCGACGGCCACCGTACGACCGCCCTTGAATGCATCATCCAATATCAAGAAGCCCCATTCGCTCCTTGTGACAGGCGAGATTTCGTCATACTCGTTCGGCGTCACTGTCCCCGGGTTACACGTCGTGGGCGTGATGCTACTTATGCCGCCGCCGCCGCCGCCGCCGCCGAAGAGCATCTGATCAAGGGATGAGGTGTTGCCGCAGGCGTCTGGCGCAAAAGCCCGTCGCCCATCAAATGGCCTGGCGGTGACATCCCCATCCCACGTCCCGCCGCCTTGGGCCATGCTCAAAGGGAAACGCGGTAGCGTCTCAAAGCTCGTCTGAAGCCGCAGGGTTGGTCCACGCGGAGGGAGACATCTCTTTACCGACTCAGGGGTCGTGATGGCGATGCCAATCATGCTTTCCTCGACCTCCGTCTCTGGGACCCATGGTTCCTCTTGCATGCCGCAGAAGTAGTCGTCATCCTGAACCCACAGGATGGGTTCTACAACTGCTGGTTTCGCTGGTCTTGATACGGGCAGTGGCGGGAGCGGTCTCCGTATGCCGACGATGGCACCGGCACCCTCAGGTCCACCGTACGCTCGCCTGTACATGGCGTCGAGGTCTTCCACAGCGGCGCTGCTCACGCCCAGCCAGTCATAGCTGCGCAGGAGGTCGGCCTTTGATATCTTGGCACCGCGGCTGGCTAGCACGAAGCGGCGCAGCTCATCGACGGCGTCCTCGAGGCGCAGCGGCGAACGCGTGGTCGAATAGACCGATAGCGCGCTCTTGACGCTGTACAAGTGGTCGAGGGCCACGAGAGTCAGACCTTCGGTGGAGAACAGGACCTCGTTCTGCAGCAGAGACGCGTTGAACAGGGCACCAGGCAGGCAGTATGCCGCGGGGCTGGCCGCCGGTGACAACTGTGGTCCTCTGCTGGAGGTTCCGTCAGCCGCACGCTCGCTGCTCTGAGATGGCACCGGGGAACGGGCACCAACGCCTCACCTTGTGGGGAACCTCTTCTCCGCCTTGGTGAGAGCCGAGTGCAGGTCTTTCTGTGCCCGGAGCGGCAGGTCCGGTGCGTGCATGAGCCGAAGCTTAAAGGGCCGAGTACAGAGATCGTCGGACGTGCCCGTGGCCGACGACGACGTCGTGCACGGCGTCATGGGCGGAGGCGATGACAGGAGCGGCGTCGTGGGGGACAGCGGCCACCGCGCTCTCAACGACCGAAGGGAAGCGGTGGATCTCGGCGAGGACAGCGTGCTGCCACTGTGCTTGTGGCCGTGGTGGTGTTGCCCGGTCTCAAGGAGGTTGCCGCGAGACCGCGAGCGAACGAGCCCCTTGAGCCCGGCCGAGACGGACGTCAGGGTAAACTTGGAAGCCCCGCTGGCGGCGCCGGCACTCGGGGGTGTAACGGGCGTCACGGGCGAGAGGAACCCCGGAGAGCCGTACGGCGGCGGCGCCGCGGCAGGCAACTGGTAGTCCCTCCGGACAACGACGAGGGTCAGGTGCAGCGCCCTGCGTGCGAGGCGGCCCGCGGCGTGCTCGAGCGCGGGGACGAGGTGTGGCGGGAGGTGGTGGGCGTCGAGGACCGAGGGCCCGGCCTCGAGCGGCGATGAGATGTGATCCTTGAGCGCCATGCTGCGAGGGTGCTTCGACGAAGACGACGACGACAACGACGCGGCCGACGAGGTCGCCAGCACAGGTACGGCGACGGCGGCGGCGGCGGACTCAGACCCCAACGAAGGCCGGGCCGCCATCTCTGATATGTACTCTGGCCGGAACACTCCGTGGGAGCAGGTTTTTGCTACCTACCCTTCCCCCCTCTTTGGCCCCCCCGCAACCCTCCGATCAACCTCTTCTTCTTCTTCTCGAAGCAACACAGCACAGCCCGGTGCTCACGCGCCGTTGGTCCGGCCCCTCTCATCCGGTTGCCGGGCGAGCACGCTGCGTCTGACTGAGGGACTGACTGACTGGCTTGCCCCTCTCGCTCGCAGGAGGGCAGTGTCAGTGTCAGTGTCCGTGACGGGGCCGCTTCTGCCGCGGCAAGAGGAGAGGGCAGAAAAAACGTGGCCTTGGCGGAGCAACAAGGAGTCGGCAGTTGAAATGGGAGCGAGGGGGAGGGGTCAGTCTGAAGTGAGCCAGACACAACGCCGGTCGATGACAGGACAGACGCAGGGAAAGGGGCCCGGGGGGGAGGTCGTCGCCTTACCCGCGTTTCCGCCCGAGACGGGCGTTGGGCGAACGGAGACGCGGAAGCGAAAAGAAGACGAAGATAACGGTGTTGGAAGGGCAGTTGCTGTAGCCAAGAAGAAACGGGGGCGAGGCAACGATGTTGGATGAGAGATAGGGAGGGGGGGGAAAACAAAAAAGAGGTGGGTTTGCACGTCTGCGCCCCCACGTGCATGCGTCGTCCGTGCCTGTCCTTTGCAGCGAGTGGTGTTGGTAGTTGGTATGCTCGGGCACCGAGTGCGTTTGCAGTATCGCACTGGAGTTTTTGTCGTTGCCAAATACTGTACAGTACCTCCCCGTGTGACAGACACACTGGACGGCGCCCGCCACTTGTTATATCTCGCTTTTGCTCGTCATTCCCAATCCGCAACGCCGCAAACAAACCTGCAGTCCCGAGGTCCCCTGATATCTCACCCATCCAAGCCGTACTGTACTTTGTGCATCCCAGCCGTCCTCGTCCATGGCTTTTTTTCCCGCACGCGGCGCGTTTCGGGGCCCCAAACGCCCGCCACCACCCGAGCCAGCAAGCAAGTAAGCGCCGTTTCGGGTTATTTTAATAACTACTTACACGGCAACAACAAGCCATGCAATCCACCACGCCCGGCCCCAAACATGACATGGATGGATCAACGGAACGAAATGGTCCTTTGCGACGGGCACGCATCATATTACCCGCCGGCCGCCGCCCTTTTCCCTCGTCCTTCCCCCCCCTTTCCGCTGCAGCCCGACTGCCGGCCGAGGCCCCTCCCCTCCCCTCTCCTCGCGGCGGAAACCAACTGACTGCAATGGACGGAGCGCCTCCACAGTCTTGGACCCCTGTCCTGTGTCGTGTCGTCGTTGTCCATCACAGGTCCCCGTTTCCGCATTGGGCGCCACGTATCTGCAGGTCCCGCGGTCCCCTCCCCGCCTTTCCGCGCTCCTGGCTGGCTGGTTGGACCTTGGCTCCCGGGGCAGCTGCTACTGCAAGCCTCACGGTCCTCGTCACTCACGCCCCCGCCGCGACCCGCTGCCCCGGGTCGGCACAGCGGCCGCCGCTTCAGGTCGGCGGCTAAGTACTAATGCGACTCCATCATCATCATCGAGGGACCGGGTGGTGGCCGACCGCCCTTGTCTTCCGGCTCCGTCGACCCAGCCATCCTTACCGTCCATCCATCCATCTACTGCCGTTTATTTATGTACGTACTTGCGTAGTATGTGATGCTGAATGTGGAGAGAGGTCGTGGGAGCTATTTTCGACACCGGCAGCTAGCACCGAATCTGCCTGGCTGGACTTTTCGTCTGCCGGGCTTCAGACCTTAGCGGCGCCAACCCGCCCCTCGTGATTCGTTCTCCCCAAAATAGCTGTCACTGAAAGCTTCTATCATGATGGCCTACCCACTACATCAAGATCAATTCTGAAGCTCTGGCGGCTTCATCACCGCGCGAGAGGGCAGTTCAAATCAGTGGATAGACACCGCTGTACGCCGACCATCTCACATGCTGGGTCTTCTGTGGTGGAGGGACCGCATAATATGGGCCCTTTTTCGGGAGCTCTCGCGCCCGGTTGGAATCCCGACTACACTTGCACAACGTCTTCAACGATCGACCATAGCCGTCACAGCTATGACAGCTGTTGAATTTCTAAAATACTCGTAGACTCGGTACCGGCGTCTCCGCCACCTAGCCACCGAATACGCTCTCGTCCGTCTGTAGCGGCAGCCACATCAGCTTCGCCGATCCCGAGTTGCCCATGCAAGCCAGCCGTCGCTTCGTAAAGTCGTTGGAACCATGCGCCCATGCTCCGCTGCCATGCACGCCTTGTCGATCGAGCCACACTTTTGGTTTCCCTGTCTACACCATTGGCTCTGCGTAAAACAAGACGGTGCCATGAGAACAGCCCTGAACGCCTTGCTCGAAATCAATCCCCTTGCATCCTTTGCGCCCACACGTGCCCTCTCGCCGCGGCAGGTCTCATGCCGTGTCGGGTTCGATGAAGTGGCCAACTGCTTCCATGGAGATGCCGATATTGGCCTCCATGGCTTCCGATGATGCGCATGATGCCCCCTCCCAATCTGTTGCCTGTCAGCATATACCCCGCCATGCCGCGCTCGCGGTCGCTGTGTAGTCAGACTCACCCGAAACATCATCGTCCGCTTCATCCACCATGAGTCGTTGCAGGGGCTCAACAATCTCTGCCAAAAGGTCAGCATTGCCCATGACTCGAGGCGGTCTCGAGGCAAGGGAACGCATACCGCTCTGTATCGCCGAAAACATGATGTCTTCATCGAATCTCGGCCCCTCCGCGCTTCCCGGCTGCGGTGCGCATTTACCCACCACCCGCAGGATGCAGTAAGCCGCCTGGCGCTCGATCCGAATTCGGCGCTTGATGTGCACCTCGCGTAGGTAGACCAGGCACTGTTTGGCCAACTGGCAAACCACCTCGTCTAGAGACTCGCTGTCTGCCACGGTGTCCGTGTCGTCTATCTCGTCGGCACTCCCCTCGCCCTGGGATGGATGTGCCAACCACGGCTCGAGAATTTCCTCTTCGATCAGCTGTTCCGCTTCGTGTCTCGTGTCAGCGTCGGGGTAGACCAGAAGGAACGGTGCCCACGACGGAATCAGCTCCCGGCAGTACGACTTTCTGAACTTGGCAGCCACTTCGTCTGGCTGCTGTGAACGCATCGCCAACCTGACAAAGGACAGGAATGCCACCCCTTCATAGTTCTGCAATTTTCGGGCTTGGTCGCAGATGTGCCGGATGAGGACTTCCGCGTGCTTCGTCGCCTGAGTGCTCTCGATATATCGCTCAGCTCCCTTAAGAAAGGCGTCGATGTGTGGATTCACCGAATCGACCTGAAGGTTGCGACAGAGGGTTTCCAGGATCTTCACTTCCATGTACGTCCCCATGGTGGATAAACGACCCACGATGCTTTTCGTGGGCTCCCAAGCCTGGTCAATGGACAACAGCTTTTCCACGAAGAGACTGCCCACACGGCCGACCGGCTCGTCATGCACAATTTGAACCTCCTCCGAAGTCCAGGGGACCGGCGTTTCCTGGTCAAGCCGATCCGAGGCATCCTCGACGATGAACTCAGCACCAAAGGCGGGCTGCAGCTGCGCCATCAGGTGATCGATGAGTGCTATGATGGCATCATACGACGGAGCCCTGGTACCCCGCCGCAGAATGGTAGTGAGCATGCGAGCGTAGTTTGCCGTCAGATTGCTCGACGCGTCGGCGGCAATAATGCGCAGGAGCCGCTCGAGAAAATCTTCAGAGAGGAGCGCAACCGCCTCGCGCGGCCCGAGCTTTGCAAACGCCAACATGGTGCCAAAGACCTCATCCCACGAGCGGAGATGGAACTGGAAAAACTGCCACAAATGATTGAACAGCATGACCATACCTCGCAATACCGACTGCCTCGCGGGGTCGCCATTTAACGCAAGTCTGCCGTGCTCAGACATGTCGTGCCCGTTGGCGATTGATTCAGCACCAGCAACATAACGACCATCACGGTCGTAGACCTGGGGCAGCTCCTCCGCGACCTTCCGGGCGGCACGGATCATCGCCTCACCTGCAAACGCCCGGACGTTCTGCTCGGGGCTGCGCTGAAGCAGTGCCCTGTATGCCGAATGACGCAGCGTAAAGTATTCGATAAACTCTAGAGCGCACCTCGGGCAGTCGGAAATTGCGTCCTGAAGCGACCCCGAGTAGCCAGTGAAAAGGGGCGTGTCCTTCGTGCGGGAGACGATTTGGTCCAAGTGTGCCAGTGCCACCTCCATGCCAAGGCTCTGCAGCTCGTGGCCTCGACTCTCCGGCGAGACGAGTTGCCTCTCCACCTGCTTGCTTCGATTGAAACAGCTTTGAACAAATATGGTGTGCGAGGGATCGAAAAGACAGTGACGCCTCAAGATGACTGTGTTTTCAGCCACGATGTGCTCCTGCAACGGAGCCGGTAACGCGACTCGCAGTGGAGCGGACTGATTCTGTGTAGTCATTGCAGTCTGCTGCATCTCCATCGATGAAGACCGTTGGTAGAAAAGCATGTAAGCGCTGTAGGCCTTGTCGTAAACCATGCCGTTCGTTTCGTACGCGGCCCGATGATCAGGGCCGCCAAATGTCGCGTTTGCCAGGTGCGATGGGTCCCACGGCGTCACGATGTCGTCGTTAAACTCGACCCAACTGTCGACGCCGAGGGGGCAGGGTCGCTCCCTAATGTATGAGTAGTAATGGCCTGATTCGGCCGTGCCCGTGTGGACGAGCACTCCAACGAGCTCGAAAATGTCCTCTTCTGCTGCAGCATCCGGGTCGCTCAGGTGCTCTATTGTGTAAGGCCGCAGGTTGATTTTACGAGGAAATGAGAAGTGGTCATTGATCTTGCTGCGCTGGAGGGTCCGCAGGTTGAAATCGAAACGTTTCAAGTGGAAAATGACATTGTCAGGGACGTCTTTCAGACAGGCTCTGCCTCTTTGTCAGTATAAGGGATTAGCATCAGGGGAGTTGTCACGTACCTCTTGACGGCATCCACATGTCGGTCGCACGTAGAACATTTGTACTTGTTATCTGGTCATTGTCAGCAGATTCCGAGGAGCGCAGGGCTAGTAATCCCTTACCGCCATCCATGACTTCGCCGCCCACATATGCCTGCAGGCTCTCTTCCAATGTGCCGTTCCCTTTGATGTCGCATTGGATTGCCGAAAACGGTTCGAGCCTCTCCGAGATGTGCTCGCACTCCTTGGATTTAACTTGCTGTACCAGCTGCCCACCGTAGAAGGACCTGAGCTTCTTGCGATCTTCGGCCAGAGGAAACTGGCCTTCCCAACGGTCGAAAAGTAAGTTGTAGAACTCATCGACGTCCATTTGATTGTATATGTCGATCATTGTGTCATCGTAGGTTTTGATGGCACTGACGAAGGCTATCGGATCGACATAGCGGCGATAGCTCTCCTGCAAAAAGCCGAACACATTCTGGGTATGGAACAGCAGCTCCTGGGTATCGCTCGGATCCTCCGTGTTCACACTCAGGATAAATTGGCGAAAGTTCGCGTTCATGTACAGCTGTGTCAGAAGAGAGTTGAGGTAGCACGTGTTGGAAAGGTTTCGCAGTCCAGCGTAACCGCACGGCGATCGAATAGCCTTGAAGCGATCAAACTGCTGAGGGAGATCGTAGAGGTAAGGCTCATCTTGTGGTCAATTGTCAGCAACGTAAGCCAGATTTTGAGTTGAGAAACACGTACCGTCCTCATCCTCGTAGAAGGGCACGAGACGATTGAGAAGATTCAACACTCCATGTAGCTCATCGTAATCTTTGCTCGCCAAGCGGAAGACGATATCGTAAAGCTTCGCTCGCGTGTCTGTGTTCAGGATAACGCGTGATACAAGCAAGGCACCTTCCTTGACCTGCTCTGGGAAAAGATGTCGGGAGAAAATGCGGCGAATGAAATTTCTGCGTGCTGTCAGTGGCAAGCCTCGTGGTGTAGCAGGACTGATAACGCACTCGGGCCATATCTCGGATGTGGCCAGAGCAGGGTCTCCGTTAAGACATAGCTGCAGCAAGGTAGCTAGGCCAGCGACGACAGGGTCGCTTGGATCTTGTTGCGAGAGGTGCTGATTCCACTGTTGTTAGCCATGCCTAAGAGAATGACTTGGAGTGGCTTGGCGCTTACCTCGATGGTTTCATGCTTCAACAGGAGCTTGCTGACCTGCGAAGCCAGCCCTTCCAAGTCGACCTGTCCACCCAAATGAAACAATAGCTTTCTCAAGAGTTTGAATAGCTCATGACACTGGTGAGGAAGCCCAACCGCGTCCCGTATGAGCTCTGAGACTACTGACCACAGGTATCGGGCAAGGCCGGGAACCTCGGATTGGTCAGACGACATGGCACCGTCGTCTTGGCCGTCATATGGCGAGACGTCCGCATCCACGAAGTTTTCCAGGAGTTCCACAACCGTCATCCTTGCTGCCCTTCTTGGGTTATAGAGAACGAGTGTCTGAATGAGATCACGGAAGACTGGGTCTTGCGCCACATCAGCCCAGAAGGGTTGATCTGACTGGCCAAGCCGTAGAATCGCGATGCAAGTGCTCGCAATCAGCGGCAAACCCGCGTCGCCCTGACATTCGACTGCATTGGATAAGAGTTCGACGAGGCGCTTGGGAGGGGGCCCATTGGTGGGGTTGCAACCGACTTCAGACGCGCTGGATCGACGTGTCCCTGTCATTTGTTAGCAGGCTGAATGTAGCACGAAAGAACCTCTAGGCTAAACGCACCTTGCGTCAACTTGACAAAGGTTTGCATCAGAGCACTCGCCACCCGCATTTTCAGTGATGTTGAGGTTCCCGCCAAAACATCTGGATCGGACAGAGCCTGAACGATGAGACGCAAAGCTCTGTGAAGCACTTCATCTTGGCCGTTGGACGTTGCCGTCTCCTCGGGGCTCTGTGCCAAAGAAGCCTCTGAAGTAGTCCGTCGAGCGCTCTCGACGTACTCTGTCAGGGCATGAATGGCATACAGAGACTTGAAAGGCTGTCCGGGGAGGAACAGCTCTTTGTAAGAGGACGTCGAGTCGCTGTCGAATTGTGACATGATGTAGCCGTCTGCTGGAATATTGACAATAAAGTCATATATCTGCGCAATGTTAGACGCGAGCTGAGGCGCAATGTGTATCACACCGAGCATTGGGGTGTTCACTCACCTCTCCTGCGATCCGCTCCTCCATGCTAAGGTAGTCCCAGAGCTCCTCGAAGTGTGCCAGAACTTCCACCTCGAGCGGAAGCGATCCGGGCTTTATCCGCCGTGGCGAGGACGAATAATTCTCTTCCCGCTTGACTATGATGAAGCCGTCTTGGATATCAAGCTCTTGCAATGACTTGCAAATGTCTTCCTCTACCGGCATCAGCTGGCGGCCGCGGTAATACGCGCGATAGTTGTCGAAGCCTGTCTCTTCACGAAGGCTCGCGAGGAGTGATGACACAGTGTTCAGTTTGCCGATATTCAATGGCATGATGTCGGTTTGTTCGTCGCCATCGAAGGACTGATACTTAAGCTGTGCTGAGTCGCCCTCAACTCGATCGGGTGTCCTGGACATGAAAGACCGCAAATCTGCCACTGCAAAGTTGGGCTTGGACTGGTACTTCTTGAGGAAGAACCGGAGCAGCTGCAGGGAGCGAGTGAAAACGCGTTCCTGTTTGGCAGTCTCCACATCAGAGATAACAATGGCCATTGAATTGTCATCGCTGCTCGATGCATCACCGAGAGATCGCTTCAGGACATCAGCCGCGCGCTTGAGCTGATCCAGGCAGCGACTGACGAGCGCAAGGTGCATCCGTTGTGCGTGGGGCGAGGGGTGGCCGGTGATAGAACCCCCTTCCAGATACACGCCAAGGGTAAGCGTCGAGATTGCTTGTATCACGAGAGTCGAATCTTCGGCCTCTAGTATCAGTCTCCAGAGCTGCTCAATCGCGGTCCGGACTATAGGAGTCTCGTCGTCCAGGATTGTACCGCCTTCGTTTGAGAAGCACTGCAACTTCTCCCTGACGAACTCCAGAACTCCGTCGCAAAGATACTCTGTCGGCAGTGTCGGAAGAAAAGATGCGAAGCATGTCTCGAGAAATGTGTTACGGAATGATGTTCTCCTGGACGTGCCGAGGATGATGTGCCATCCTGCGCGCCGGTCATCTGAGCACGTCGACTTTGACCCCACGAGCAAATCCCATAGTCTTGGCCCCAAGTCGTTGTCGATCGACTCGGGCTGCAGCTGGATGAGATTGGTCACAAACTCTCTTCGCGGATGGTTGATGATGCCAGAAAACACTGCGCAACCGGCACCAGATCGGTCTGTGAGTCCCGCATGTTCGAGTTCCTCCACGAGCAGCTTTGCCAGATCGTGGTGCTCTGTCAGAACTTGCATTTGAGTCACAGTCTCGTTTCGGATTGCCATTGAAAGGCACCAAAGACTTCCTAATGTGGTAGTCGACTTGGAAGCAATGTCAAGGATACAGCTCTGGTACAACTGAGCCCGGCCATCTGCATCGGGGCCGTAGCCAAGGAGTTCCTTGAACTTTTGCATCGCAAGATGCTGGACTTCCCGATCCACTATCTGGGAGTCATGGGACATGACGGACGAATCTCTCAGCAGGCGCAAGCAGAGGACGTATGGCTGAGAGGGGAGCGTGGAGCGGTCTTCGTCGCATCTGCGCATCGTTTCACACAGGGTGTTATCCAGTGCCATCCGAACCGGTGCCGAGAACCGCTCCAGCGGAAGCGACTGGAACTTTTGGCAGATTCGCAAGAGCTCTGCCAGGTCGAATAGGGCCAAGAGGGTGTTGTGCACGCGTCTGAGAGCATCCACCACGCGAGGATCCTGGCTTGACGTCAACCCGTGCCATATTTGATCCGAGTGCTCCGCGTGGTATGTTTTCGTAACGACCAGGAAGCCGATGATGTTGGCAGACTCGACTATGATTTCCGGGTGGCAGCTGCCGCCCAAGATGTAGTCGATGAGCCCGGTCTGGAGCAGATACCCGGCCAAGTGCTGGACCAAATCAAGGCTGCAATACTCAGCGCGTTCATTAAAACGCTTCCACAGATTGATGAGGTGTGTGCACAGCGTGGTGACGCCGGCCATGCGTATGTGCATTTGACTCGAGCGAACGAGCTTCTCCAATGCGTCCACCTTCCATTCCCACGCAATCGCTTCACGCGCGATGTTGGGGCTAAGCGAAGGGTGCCGAATTCTGTGGCTCATAAGGCGACCTTTCGCTTCCTGGCTGCCGCTGCGCAAAGACAGTGGCAAGACCTCGGCGAGGTTCTGAATCGTTGTGCTGGCACATTCAGGGTTCAGGCTTGCGATGTGCTTGTCGATAACGGCCATCAAGGAAGTCGACATGGTTTCCATCATCAGATGGCAGGCGGCTAGGTCACTGTTGGCGCATTCATCCTCATCTTGACTCTCGTTGGAAGTTCGAAGCGCCGCGCGTGTGTGGTCCTTGAGAGCCCAGCTCAGGGCAGCGAAGTTGTCTGCCAGCTTCGGCCACCGAGAAACAGCGCTGGCCAGCGCGTCAACGAGCTCTGCGAGACCCTTGGCACAACCTGCAGGGCTATCATGCAAGATTCTAACGAGATGAGCCTCCAAGTTGGCCGGGTTCCAGCCGGGCTCGGATACACTCTCGTTGAACGGGTCGGGCTGGCAGTCGAGTGATGACACTGTGTTACGGAGCTGCTGAATGTATGCGGGAGCAAGAATGGTCGGGGCCGAAACGCCTTCGGCAGGTGGACTGCTTCGAAGGGCCATGGTATCGAGTGCGATGTTGTGTGCAGTCAATCTTGCGAATGCAGCATAAAGGCTCAAGAGACGGTGCCTCAGTATGGGGTTTCTCAAGAGCTCCCAACTAGACAGCGTCAGCGGCGGGCAACCTTTAAAACAAGGTGTCTACTTACGTGCGTGGCAAGAGACTGGCAACAGCCTGGGGGAATGCATGCCAAAAGTCTCTATGAATGATGCGCGACTCCAACACGACAAGTGGGTCCGACTGTTTCGCGAACTTGAGATAGTCGTTCAGCCAAGTGACGACATCGTCGAAGACGTGACCGTCCATGATCTTGTCTGGCAGGCTGTCAGCATATCCACATTTGGCCAATTGTATGCACTTACTGGATGAAAAATAGTCCGCCAGGCGCTGTAATGTCACGGATAGCCGCTCAGGCGGCAGACAGTATGGGAACTGGGCTGTTGGATCGGCCACCTGCTGGATGTCGTCTACCGCTCCAGCAGCAGATGAAGCAGCCGAAATGTCCATCTCCATCTCCCCCTCGCTGCCGGCATGAACCTCGTCTGTCTCGTTGATCGGGATGACTTCAACAGGAGGGCTCGCGCCGAGTCTTGACGATGGCGTGCTCCCAGAGTCAGCAGGGGGAGCCTCCGCCGTCTCTTCACCGGGGGTCCGTGCATCCCGCCGAATGTCGACGGATTCCGGGGGCGTGGGGTCAACTTCGGAGCGCGGCTCAAGCGACGCGGGCGACCCTGGCGGCGACGCGGACTCTGAGCGTCTGCGGAGGTTGATGGTTACGCGGCTGGGTGGCGGCTCGAGCGAGGCCTGCCGTTGCTCCGGTGTGCGTGGGGTGGCGGGCTTTTCGTCCACGGCCATGGCGCTTCCAGACCGGGACTGTTCGCCTTCGAGGGTGGTAGAGCTCGAGGCGTCATGAACTGGGTTCACGGTATCGAGAGACGCTGTTGGCGATCCAGAGGCCGAGGTGCGGCGGCGCTTACGCGACGAAATTTCACCGTCGTCAAATGGATTGGGGCGAGTCGAAGGGTGCTCAGGAGATGACGCTTCTTCCGGCAGCTCGGAAGCGGATGTGAACGATGGTGAGCCCGGCGCCATCTGACTTGTGTCGAGGGAGCTCGGGGCACGAAGCTTTAAGGTGCGAAGACGTCACTGCGTCGTGAAAGCCGTCCCGGCGGCAGCTGCGCAAAATTAACATGTGTGTTGACTAAGCAAACTGCGCATCGGCGTGAGATGGGACAAGGAGCTGGCCGGGCGTCACGGCTGAGTGAAAGTTGATGGATGATTCGGAGAAATGGGAAACAGGCTGGTGATGTCGGATGCAATGAAGATGAAGAGAGGTGTGAGGCAGGTAAGTTTTGGAGGGCCAGGATTGGCTGACGGGACGCGGTGCTTGTGTGGGACCGTGACGGTGGACAATAGGCGACGTCGAGTGGGTGGAGGGGTAGCTCGCGCCTGCACGACTTCGGCGAGGTTGGCGGGGGAGGGGGGAGGACTGGGTACCAGGTACGTAGAAGCTGTCACGGCAACGGGACGGGATGGAAGCCCTGCCCAGTGGTATGTGCGGTAGCGCTGGCGGGATCGCTACAGGTAAGGTAGGCACTAGGCTTGACCCCTAACGCGCGGAAGGTAGGTAGGCTGGGCTACCGGATAGCGACGTCTCGTTGGCGGGAGCTGGATGTGGCCGGAGAGGAAAAGGTGACGGGAGCGACTGCCGCGAGAGCTCTACAGTGGGGAGCCTAGCAGCCCTGGGAGTGTCGCGGGAGGCGCGGGTGGGCTCCAGTTGCCATGTGAGGGACGGGAGTGGAGGGTCCCTGAGGTGCCTCCATGACTGACTTCGGGCGAGACCAGTAGCCGTCGCCACTTGGCTGGCTCGCTCCAAGCTTGTTGGTGCCTAGCTCCCCGGCTCGGACAGTGGATGGACCCCGGCCGCCCGGGGATCTGGGGCGTCGTCGGTTCCAGGTGGGCCTCACATCCGGCACGCTTGCGCGTGTGAGGGCCTCCTCCAGGCTCCAGCTGGCCGTGTCCCTCTCCGCTGTCGAGCAGCTCGTCCCAGTGTCCGTGCCCCAGTCATCAGCGGGAGCCTGGGCGTTCTGATAGCCGCGCACCATCGCCAGGCATTCTGCAACTTGCGCGGAAGAAATTGAAGGAATCGGGCACGCGAAAGAGTCGTGACTTACCGTTCTCGTTGTGCGCGAACACGCTCTAATGCACTCCGCGTCTTGTTGCGACAGTACTGTGCCACGGACAACGAGACAAGCTGACAGAGAAGCTAAGCGGATATTAAAGGAAAGACACCGAAAGCGCATGGATATGTGTGCGCATGCGTCTTCGTGAACTGCGGTGGCGGCGGCAAAGATTGCGCGATGACGGCTAGACATGTGCTGGTCGTGGCCCGTGAGAGGATCAAGGTGACAAGGTCCAGTGCAACACGTCGTCACCGCGGCCAGGCAAACAGCTGTGACAGTGATTGCTGACACTAGCAGCTGCGAGTGCGGCTCGGGAATCGAAAAAAGGCGGGAGACGGTCTGCGGTCTGCAGCCTGAAACACTGAAACAGCGCGGTGCCTCGCTTGTGTACCGATGGACCTGGCTCGAGCGGATGAAGGGGCAAATGATTACGGACACAGGGCTGTCATTAGGGTTCAGCATGTCACGTCGACTCAGCAACCTGAAAGTTGCCATTGGCATCGAGGCCTCGCGGCCCGGTCCCGCCTGGGCAATTACGACAGGAGGCTTCGCCGATGGTCACGAACGGCGTGATTGGGTTGCATCACAGAGTCTCGACTGAGGAGCGGGCATGCCAGGTCCAGTGTCACACAGACACACCTACATCTTAGGGCGGCTATCGTCTGCGAAATGTACCGGGAAACACAGCTAAGTAGAAAACAAAACTTAAACTGAGATATGAATCCTCAGTCACGTCAATGGCGAAGCTACCACGTCAACTCATGAAGGCTACCCTGCACCTCGGGGTACAAGGCCTCCTCCGACCAAACCATGATGTGGAGTGCGCAGAAGGTGAATGAAAAACACCAAAGGTTCCATGGATAACCCCGCGGCCTGTGTGTTGTTTGCAAATCCAACCAAGACAGGTATTTGGGGCTTTCGCTGCTCATACGCACAGAGCATGTCAATATCTGAGTTTGGGCGGCGCGCATCCTTCTGGAAGCCATGCCGACACCCCTCCCCTGTCTCGTGGCTTGCGCACAAGTCCATGCCATCCCTAGACTGGTACGGACTACCGGCACGGCAAGGGCAGCGTCAGCGACAGGCGTTCGGCTGCAGGGTGCGAGGCTCTGCTGCACAGGACCTGGAACGCCCCACGAAGCCGCGCTGGCCCGGATCAACACCGGCGACTGAGGTCACAGGTACTTTGCCAATTTTAGGCAGGCCCACCTGTGGTCGATTTTGGCACGCCCAACTCAGGCTCCACCATCCAACCTCATCTCATGCCTTGCATAGCTTCACTTGGTCTCATTGTGCACCACCTTCTACGCCCGCTGTTCGCGTTGGCATGCTGTATTCCTCAACTTTTCCCCTTCCTTTTTTACATCCATAACTGCTCCATTTCAGCCGGGTGTTGAGCCCAGAGCTCCCCATAATGGTGTTGTCGACACAGCCCACTGGGCGCAAGAGGCTCATTCATCATCTCGATACGCCCTTTTCCTCTGTTGCGTGGTAAAGCTGGCACCCCGGACCCGATTAGTGGCAGCATGACTTACATGACCAAGGCCTGACGTATCTTTTGACGATCAAGACGCCATCTTGGAGATGCTGTGCAAGTAAGTGTCATTCATCGACGCCCACACCTCTCCTGCTCACGCGGTATTGTAACGTAGCCTTCTCAGCCCCATCGGGCAACACAGAAGGCATCATACAAAACCTTCCAAGGGAAAGAGAAGTGGCAAAACACGTGCGGACTCAGCGGCAGACGCGTCAGTCGCGAATGAGACCCACGTGCAAACAGCGCCGCAAAAGCCCGAACTCAGCGCCCATGTCGATGTCGGCTTCAACTCGATTACCAGGAAACTCGAAGAAACGTCCAAAGAAACGCCCAAGGCGCGAGGAGACACTAGCGCCCAGGCCACAGGCGATGCTAAGCGCCCGTACTCGATGATTTTCGTTGCACGAGGAAATCAGTCGTCGGCTTTCAACTGCCACTTCCCCAGAATGGTTGGTGCGGCAACCCGAGCCTCGCCGTCTGAAGAGAGAACACGCTTAGTTGGCTTCTCCAAACCGTGCTCTGAGAGGCTAAGCGCTGTCTTGGGCGTCGCGCGGGTATCGTCCGTTGCCGTGATGCGCGATGCCCCGGGTGCTGAAGCGCTGTGGGCGTTTGTACAAAAGACTGTTTCACCCGTCGATACCTCATGGCTCGAGGAGAGCAAGGCTAGTGCTTATCGGCCAACTCAAATTGGTTCGACGGAGACGATTGTTGGAGCAAAGAAGGCAAAGATAACGGCCTGAGCGTTGTAAATTAATTAAAGTCATACGGAGTCGCCCACCTGTCACGAGCGAGGCATCCCCAAGAATCCCATTGAGAGCCCCAGTCCGCTGCGCATCCCACCTATGCGACATCCTCTGCTGGCGGGCATTGCCAGTAACCCATTTCAAGGCCAAATGCTACTACAACGATATTATGGGAGAAAGTCTCTGAAGGAAAGGTGCATTGTAAATTGTTCAAGAGATCCCCCGAGTGCGTTCATGCTGTACTATTTGGTATTCTGAGGGTAGATCGACCGAAGTGCTGCACGGCCCAACAACCCCTACACAGTTTCCCCCATGTCCGACAAACACCTGCTGCAGTGGTCAGCTGCCGAAGACTCGCCGCACGTGAGACAGACAGACGACTGTTCAGTGTTCGCGTGTCCGTTTGCCGGGCCGTCGGTCCTTTCCCGGGGCAACCGCAGGTGTGCGCACCTGCCACGTGCCCCTCGGCTGTACAAAAGCCGGCCGAAGCTCCTTCCAGTGCAAACACAGCGACCGCTTCCCCTGTGCGGGCTGTTGGCGACTTCCATTCTTACCCATAACACAGTCTTCGCGTCTGCGCTGACTAGCGAGTCCAGGAGACGCCGCCTCACCTCGACCGCCGGAATACTCTTAATTCGGACAAATATCTTCTTACCGCCCACCTCTGCTGTCCTCAGCGCGGGCTTTCGGGATCGGTAAGGCATAGAAAGCCCAAGCGAATCAGTTTGCTGAAGGTGGAAGCCTTCGTCTCCCAGCCCTTGCCTGTCGACGCCTGCGATGGGACTGACGCTGCCGTGGCGAAGTACAGACAGCATACCAGACTCTCGGCAATCTGGCCCATTTCTGGCAACGTAAAGCTTTCAGTGGTCTCGCGTCTCTCGCCCTCGTTTGGGCCACTTGAGCAGGCGAAATGAGTGGCTCAGGATACAACGATCCGGAGAAGTTGGCAGCTGCCCAGGAGCTTGCCCGAAGCTTCAAGTCGGGAGGCGACAGCAAGCACCGACGCGGAAACGCTCCAGGCAGGACCGCCGCGCCAAAACGAGCGCCCCAACCCACCCAGAAACGGCCTGTCATTCAAAATCCGCAACCTTCGAATGTTCTTGTCCCGCCGCCTCCAAGCCAGCGACAATACGGCGGACTCGGCAGATTTGGGGACCCCAGCGCCAATTACGGACAGCCGCCTGTGCTCGGCAATTCTGCAGCAGATTTCCTACGCCGCGTTGACGACAAGGCCCCCGCGAAATCGGTAAACAAACCGCCTGCTGTGGAGCAGGGACCAGGCGACACAAACAGTTGTCCTCCCGCAACTCAGATAGCGAACCCCACCTGCATCTTCGAGGAGCAGAAACCTGAAGATGCCCAACCTGGATCTGTCCTAGACACGTTCTTTTTCTTTGTGAACGGAGGAAAGCTTCCAGATGAGAAACAGAAACCCGAGGTAGAGTCAACCGAAGACTCGACCGAACAGTCAGGTCCGGTTGAAAAATCTACAACGGCGGGCCAGGATCTGATCGCGGTGTCTCCCGCTGGTACAGCCAAGACAGGAGCTACTCCGACAGCTGCGTGTCAACCTTCTGCGACCGAGCCTGGCGGCTCTGTCCAGAAAGTAGGACGCTCGGAGACCCCAACGACCCGACTGGTTGATACCAAGCTCTCTCCCCAAGCTCCGAGCTTCGTCCCAAATCAGATGCTGCAGTCTAGCGCCGAAAGTCTGGCCAATACTGCGGTTGCCTCGGCGGCTGGGCAGAACCTTGACTGGAACAGCCGGAGCTTTGCAAGGAACGCAATGGACGAGACCGCCATAAACCCGGCGTCGTTCAACAGTATGAGCCTCATCCAGTGGACGCATTGTGCCCGCTGTGGGTTTCCTGTTCCTCTGGCTAACATTACACAGTCCCTGCACCACCGATGAACCCGTTCTTGTCTACGAGTGGTCCCCCGCGCGTGCCTCAAGCACAGGCACAGCATATCACAGTTACAGGATCACCGTCAGCTCGGCCTGCAAAGACGAAAGAAACTGGACGCGGTCTTCAGTCGTCGAGGTGGGCAGCCTAGGCGGGCAAGGGCCTGCAGAGTGGATGGGCCAGTCGAGAACTTGCGATTGATGGATCGCTGCGATGGTCGGAGCATGATCGCCACTGTATATTGCATCGAGGGAAGAGGGTGACTGGAGAGCGGCACACGACCGAGACTTCCCAAGTCGTAAGAGTGCCACGTTATCAGATGCTGTGTCAGAATGCCATGGACAATAACACGACGATTTTGCTGGCCAGAACCCGGTGTTTGTTTTCAGAGAAAGATACACACACGTTGTTAATCGACCAAATTGTACTTTGTTTGCATGGTGTACGATGCATGATATTTACGGTATTATGACTGAAGATCGCGGCTCTAACTTGTCATGCTCTTCTCCAACATCTTGACCCCTTCCCTCACCTTTGGCGAAAAGTGCTTCCTGAGCAGCTCCCCTTCCCAGACCGTCGAAGCAAACGGGTTGCTGCCCTCGACAGAGTCGCTCAAAGGGTTGAACTTGCCGTCGCCTTTGCGCTCCTCCGTGTTCCACAGGCTGTTGATCTTCTTGGAGTGCGTGTGGGCGATATCGCCGAGCAAAGCCAGGACGGCCTGCGTCGATTTCTCGGGCAGGTGCAGTGCCGTGGAGGTGAGCTGCTTGGTAAAGGCGGCGAGCCGCAGGGGCGGGACCTGGCGGACGTTGTACGCGGGGAGGAGGATGCCGGTGAGGGAGCGGAGGAGCAGGACGGTGGTGGTCTGGACGTTGACCTTGGAGGTGGCGGATGCGGCAGAAGAGGAAGAGGTGCTGAGGCGGGTGTTTTCGAGGTCTGGCGCGGTGGCGAGCGGGAGGAGAGACTTGAAGAGATGTGTGGTGAAGAAGGACAGGTCGAGATGGAGCTCGTGGCGGGAGTTGTGGGCGTCTTGACCGGCCAGCAGGGCGTAGGCCGTGACGGTGCAGAGAAGCGCCTCGCGAGTGAGGTTTCGCTCTGGAAGGTCCTTATCATCCTCTTCGTTTTCGGCATCATCTTCGGGCTTACCCTCGGCGTCCTCGTCACTGTGGCGTATCAAATCCTTGAGTGCTTCCAGCAGGTCGCCAAAGAAGTCCTGGTTGATGAGGTGGGAGTACTTCGCTAGACCCTCCAGAACGGCACCCATGAGGTGGGGGACGCGCATCTTGAGGATGCGGAAGTACGTAGCAAAGACGAGCTTGAGAGTCTCAGACTGCATCCTGTCGCGCTCCTCGTGGCTGACGAGGGCGTCGGCCTGGGCCATGGTCTTCTCGAGCGCCTTTTGCTCCTTGATCGCCTTTCTCTCCCTCTTGGTGCGAAACTCCCTCTTGTTCTTCTTGACTTTGGCCAGGTCCTCGGCGGACCTCTCCACTCGGTCCTGAGACGCCTTGCCCGAGAACTCGGACAGAAGCCTGAGGCTCAGGAACAGGTTGACGGTGCTCTCGTCGACCTGGAACTCCCGCGCCTTCATCATCTTTGTGAGCAGCGACACCGCCTCGAGAGATGGCCTTCCCTCCTCATCGTCGCGAAACAGTTCCTCCAGCGCCTTTTGAGACTTGACGGCATCATCGTCGATTTTTCTCCGGCTAAGCTTGCCCACGAGGATCTTGACGACGTCTGACCGAAAGTTGAAGTGCGGGACCTTGGTGATGAGGGAGCACGCGCAAGTTACTGCAACGTTTGCGACACTCTGCCCACCTCGCACGGGCTTTGTCTCGAACTTGGCGCAGCGCGCAAGCTCCTTGACGTAGCCTTGGTAACCGGACACCAAGCTCTGTTCGAACTGCCTCATCTGACGGACCTCCTTGGATATCTTCTCCTTGGAGGAATCTTCTGTTTGTGGGCGTATCCTATAGCCGGGAATGATGTCCTGGTAGACAGTCATCTGCGTCATGAGCGCCAGCATCTGGATCGTTGGGATCTTGGACTGGCCAAGGGCGGCGATGGTCTTGAGCGCGCCGATGTTCTCTTCGGGGTTCTCGTTGATCGAACTGGCGAGTTTGGCAAGCTCTTCCTGAGCCTCGAGAATTTGCTGCGGCTCTGGGACTTGGGGCTTCTGCTCCTCCTCCTCCTCCTCAAGTTCCTCGGGCTCGGACTCGATATCATCCTCGCGACCCTCGAGCCACTCGTTGTCGCTCTGGACGGATGCGGCGTCCTCTTCGGGCTCGACTTGTCGCACAATTTCTACGCGCCCATCTGCGGAGCGGATCTGAGGAAGCTTCGTGCTCTCTTTGGCGTTCTTCTTTCCCTTCTTGCGGCGCGACGCGTAGTCCTGCTCAAGGTCCCAATTGGATGCATGCTTGAAGAAGTCCTTCTGGGCTCTCCTGGAAGTAGCGGCAGGTTGCGCCTCATCGTCGGACGAGTGATGGGCCAGCTTCCGCCGTTTCGAACCGGTGGCCGTCATTTTGGGTTCGCAGTGCCAGACGCGAAATCTGGATTGTCGCCGCTGTGATGGCTGATCGTCCTGGAGAAATGTCTTCTCTGAGACCCTGGATATCTGGAAGAAGTGGGGATTGTGAACCGCAGCCTACCAATGGCAAGCCATTCTGGCTGCTCACCGCCAAAATTTTGGAATTTTCTGCCGCTCTGCTGGACGCTGCTGATGCCCCTCCACTGGCCCAAAATTTCAAGGCTGGCTTGGAATTTCGTCGTGCCTCTCCAGCCACAGCTCTTAGCATCGTTACCAGCATTGAGACCGGCCGACAAGAGCACAACGTCCAATCGACTGATTGACAGAAGGCTCCGCTAGTCCGACGACACGATGGGCTTCTCGAAGCCGCCTGTTCAGGCGCTCAAAGCCGCCAACAAGCTCAAGCGCCAGGAGCTCTTCGTTCAGCACAAGAAGGCAAAGGACAAGGAGCGCCACGAGGAGCGACATCGCCGCAAGAAGGAGGAGAATCGCGACCCATCACTGAAAGCGGCGCGACTCGCGAAGAACAAGGCAGTTACACTAGACGAGAAGCGAGTGTGGGACGATGGCGATGATGATAGCCTCGGCGCAGTTGTCGACCTGGAGCAATTGAGGAAGCGACGCATTGCGGAGGCCGAGGCCGAGGAGCAGGCTGCTTTGGACGCAGAGATGAAGGACGCGGAGGGCGACGAAGATGACGACGATAACGACAGTATGCTGGACTCGGACGAAGAAGACGATGAGGAACGGCAGGCCGCGAAGGAGCGACAGCGGGAGAAGCGCGCGGCGCGAGACAACAGCATCGCCCCATCCACAACGAGCACGAACCTCGACCTGACTCCTTCCTCACTCGCGCTCAAGTTCCCTTCGCTCTTCTCCGATGTCCCGCCTCCGACGCCCAAGATCCTCTTCACCACGTCCCTCAACTCCACGATCCACGATGAAGCGCAGCTCATCTCGACCCTGTTCCCCAACACGACCTACATTCGTCGCTCGGGCCACCGCTACGGATACAAGTACTCCCTGCGCGAGATTTGCAAGTTTGCGACGAACCGCGACTATACAGCAGTCGTCCTCGTCAAGGAGGACCTCAAGAAGCCTACGGGCATGTCCATTGTGCATCTCCCTGCCGGCCCGACGTTCCACTTTAGCATCTCGAGCTGGGTCGAGGGCAAGAAGCTCCCCGGCCATGGCAACCCTACCAATCACTACCCCGAGCTGATCCTCAACAACTTCAAGACGCCCCTGGGCTACCTCACGGCGAAGATGTTCCAGACGCTCTTCCCGCCGCAACCGGAGTTCCAGGGCCGACAGGTTGTGACCCTGCATTGCCAGCGCGACTTCATCTTCCTCCGGCGCCATCGATACGTCTTTCGCGAAAAGCGCACGACAGAGAAGAACATCGTGGGCGCGGACGGCAAGGAGGTCAAGGGAGTCGAAGGCCTCCGTGTGGGTCTGCAGGAGCTGGGCCCGCGATTCACGCTGAAATTGAGGAGAGTAGACAAAGGCATCGGCCGGGCAGGAAGCGAAGGAAGCGATGCCACTCAGTGGGAATGGAAGGCCAAGATGGAGAAGGATCGCAAGCGCTTCAACTTGTAATCTGCATCAGACAGCAGGCTTATACACCGGGTAGATGGCGTTTTGGAGCGTTTCTGATTCGGCTTTATACGATGACCCAGAAAGAATCTTGAACTTGTTTTGCCATACCAATGACTGCAAATTTGGAAAAGCAACTGAACCATGTGCTTTGCTGGACAGCGCCATCAAGAAACCGCACCAACTTTCGACCTCGCTACAAACTTGGTCGATTTAACGAGGTTTGCCGCCGTGCTCTAGCATGACGATGGAGTACCTGGTTGTGTGAGCGCGTGACTTTTATGCAGCTGGCAACACTCACGCCATGATCCCGCAAATAGCAACAACAACACCGACCATTGCCTTGTCCTCCAGGGTCCTGCCGGACGTTATCCAACCTATTGCGACAATTGTGCATGTCTTGAGATGCCCAACTACAGTGCTTGAAACCGGGCCGGCCTGTGCAACGATGAAGAACTGCGAAAGGTTGATGAGAGACGCGAAGCCGCCCGACTGCAAGTCTTAGTTAGCAGCTAGCCAAGGAGGGAAGACGTCGAGCATACTAATCCAATCATGAACCACCTGTGGCGCTCGACGTCGACCCAGACTGGGAAAGCATCAACAAACGGAATCGCGTAAAGAAGGAGAACAGAAGCAATGGGGGCCTGAGTGTAGAGCAGCTGCATGCTGGTCATCTGCAACTTGCGATGGTAACTCGCAATCCAGACTGTATAGAGCGAGGAGGCGAAGATGCCACTAAAGGCGAAAACGATGCCGAGTTGCGAGGTCGTCTTGATGCTTGCATCGCTTGCGGGGATAGAGTCATACTAGGACACCATGCCGACGCCTAAGCAAGCGGGAATAAGAGCGGCGATGGCGAGCCACGGGAGCTTGGAGCCGTGCAACACGTAGTTCATGACGGCGACGGTGGGCGTGAGAAGAATGCGTGCGACCTGGTAGAATGTGATGGACGAGTACGCCAATGAGAGGTTTGGAAGTATGACGTTCAGGCACATGGCTATCGCAAGAGGCAGCAAATGCTGCAGAGAAGCTCTTCGTGGGACGAAGTAGGAAAAGGCTGGCCTGGACAGGACAAACAGCGTCATCCAAGTGATGAGGAAGTGAAACGAGGCAAAGGAGAGCTGACACCGCTTCCAGGACGGGTCGGAGAAAATGGCTTTGTTGGTGAAGACCTGCCACTGCCGTCAGCGGCATTCTGTCTCATACAGGCAGATTCTGTGGTGGCAGCCATACGATGCCGACAGTGGCAAATGTATTCACAGCCATCCAAGCGAGGCCGGTGTGGAAGTTGGCAGGTTCGAGATCGTTGGCCTTCGTCTCCGTGAGGGGCTTGGACACGAGGCCGTCTTCACCGTCGCCGGGATGCGCAACCATCTGGCCGTCGTATTCCGACTTGACTGAAATCCTGAAAAGGTCGATAGGCGCGGATGCCAACGAGGACTGGCTTGCTTGTAGCGGCAGAAGAAGAAGAACAATCACTTGAAACGACCCGGGTTTTTATAGAGGAGTAAAAGAGATTTCGGATCAGCCCAGTGAATAATCATTTCTCTGATTTGCCTCAGCCATGTCTGCCAAGCCTTGCAGTGAGTGAGTGCGTCGCGACGTCGGTGGCTGCTGCACACCGCAAGTCGCACGCGGCCACATTCAAGACGGGGGAAGGAGCAGGATGAGAAGGCGCATTGGGACGTCCGACTAGGAAAGCGAACAGAACCACGAGGGCGAAACGACGCCTCCCGCCCAAGGTGTTGAGTTACCGCGGCCGCTCCGCCCACCTGTGCTTTGCCATCGTTGCTAATTGAAGTCCAGCGGCTTCTGGTAGTGGATGTTAGATGCAGGACTTACAATGAGGCACAACAGAGGTGTCGTTGTTGGCGATGCCCCCCGCGGGCCCGCACCAATCCCCATTGCGGTAGCCACAGTGCCTTTACGTTCCAGTGCTTCTAGTGGTCCCACCAGCGCCTGGAAGTCACACGAGGGCGTGGGCGCCACCAGTTGAGGCCGTTGCGCCACGCAGGGGACAACGGAGCTCATTGGAGCGCAAGCCAGGCGTTGACTGCAGCCCGGACGTCATGCCGCACCGTACCGCACCCGCTGTGCAAAGCCTGCCCGCAATCGCCGTGCTGCATGACTTCAAGTCATCCGTTGATATCTTCGTCGCCGACTGGCCGGCACGGCCAGAACTTGCGCTCTGCAAATCACAGAAGCCATCTTCGAAGCGTCACGGACTCTTGGGATTGAGACGCTCCTGCCTGCGCAGTCGCACGTCTCCGCTAGTGACGCACCCTGGGCTCCTGCCCTGGATTGCACTGTACCTCACTGATCGACACCCAGGCGCGCCTTCCGTCTCTTTTTGACGCGGCGCACCCCAGCGACCAGGTCGCCAGCCTCGCAACTCTCGTCCCTGCCGCTATGACACGCAGGCTCGTCCAACGGCTGCACTGCAGAGTCCCTCATCAACAGCCCAGGCAACGAGCCGCTTGGGATTTATCAGTGACGCCGTGCGTGAGCCGGCGACGAGTGCCGGGCAGGATGACCTACGGTGCGTGCGGCCTTTATCGGTACTGACCCCCCATGCATTGACGCTGGGCTGACGACGACGGCACTTGGCTGCACATGCAGGGACCGTCAGCGCCGTCAACGGCCATCACGAATACTCTCAGGAACCTGATGTCTGGAAGCGTGCTCCCATCCTCAAAGGCACGACTCACTTCGAGCCGCGGCCGGGCGTCCGGAATATCATGGTCACTGGTGGTGCCGGCTTCATGTGAGCGACTTTGATTGCTGCTGCGAGATGTCAACTGACCTGTTCATGCAGTGCATCTTGGGTCGTCCGCCACCTCACCCTCACCTACCCTCATGCCTACAACATAGTCTCCTTTGACAAGCTCGACTACTGCTCCTCCCTGAATAACACGAGGGCCCTCAATGACAGACGCAACTTTACCTTCTACCACGGCGACCTCACCAACCCTCCCGAGGTCCTCGACTGCATGGAGCGCCATGAAATTGACACGGTGCTTCATTTCGCTGCCCAGTCGCACGTCGACTTGAGCTTCGGCAACTCCTACAGCTTCACGCACGCCAACGTGTACGGTACGCACGTCCTTCTGGAGAGTGCCAAAAAGGCTTGCGTCAAGCGCTTCGTTCACGTCTCGACCGACGAGGTCTACGGCGAGGTCAAGGAAGGTGATGATGACCTGCATGAATCGAGCATTCTTGCTCCGACCAACCCCTACGCTGCGAGCAAAGCGGCTGCCGAGATGCTTGTTCACTCGTATCTCAAGAGCTTCAAGCTTCCAACCATTATCGTGCGCAGCAATAATGTGTACGGCCCTCACCAATATCCTGAAAGTACGTCCTATCCTGCTGAGGCTCGTCCTGACTGCCGGCCTTTTCTCCTATGCTAACTGTTGGTAGAAATTATTCCCAAGTTCGCGTGCCTTCTTGGTAGGGGCCGCCCAGTTGTGCTGCACGGCGATGGACGGCCTACGCGTCGATACCTTTACGCCGGAGACGCGGCGGATGCCTTTGATACCATTCTGCACAAGGGCCAGGTCGGACACGTCTATAACGTCGGTTCCTCTGACGAGGTGTCCAACCTTGAGCTCAGCCACAAAATCCTCGATGCCATGGAGGTCGACATCGACAATCCCGATCGCTTCCGCAAGTGGATCAAGTACACCAAGGACAGACCGTTCAACGACCGCAGATACGCCGTAGACGGCACTAAACTGCGGAAGCTTGGTTGGGAGCAGAAAACATCTCTCCAAGAGGGGCTTCAGACAACTGTCGACTGGTATCGACAATTCGGAGAGCTATGGTGGGGCGACATTAGCCATGTCCTCACACCTTTCCCAACTGTCAGCCAGGGCGAGATTATGCCGGACGATGCCCACTCCATGAAAGACGAGCCACCACAGCCCGGCGATGAGTGCCACACGACAGTGAAGAAGACAGACGCCGAGACAAACAGCTTATATTGACGTCGTTGCACAATATATTCCTGTGCGTGCGACGAGATAGTTGATTGCTCTGGCTGCGATGCTCCTGAGATACCACCTATAGACGAGGAGATGATGCGGGAGCGGACGGAACTCCTAGAGATTCACAGGGCCATGAGGTCTGGCAACGCGTGTATGCTAGCTATACAGTGAATCGCGCGTAGAAAAGCGCATGATAAGGCGATTGCCTGCGTAAAGGCGTAGGTCAACGAAGGCTGCGTTTTCTAGGGCGGATCTAAACGAGCGAAGTGCATGAAGACTGCCGGCCGCAGGAGTGGACAATGCCTTGCCAAGGCACTTCATGCTTTCCATGGTAGTACGAAGCATCTCACATGAACAAGAAATGTTGCCTCGTGAGCGTCTCCTGGTTTGCTGGGTTGCACAGCATGAGATCGAGTAACACCACGGAGTGCCAGCTACGAGCAACAGATGGTACTGTGAGGGTGGTGATGCTGTGGAAGCACATCCTGGGCATGTTAACGGCCCGAGTTCAGAGGACGAACGGCGTAACGCCCCCGTCACTCCATCCATGCAATCGCGCTGCCGTGAGGACTCAGGAGTCGATACTATACCGCGGCCGATCACTGCCCTCGAGAGAGGCGGAGTCGCCTGGGTCTCGACCAGCAAACGCAGACCGCGCTCCGGCAGATGGGGACAGCGATCATGGTGCCGGCGAATGGGCGCAAACAGCCAGGGTCGGATTCAATGAGTGAAGTTGAGTAGCTGTACCTGATAACGTCGCAAGGGGCAGTTTCCCGGGGTGGTCAGCAGTGAGAGTGGAACGGTGCTTGTGGAACTGCTGTGGTGGCACCATGCGGCTGGGCGACGTCGAGGGCTTGCGCCGTCGGGTCCGAACCGGGGGTGCACAAGGCGCCATGATCAAATTGAAATCGGGTCCAGTCATCCCGTCAACGGGGTCGAGGGCCGGGCCCAGCTCCTCGGGACGCCTTTCTGCGAGTGCCACGGGACGCTCGAACCAACAACGGGAGGGTGCGGATGGGCCCGTACTGATTCGTTGGCAGATCTCTGGCGGCGTTTGGGGCCCTGCACACCACTGCGCTGGAACTTGTTGGCTGGCTTCCAGTTCTGGTGCGGCGCAACAGCCCTGTCGGCTGTGAAGCTCGCTTGGCCGGCATTGGTGGCTGCGAGGAATCTGGGTCCCGGGACCGCTTGCAGCTTCCCGCGCGCGCCCTGCGTTGGTCAGGATGCGCAAAAGGCAACGTCGTTATCGTTGCTGTCGCCGTCGCCGTCGTCGCGCAAACATGACGAGAGCAAGAGGGAAGAGACGAGAGCGCGATGCAATGCTCGGCGGAGCCAATGCGTGCTTGTGCCTCGGAGCAATGGCCCCTCCTGACTGACGAGGGCGAGGGTGAGGGCGAGGGAAGACGCTGGCAGGGGGTTGAAGAGGCACCCCCGGCTTGGACCAGCACCGCGGCAGGGGTCCTGGCGGTGCAGCGCCGAGCAGACCGTCAGCGAGACCGGGCTGCTGGGTCCGGGCGACATGTCAATGCCAGTGCCAGTGGGCTTTTGCCGCGCCAGCACAGCGAGACATGCATGCCGTCTTGCAGACTTTAAAGCGTTTTAGCACGGATTCTTTTGGGGCTCGTACAGGACAAGCTGCATCGCCCAAGCACTGCGTACATGACGCCCAGGGTCCCAGGGCCCCCCCTCGTGCGCCATAGGCTCGAGCCTGGCCGGGCCAGCAGTTGCGGCTTGCTGGGACCTGGGCGACGGGTGCCGATGCCCTTGTGCCGCGATGGGCGCCGGGCGTGATTGGGTTGAGCTGTCCCAGGAGCTGCTGCCTCTGCAGTGGCGGCGCATAAGTCGAGAGTCGGAGGCGGGCGGTCGCGCGCAGGGATTGGGGCTGGCCGCATGGCCCATGGTTGCGGAGCGGTGGCAGCAGCCCAGCCAGCTCGTCGTGCAGGTCGTGCAGGTCGTCGTGCATGGGGGGACCTCGGGAGGGTTGCTTCTCGCTTGGTGGTGGCTGCTGCTTTTGCCTGCCCGCTCAATGCCCGCGGCAAGTTCCGTCCGCGCCCGGCGAGGGGCCTGATTCCATTCATGGACAAGAATCAACGGCGAGGCTGAGGGAGCGGACAGCGCTGGCGACGGCGGGCCGTCCATGGCGTAGAAGCCTCCCGCGTCGAGGGGATCTTCAAGGCTGCGACTCGAGAGCTTTGAGCATGCCCGCAAAAGTCCCTCTCGTCGACTCTGCCATTGCGACCCAACAAACGCACAGCTCGATGGCAGCATCCAGCCCAGCCGTAAGAGGCCCTGCCGGATGAGATGGATGGCCCGGAGCTCACGAGTCCCTTGCCCCCCTCCTCCAGCAGCGATGGACGACGACGACCCCCCAGCATCCATCCATGGAACGTGAACCTTGAAGCCGGCGCACGGCCCAGCTCCAGCGACAAGGGTCCACTGGTCCACTGGCGCGCCACCAACAGGACCCCCCGCCGGGACCCCACAGCGCTTGTCCCAGCGACCCCATCCCCGGGTCCCCGTCTGCCCACCTCGGCGGCTCAGCCCATCCGCTGGCTGGACCAAATTGGCGGGCCCTGGCCTGCTGCAAGTGCTGGCAGATCCCCGTTCTCAATGGATGGAAAGGATGTCTGCGCCGTACAGTGCAGTGCTGCTTGGTACCTACATACTGTACCCGGCTAGGTTCAGTGAGACGAGGTGAGGTGAGGTGAGGTCGGGTGGTGGCATCAAGCACCATGCCATCCTCCACCACCACCACCACCACCTCTTCCTCCAGCTTTCCCCCGGCTCTTGCGACTAGCCTCCCCCCCACCGTGCCGTCTCTCCTCTTCCTTTTTTTCCTTCTTCCGATCCCGTCCCGAATCTGACCTCCACTCCTCTCCTCCTGACTTTCAACCTTGGATTGCCTCTGCGGCTCGGTCGTCGATTTTGCGTTCCCCCCCTTATCTCCACGTTGGCATTGCCTTGCGCCTTGGCTTGCCATCTCTGGGACGCATCCGGTATTGCTGAGGCGATCCGTTGATCCTCCTCAACCCCCCGGGCGCGCAAGCCAGGTTTCCCGCGGCTCCGATCACCGCTTGCTGACCGCTGGATCGCATCGCCGTCGCGGCCGGGACCTGCCTTCGTATCATGTCGCCGGCGTCCGTTAAGCTGTGACCATTGCGACTGGCCCGGCGACTGGCCCTGGCATGGCCCAGAAGCGACGACTGCAGCACCAGCAAGACGGCGCCCGCAAGTCCGGCGCCATGTGCACACACGGTCCCTCATCTTCTCCCCCCAACCCAGTGAACAGCTCCAGGCTGTCCAGCGACGGCAGCCCGAGCGAGGGAGGCGCGCTCAGCGACGGCGCGCATACCGCCATGACGAGCGTCGTCGACACAGATGAGGAGTGGCCCGCCAACGGCGCCCACGACGACGACCTTATGCAACACGACCAATTTCACGACGACGACGCCGGCTTTGAGACGATGTCTACGTATCCCGTATCCCATTACCCCCGGCCTTCGAGTCCTCACGGAACGGCCATGCACTTCTATACCGAAGACGGCCATACCGATGTGTGAGTATCCCCCACCTCAAAGGTTTTCCGGCACATTCCTGACACGCGCTCCTTGCTCGCTGTAGGGCTGCGTCTACTCGGTCATTATGGGCGCCAGACCTGGACTACCGCGAGATCCATGGCCGCCGCTACGCCCGGGACTATTATATGCCCAATGATGAGATCGAGCAGTTGCGCCTGTCAATACAACATCAAGTCTTTCTCCATCTGCTGGACGGCGAGCTCTCCTGTGTGCCCCTAGATGACCCGGCAAATATCCTCGACGTCGGCACCGGCCCGGGCGAGTGGGCCATACGCATGGCGGAGCTGTATCCGGACTGCGAGGTCGTGGGCACCGACATCTCCGCCGTCGCCGAAACAAAGAGCGTCCCTCTCAACGTCTTCTTCGAGATCGAGGACGCCGAGGAGTGGGACCGCCCCGCCGATCACTACGATCTGATTCACTTCCGGTGTCTAGAGGGCGCCTTCCGCGACTGGCGCTCTATATACGATAATGCCTACGACTCACTAAAGCCGGGAGGCTGGATCGAGCTTATTGATTTCGACAGCATCGAGTCGGTCAATCTTTGGTTCAGAGTGTTCTCCGAGGGGTCACCAATCTTCGATATGGCGAGGGACCTGGAGATTGCCGCCGTGAAGGTTGGCAAGAAACGGGGCATCACTCATATGGACCCCCAGCTGTTGATGGAGGCTGGCTTTGTGGATGTCCGTGTCACAGAACACTCAATCCCCATGAAAATCAGCGAAAAGTCCGCCGGCAAGCTCTGGCTGATATCTTGTCTCGACGGCCTCGAGGCCAACTGCCTGCGGCTCCTGACCCAGGTGATGGGGTGGGACCCGGACAAGTGCAAGGCGGCATGCGAGTCGGCTGCTCGCGAGCTTGCTCAGCTCGCCAAGGATCCGGAGAAGGCTGCGGGACTGCGCGTCAAGGCACTCACGATCTCGGCGAGGAAACCACTGGAAGCCCAGTCCTCGGCGAGGAGCCCTCCCTGGTATGGGAACCGCTCACCAAGCGCCTCACCACCGGTCGTTGAACGAGACCAAGAGAGCACGGGAGCGACCGCGACGACGGAGCCCAGAACGTCGGAGTATGTGTTGGATCCCCCGGCGGGACAATAACAGCCAGGCAACTTGTCTTGCCATTATTTCGATACCTTTGACGACGATATATGCACGGGAGTCCTGGGCTCGGGCTCCATTTACATGTTGGATGTATGTTGTTCACGGCGCAGGAGGCGGTATGGCGTTGATCCCGCATGGCCGGCAGATGGCCTGCCTCCACATTTGGTCCCAGATTTTTGGACATTCTGCTCTTCGATGTCTCATGCTTCACGGACCAGAGCATGATGACAGTGCCTTGTGGAGAGGTACATATGGGTATTTGATGCGCGTAGGCGTCGTGGACCGGCGCCCGGGAAATTGGCCCCTCAATTATAAATCTTATCGGATTGAGCAATCAGAGTTTTAAACTATGTGCAGCAATGCCTTTGGAATTGTCTGGTTGTGCTGTCGTCCACCTCGATCGTTGTGCGTAAAATTGTCCTCAGGTGCCAACCTCGGGATGGCTGTGTGGGTACCCCGGAAGCTCCAACAGTGATCAGCCTGGAGCCTGGCTGGTGACGCGCTGGTGGGGAGCTCTGACTGCCCCAACCACTACTGCCACCTGCATCATCCCGCATCGCGCAAGCTTCCTCCAGCATCACAACCTCAGCCTCGCTATCGTCGCATCGCCATTCGAGCTTGGAGCTGTCGCGAGCACGACCAGACCTTCCGGGTCGCCGAGTATGACGAGCTCCTAGGCGCAGCCATGTCCCTCGACATCAACGACGGCTTCCTTGCCGCCGCCAACCAGGGCGCTCCGGCCGATGATGAGCTGCCCATCTTCACCGTCGAGCGCGTCCAGCTGCAGTTCTCCATCGCTGCGGACTTTGTCGCAGCTCAGGTCGCCAACAATGTCATCATCCTGGCCCTGTCCAACGGCCGCATTCTGCGCATCGATCTGAACCGGCCGGAGGACATTGACGGTGAGCGCCCGCCACGCTGCCGTCAGACCCAGACGCGGGGCGGACACACAGCCTGGAGCGAAGCAGAATGCTGATGGTCAAGCAGACATCGACCTTCCCAAGAAGACCTCCGACGTCGGGGTCATTCGTCGCATGTTCCTCGACCCCACGGCGTCCCACCTCATCGTCTGCACGGCCCTCGGCGAGAACTACTATCTGCACTCGCAATCAAAACATCCGCGACCGCTGGGCAGGCTGCGCGGCGTAGCTATCGAGAGCGTGGCGTGGAACCCGTCGCTGCCGACAGCTAGCACGAGGGAGATACTGCTCGGCGCCTCGGATGGCAACATCTACGAGGCCTTTATCGAGACATCCAACGAGTTTTACAAGAAGGAAGTGAAGCACCTCAAGAACCTGCACAAACTTCCAGACGGCGCCATCACGGGCCTGTGGGTGGATAATCTGAACGGAAAGTCGGATATCCGGCGAGTGGTGATTGCGACGCAGACACGGCTGTTCCACCTCGTGGGCCGTATTGGCCATGGGCATGACGGCACGGGCTCTGTCTACACGCGACTATTCGAAGCCGAGCAACCGGTGGTGCACGAGCTGTCACGGACACAGCCAGGGGCCTATTCCACCCTCGCCGTGTCCCCGGACCCGCCTGAGACGAATCCCTATGCAGAGGATGCCCCGGATCGGGCATACGCGTGGCTTTCCTCGCAGGGCGTCTTCCATGGCAAGCTGCTCAACGTCCCGGCCGACAATAGCCTGGGCTCGAGGGTGTTTTCCGATTCCAAGATGTTGCCCCGAGCTCAGATCATCGCGGCGGAGTCCTCAGGCAGGCGAAGACCGACCTCCGAGACCATTGATGCCTTGGCGCTCACGCAGTGGCATATTGTCAGCCTGGTTGGCGGACGCGTCATCGCCACCAACCGGCTCACGGGCGACATGGTCTCGGAGCATGACGTCCTGGGTGCAGGGCAGCGCCCTATCGGCTTCTCCGTGGACATGCAAAAGAACACTTTCTGGTTGTTCACGTCGGAGGAGATATACGAGATCGTCGTGCGAGACGAGGACCGGAACATCTGGGAAATCATGATGAAGAACAAACAGTTTGAACCAGCGCTGCGGCAAGCCCACACACAGAAACAAAAGGAGACGGTGGCAGCCGCGTACGGCGACCACCTGGCCAAGAAGGGCCATTGGAACGAGGCAGCAACGGTCTACGGACGCAGCAATAAGCCGTTTGAAGACATCGCGCTGAGCATAATCGACAACAATCAGCCCGATGCCCTGCGCCAGTTCCTGTTGACCAAGTTGGCCACAACGAAAAAGTCTGCAATTATGCAGAGGATGATGGTGGCAGGCTGGCTGGTTGAGGTATTCATGTCGAAGCTCAACTCTTTGGACGACACCATCATGACTCAGGCTGAGCTGGCAGAGAATCTCAACACCGCCGAGTCAAGGAAACTGCTGGAGTCTGTTAGGAAGGAGTACCAAGATTTTGTCACCAAGTACAAGAACGACCTGGACCGCAAGATGGTCTACGATGTTATCAGCAGCCACGGTCGCGAGACCGAGCTCCTCTTCTTCGCCAACGCCGTCAAGGACTACAACTACGTGTTGTCGTACTGGGTTCAGCGCGAGAGGTGGGACGAGGCTCTGAACGTGCTCAAGAAGCAGACGGATCCTGAAGTGTTCTACCGGTACAGTAGCGTGCTGATGACGCACGTTTCGCAAGAGACAGTGGATATCTTGATGCGGCAGGCGGACCTGAAGCCACGGAGCTTGATACCGGCATTGCTCGAGTACAACCGCAACTTCAGTGGGGACGCAAACGTCCAGAATCAGGCGGTCCGTTATCTCAACTACGTCGTCTTCCAACTCAATTCCAAGGATGCGGCCGTCCACAACACGCTCGTATCCATCTACGCTTCGCATTCCTCCAAAGACGAGTCCGGCCTCCTGTCATACCTCCAGGCTCAGGGCGACGAGCCGCGCTACGACCCAGACTTTGCTCTGCGGCTGTGCATCCAGCATCACCGGACACTGTCGTGTGTGCACATCTACACCAGCATGGGCCAGTACCTGCAGGCCGTCGACCTGGCGCTGTCTCACAACGAGATCGAGCTTGCGTCCGTGATTGCCGACCGGCCCATGTCTAACCCTCAGCTGCGGAAGAGGCTCTGGCTGGCGGTGGCGAGGAAGGTCATCTCGAGGTCTGACGGCATCAAGGCGGCCATTGAGTTCCTCAAGCGCTGTGACCTGCTCAAGATTGAGGACCTGATACCCTTCTTCCCGGACTTTGTCGTGATTGACGACTTCAAGGAGGAGATTTGCGGGGCGCTCGAGGACTACAGCCGCAACATCGACAGCCTCAAGAAGGAGATGGACGAGTCGTCGCAGACGGCGAGCAACATCAAAATGGACATTGCGGCGCTCGACCACCGCTACGCCATCGTGGAGCCCGGCGAGAAGTGCTACGTCTGCGGGCTGCCGCTGCTGAGCAGGCAGTTCTTCGTCTTCCCTTGCCAGCACTCGTTCCACTCGGACTGCATGGGCCGCAGGGTGCTCGAGCAGTCGGGCATGAGCAAGTCGAGCAGGATCAAGGAGCTGCAGATGCAGATCCACAAGGGCCTCGTCAGCGGTGCCAGGAAGGAGGCCGTGGTGGCCGAGCTCGACTCGCTGGTAGCCTCGGCATGGTATGTTTGAACCATCGTGTACTGTTTTGCAAACCACTGACCCCTATGGACAGCATCCTTTGCAGCGACTTTGCCATCAAGCGGATAGACGAGCCATTCATCACGAGCAACGACAATGTCGGAGAGTGGGCGCTGTGATTGATGCATGCCCGCGGAGGCGCTGCGATGATACCCTGTTTATTATCCACATGACGAGGAAGAAACGAATATACTAGCCTATGATGCTGTGCCTTGGCGACAGAGGGTGTGAGACGTGCATGTGTTCTGTTCCACCCTCTGCGCCTATCTGCCTCAGTATTTGCAAACGGTGGCTCCCTGCGTCGCCCGCGAGTACATCATAACGGCCACCACGCCGCCGTACAAGCCCAGCACCTCGGCAAAGATGAGGATGAGTACCATGCCCACGTACAGACGTGGCTGCTGCGTGCTTGCCCGCACTGGGATATAAGGTGTTAGCACAAAACCGGTCTTGTAAATGCGAGTATTTCACCTGAGACGAGGAGGGGGGTTGCTGCGCACCGCCACAGTCTCCGACAATGCCAATGGCAAAGCCGGCAGCCAGTCCGCACAGCCCGACGGACAGGCCCGCGCCGAGCTGCAGGAAGCCCGTGTAGATGGGCATTTTCTCGTAGATCTGGTTGGCGATGATGACGCTGATGACGAGGCCGTATATGGAGAGGATCTGGGCCATGATGGCACATAGTCTGCGTAGTCACCCGCGCGCCACTTGTTAGCCATGGCACAAGCTGCGACCTGCACTGCTCCTGGTATGTATATTTATTCGCCCGTCCGTCGCTTGCGATATACGCAGCCAGCGCATAGGATTCTCTTCGCCGGTCGTCGTCGTTGGAGGGAGGGAGGGAGGGAGGCAGGTCTAAACGCACACATTCTGCATCAGGCGATCGGGGCGGAGGACGCCCGAGGCGAAGATGGCGACGGCCGACTTGGCGGTGCCGTACGAGGCGCCAAAGGTGCTGAAGACGATGGCCGTGGCGCATCCCATGGCGCCGAAGAAGGACTGTAGGACGAGGCGGACGGAACGTGTCAGCGCTATGTCTCGTGTCTCGCAATGCGATTCGGGGTATGATGTTGGTTTCGCGGGACGGTAAGAGGCTGGGGAGAGCTTGAGGGTCGACTGACGGCGTACATGGGACTATATGATGGCAGAGTGTTAGCCGGCTCTTACAATGGCGAAAGAGCCGTGTGAGATGCATGAGGCGGGATGACATACCAGCGGTCCATGTTGGCGATGAGGGCGGCATCCATGGCAACGTATACTTGGCGAAGAGTGCGAGACGACACTGACGGAGTCAAAGAAGATACGATCAAACTCGTACGCAAGAGAAGCGGGATATTTGGATCTTCTCCTGCAATGGGACTGGGAGAGGATTATCTACAGAGCGGGTACAATCCGCTGGCCCAGGGATAGTGGCCGCGACGCAAGATATTAGTGCCAGCTGCCTTCCAGTGCAATCCAGCCGCCACGTTCAGCTCGTCGAGACGAGAGACCAACCGGAGAGGTGCCGGCAAGGGGGCGACGTCTGCCTAGCCAATTTACATTGGCCTTCGATGCACACGTCAGGCAGAGGGCGCCATCTGACGGGCCGTTGACAGCGCAATGAGGCTCACTACGAGACCGAGAGCCGGCCTGCCAGGCAGCGGCATTCGCGTGGATAGGATTGGTTCTGGCCCCGCGCTACCGGCAGTGGACCATGCCCGACGCCGGACCGGGGCCGCGTCGTCGGGCTGCCGGAACGGTCCACTTAACCGGCCGGTGGCAGAAAGACTGGAGGCCTCATGGCGGTGATGGCTGAGGGTTGGCGAAGGCGACCTGAGAGACACACGGGCGTAGCGGCTGTCGCCGCTGTAGAGTTGGCCGTGCACGGATGCGAGATGGCCAAATTTGGCAGAGTCTTGCCTCAGCCCTGCTTCATTCGAGCCGCGGCACTGGAAACAATCGATTTGGCGCTGGGAACGGGAAACACAAAGCAAGCTTTGCGGTTGGGACGAAACAGGCGTTTCAGTCGCGAAGCCACGCATGAGGAGGGCTCTCATTCGCATGAGGCTCGGCAGATCGTGACCAGTAGCCATGGCCATGACGTGATGCGATGCTAGAAGTAGATCGGCAATTCTGGGAGTGAGCAAGTGAGCATGCCTCAGGCGGGAGATGTGCAGGCGCCGGTGCTGCGTCTAAACCAACCTCGCCGCGCGGACTGGCGTCCTGGTGGGCAATGCAAGGTACGACAGGTGAGGCTCTGCTGAAACATTCCTCCAGGCCGGGTAGGCGACCTTCGGCATGATGGTGTGTTTCATGCCTGCACACGATGTCGACCTGGACCCCGATTCAACCCCCGCAGCCGTCGTGTCAGCACGGCCCCAGTGGTTTGACTTGGCGCCACTGTTGTGGCTATTCTTGGCCCTGTGGCCCCGTCGCAACCGAACATCACGTCTCCGAATCATTCCCGTTTTGCTTGGATAGGGCGCTCGATACGCTTGCTGGTGAGATCGGTTTATCGGACTGGAAGGACTCAGATAGCTGCCATCGCCCCGACTAGAAGTTACGGCAAGTGGGCGGTCACTCAATAATTCTTTCATCCCAGAGCTTGCCAAGTGGACGGTTTGAGCCCGCGAGATGGACTTTGCTGGCGGCCGGACGGGCCCCAGGGGCCGCGCGTCGCCCCCTCCACCGGCACCTTGGCATCTCCAGTTTCGGACTTCAGTCTGCCACTTCCCATCTGGACCCAAGCAGCCGGGAAGGGGCTGCGGCACTCAACGTCCCGAGCTCGTTGGTACTGTTCCGCTTAAGGGACCTATGGGCGGCGCTCACGGCTCAGAGCACCCTGTCGCTCGTGGTCGTGGGCAACGCATGGGGCGGGCGGCGCGCGAGGCTTCGAGGCGACGCGGCGGGTCGGATGTTTCCAGGTTGGCCGTCTCGTACGAGTGATGGTGGAGGTGGAAAACGCAGGAGGAGGTGTAAAGGGCCAAGTGGCTCCGGATTCTCGAGGTCGATGCTCGTGGCAGAGACCCCTTTCTGCTCCTGCCGCTCCGGATACAACCTACTACTCGTGCCAGCTCCGGCTGCTCCTGCTTCTCCTGCGGTTCCTGCTTGCCGCTCCTGCCAGCCACTCCCGCTCGGGCTGCTCTGACGAGCGAGCGCTTGGCAAGCAAGTCCGTGGCCGCTCGCTCCTGCCTCAAATACCTTGCTGCTCCGGAACCAGGGAAAGCTGCGTTCACGACCGCGGTCTCGTTCCTGCACTTTCTCTTTCAACTGGAATTGGTCTTTTCGCAAGGTCGCCAAAACAAGAAGTCAATCCCCGCCCCGCGTCGCTCCTCGCCTCAGTCGGCTCCCGCTCCGTGGCCTGGCCCAACCGGTGCATACGTACGCGTCCACGACGCCACTCAGCCGATTCGACCTGCGTCGTGACCTCTCCCGGCCTCCGCCTCCCGACATACCCGGGCCGACGCCCACCGACAACTCGCCGCATCTGGAGACGTCACGGTACGTCGTGGCGCCGAGGACCCGTTGTCGCTAGTCTGGGCACACCCACTTTCGGCGGCCCGTTGCCGACCTCACTGTGCTTCTGTTACACGCCCGCGCACAAAGTGTCGCTGCCACCCGCTCTCTGACTCGAGGCGAAAACGACCTCGTCACCTCCGAGAAGTTGCAGTTTCGGGGCCCGGCAACTCGGCCGGATGGTTTGCGTCAGCCTTTTGTCCCAGCAAAAGCGCCGCTTAGAGAACGTGCCTGGGCCGTCCTATAACTAGCCCTTGCAGTTGCTGTTTCTTGAATCCCGATCGCCTTGGCCGAGATCGAATACAGGCTTTCAAGTATACATATCAGCATCATGTTCGCAAATGCCCTGTTCGTCGCATCCCTATTCCTCTCTCGCGCGGAAGCACTAGTGCTACGGCAACCATCAGATGGCGCGCCTCGAGTCGTTCATCTCGACCTGCAGAGGGCTCATGTCCGCGACCCTGTCTCCCACGACAAGCTACGGAGGCGAGCAAAGACAGTAAATGGTGTCTTGGACAACCTGGTGAGTTGTCTCTGCTTGTCCTCCCTCTCGATTCATCTCGTCGCGCGACGCTAACCCGCGACGCTTCAACAGCAAACCCTATACTACCTCAACGTGTCCCTCGGCACACCGCCGCAACAAGTCCGCGTGCATCTTGACACAGGGAGTAGCGATCTCTGGGTCAACACGAATGCATCCACTCTTTGTTCTCAGCACGATACCCCGTGCAACTTCTCCGGCACCTACTCGGCCAATCAGTCCTCCACGTACCAGTACCTCGGTAGCGACTTCAACATCTCCTATGTTGACGGCACGGCAGCTATTGGCGACTATGCTACAGACACTGTCCGCGTGGGCGGCACCGACTTGCCAGCATTGCAGTTTGGGATCGGCTACAACAGCACGTCGACAGAAAGCGTGTTAGGCATTGGGTACCCAAAAAACGAGGTTCAGGTCTCGCGCTTGGACAAGAAGCCCTACCAGAACCTACCCGCCAAAATGGCCGCCAATGGTGTCATAGCTTCCAGCGCATACAGTTTGTGGCTCAACGACCTCAATGCCGATACCGGCACCATTCTCTTCGGCGGTGTAGACACGGCTCACTACCAAGGGGATCTAATTTCTCTTCCGGTGCAGAAAGTTGACGGTTCGTTCATCGAGTTTTTCATCACCTTGACCGGCATCGCATTTGGTTCCGAAGCCATCATGCAGAACATGTCTCTTGCGGTACTTCTCGACTCGGGGTCTTCCCTTACTTACCTACCCGACGACATAACAAGTGACATATACGAGGCCGTCAGCGCGTCCTACCAGGAAGAAGAGGGCATTGCCTTCGTGCCATGCTCTTTCCGCGAGCAAAACGCCACGATAACCTTCAGGTTTAGCGACCCGGCAGCAATTTCTGTGCCCATGAATGAGCTTATAATGGACATGGATGATGAGGCCGGCAATCCACTCACTTACGACAACGGTGTCCCGGCTTGCCTTTTTGGCATCTCACCGTCGGATGGCTCCACAAACGTACTGGGTGACACATTTTTGCGGAGCGCTTACACCGTATACGACCTCGAAAACAACGAAATTTCCCTGGCACAGGCCAAGTATAACGTCACGACATCCAATGTGAAGGAGATTGGCAAGGGAACTGGGGCCGTGCCAGCAGCCAAGACAGCTTCATCGCCAGTGGCTGCATCGTCTGGGATCCCGGGCCAGTCTGATGGCTCCGGCCAGCAGTCGGGCAAGAACAATCGAAGCAGCGGAACCAGCATGACGATGCCTTCTTTGTCCCTGGCCCTCCTTGCCGCGCTATCAAGCCTGCTCCTCAGCTGAGGAAGTCATATACCTTGGACAAGGGATTGGGACTGGTCATTGTCATTTTGAATCGAGAGCATTGCAACGGCGTTACGAATGGGTTTGGAAAATTGTACGATGGAGCGGAGGTCTAGACAAGACGCGGATCGGCATGAGACCGGTTATAGCCATGGACTTGTCATGCGGGTGGCGTGAGGCGTTGCGAGGGACCTAAAGGATGAATTCTTGGAGAGCACGATACCAAGGCGCGTTTGTGATCCTAGTTGGATAGAGCTTAGAATACAAGACACCTACATGATCAGATACACGGCTTGTGAGGCTGCATCGGTTCAATCAAGCCAGAAACGGGTAAAGCTCAGCAGCGGTCGGAAGTAAAGCATCCAGTCTGGTCCGCACGCACCAGGAATAGTGGCTGCGGACAATCACGTGGAACATATCATTCGGTAGTGAATGGGCTGTGGGATCTTTCGTCAACAACGTTTATTTACTTTAGGTGAGCAGGAGCCATTCCCTGTCGCTTGTATGAAGCCCAAAAACCTCTGGCGGAAGAGTTGCGAAAAACCCGGGTATCGTACAATTACAACCGCCACACACACCCTAGACCAACCCCCAATCCACCGTGCCTTTTGTATGCCGTGAATAAATCCTATCCACCCCTAGTTTGTCCGGGGAAAAGCGCCTCATCGTCATGTGGTCAGTAATCTTGCGTCTACATCCCCGTAGTGGTGTTCTGCCATTTCATCGTCTCGTTCAGGAGCGCCCACGCGCCGTCGTCGTCGCCCGGCGCCAGGTTCAGTAGCGACTCGGGGATCTGCGTCGCGAAGAAGGCCTCCTCGGTGGTCTGCCATAACGGCGTCGATATGCGGTCCTGGAACGGCCGCAGGTCGAAACGGTTCTCTTCCGGGGTGTTGCCTAGGCCACCGGTGCCGGGGGAGGTGTGGCTGCTTCCTGAGACGCCGTCCGTGCCGTGCTCTCGGTTGGCGGGGGACGAGGCCGACGAGCTGGTGCGGTCCGGCAAAACGAAGAACTGGTTTCCGGGATGTGGGCGGAGATCCACCCCGTCGAACCGCCACGAGTTGGACACGCCCAAGCCTGGCCCGCGACTAGACGTGCTTCGCGAGCCGCTGCTGACAGACTCGGTCATGACTGAAGTCAGGATGCCGATATTCCGGTCCGATGCAGGACCAGGACTGGGCGACATTCGCTTTCGCTTGCCTGGGTGGTCCACCGGGGTGGCGGCAACATTGTGTTTCGCAGCGCGAAGCAGAGGCTGGAAACAGTCTGCGTTGATCAATTCGCGCACAAGTGGCTCCGTGCCCCTCGAACCTGTCATGGGCGGAATGCCCTTGTCCATCCTTAGGTGGGCCGGAGGGATGTGGCCTTTGGGATTGTTGAGTGGGAGCCGGCCAGGTAAGATGGGCGACGCGGAGGTGTGCTTGGACACGGGGCTCCGGGCCAGCATGGGGATGTTGGAGTTTGCGCCGCCAAAAATGTCGCGATATTTGCGGAGGTTGGGGAGTCTGATGGTCGAGTCCAGCCCGTTCTTTTCCACGTCTAGGCAAGCTTGCTGGAGGAAGGCAGTGGTGATTTGGTGCTGGCGGCCAATGGCCTCCATAGCGCTGATGATGAGTTCGAGGTTGGAGACGTCCAGCGTCGTCAGGCCAGAATGGGGGTTCTGCTTGGCCAGATAGACGTACACTGTCGTCGCGACGTATAGTGACAGGGCGCACATGGGGCTCCTCTGCCGATGGACGCAAGAGTTAGCGACGTTGGCGCAAAGCGAGGAGGTCGCGGGGGAGGAGTAGGCGGACGACATACAAACATGGCGGTCGAGTGAGAAGTCATCTTGACAATGTTGACAATTTCCTCGGCAGAGGTTCTCAAACGACAGAGACTCGACTGTTTCACCGACTCCGGTAGGTTATGGATTTGTTGTTTCTCGATGGCGGCGTGATGCAAGGCGATGACTGCGGCGTGCAGATTGAGGTTGGTATGGACGGCCGATGGGTCGCGGACGCATTGCGGGAGACGGAGCTGTTCGGGCAGGAACATGAAGGCGTTTGACAACTTGTTGTCAAGGTCACGATGCCGCTTCCACCACGCTCCTTCCATCATGTCGTCGGGACGATCCGTTGGCTTACACCTGTGAACATGCTGCAGTATGCTTCTGAAAATCTGGCAAATGACTATGGCGCCGGCGAAGCCACTGTAGGCGGCACCGTTGAAGACGTCCTCCAGAAAAGGCGCAGTCTCCTCTTGGCCTGAGGAGAAGGCTTCCTCGGAGGCCGGGAGGCGCGTTGATATCTATACAGAATCCAGTCAGCACCTAGATTGTCTCACAGGGAGGCAGACTCACATTATTCGGGTCTATCAGGCATGCCCACCCTGTCGATATGCTCGCATGCGAATCTATGGCAAAAGCCCCCCACATGACTCTGCGACGCTCCTCCAGCTCAGCCCACGAAGTCGTAGGACCGAGGGCGGGGGGCTGGTCTTCTGAATTCCCGTCCAGACGGTCAAGGCCCATCATCTGGGTAAGGCGAACGCATCTAGCACAGCTGGTGGAGGCTCGTGTGAAGAACATGCACTTGGCTTCGAAGGCAGCGACGAGTGCCCAAGTCTGAGCGTGGGCGATGGTGATGAAGTGCTCTCCGTGGCCCTGCACACTGGTTTAGTTTCACATAAACCATGGGATTTGGTCGGCGGCAGCCCACCTTCATCTCGTCGGCGTCGGCATACTGCCGGGCCCGCTGGTAGAAGATTTGGGAGTACTGGTCGTACTTGGCGTGACCGTTGGAGGCCAACGCCCAGATGGCGTACTGGAGACACATAGGGGGCTTCCGTAAGGGCCCGCCGTAGAAGGCTTGATAATATCGCCCGGAGTGAACGACAGGGATGAAGTGATACTGGCCAAGGAAGAAGGCATTGTTCCTGAAGCGCGACGGTCAGGCTGGCTCAGACTGCCATGCGGTGGAGCAGTGGCCATGGCACTTACAGCTCCTCCTGTACCTCGAATGGCGGGAGTGTTTCGGAATAACCCAAGCCCATCAACTGGCCGCTGCCGATGAAGTCGCTTTCCTGAAATGATGGCATCTCGAACGAGTCTTGGGGTTGGCTGGCAACCCCCTGGGTGTCGGAGTCCTGGCCGGGCGGGCCGCTCTCAAAGGTAAAGTCACCCATCTGAAGCGGAGGCTCATCAGAGCGCTTGCTGGACGAGTCCTCGGCATCGTCGCCACCCTTGTTGACCTGGTTCAGGTACTCTTCCACCTGAGCTGTTTGGGAGGTCGCGCGGCGTGAGCGTCCAGACATGAGACTTGGGACACGAGAGAATGGAGGGAGGATGAGCAGGCATACCTAGGCGGGCCTCGAGCTCCTTGACATTGCGTCTCTTGAAGGTGGGCTTCCTGCGCGACTCGGGATAGCAACACTCGGCGCCGACCTTGACGCATCGGGCGCAGGCCGGCTTGGTGCGGTCGCACTTGAGCTTGCGCGAGCGGCACGACACGCAGGCCAGCGGCTCCGTGGCGGCGGCGGCGGAGTCGGGCACGGCACTGGTGCTACCGGACTGAGACTCCATGACGGGCTTGGCACTGGATGCCCGGCGGCGGCGGCGAAGACTGACTTGCGATCGGGTCGGGGTGGGGATGGTCTCGGAGCAGCAGCCGGCCGGGGGCCGCGCGGCGAGGTCCGGGTGTGCGTGGGTGAGTCTGCGTGCGCTTCTGCCGGCGCCGTGATGATGCAGATGAGGCGTGAATGGCGCTCACGGCTGCGAGATTCTACCGGGCCAGGCTCACTGCTCTGCGCCTCCGCTGCGGCCAGGCTCACTCCTTGGGTTGGTCGCAACAGCCGGAGCGTCGTCGCGATGTCGGGACGGCAATGATTGGCATGTGCAGAGGGGTTGCCGTCGAGATATCTGGCCGCCTCGTCTCAGCCCTGTGACGCAGCGGACGAATTCGGCCGTACGACGGTTTGCTTACGAATGGGGCCGGTGGCCGTTGGCGTGCGGTGCGGTGCGGTGCAGTGCGCTACCGGTGGCATGACGCGCTGACACGGCCAGGTCACGTTTTTCCGGCGTGGCTCATCGTTGCCTGGCGTTGCGTTGCTGCCCGCCTGTGCAATTCAGGCGCCGCGCTGGCCGGCAGTGGCTGCTGGACCTGCCTGCCTCACCGGCGACTTTTTGTCCCGATGTCCGACCGCCTCCCGTTAAATCCGAGCGCCGCGAGCCAAGCGTCGGCGCAACTGCTGTAGCTATCAACGTGTTCATTGTGCAGGCGCTCTGTTGGAGCCGAACTCCGTCTTCGTGTCCTGGGAGCGTGAGGGCGAGTGCATTGCACCAATGCGTGTCGGTGTGTGAGTGTGAGTGTGATGCGAGAGTGGCAGGCTGAGTTTGAGGGCGACGACTAATAAGTGACGTCTGTCTCCGTTGGTCGCACGGCGCACAAGAACAGCCCTGCTCCCCCATCAGCTATATCCAGCAAAGTGGAATTATTCCCTACTAGTTATTTTTCCTTTGCTATCCAGCCCGGCAGACCAGGCCTCGATATTGATCTTACGTGCGGGCGGGGCCATCTGGCAGTGACAGTACAGGTGACCTCTTGGGCGAGCCAAGCCAAGGTCGCCCGCCCGCTTGCTTGTACAAGTATGCGCGCCGCCCGACCAACAGCGGTAATGCGATTTTCGTGGGCTGCTCCGCAACGAGACCCAAGCGCGACAAGTCACCAAGCCACATATTGATTGCGGGTGCCGAGCCAGCAAGCGGCCGAATCGGATTGACGATATCCAGCGCCTGGCAGGGCCAGGCAAAGCCGGCCTCAAGAAGGTATCCCACAGGTTCATCGCCATACCTGTGCGCCATTCCCCATACAGGCAGAGCATCGCAAGAGAAATCGGCCAAGCGTGACGTCGTCGCTTCTTGGCCTGGATTAGGAATCATGAACCCGTTTTCCATATGCCATTTCCCCAACCAGGCAGATTGCCATCGTTTGCGGCGACGTGGATGCGGTCCGCGGCACAGTGGGCAGCTCAATGTTGCGCAGGTCAGCATCGCTGTAATGGGACATTCATCCGTCGGCCATCTTGCTCGGGATGGCAGGGGTCTGGCGATGCGGGAGCCCAATCGACGCCTGGTGTTTCAAGCACATTTGTGAAGCCGCAGGGGTGTCCGTAGTGCCGAGCTGCCTCGGCCAAGATCCGTCATAGCTTGTTGAAGAAGTGCGATCAGCGGCGTCTAGAACACGACACGGAAGATCTCGCGGAACGCCAAGCTGCGCAGTGCTTCTCGGCGTCGCTTCCACCTGTCAGCCAACTCACTCGCAACTCCCTCAAGCTGTTCGCCGTACCATTGACCAACGTCGACAATCCCTGACTGGGAAGTTGGGTTCGGAAGCACTTCGTACCGACCGAGTCAACTTTTGGCGTTTAGGCGCGGTGGCGCCGCTGGCGCATCGCCCAGGCGCTAATGCTGTCTTGTCAATGCTGCCAGGGTGGTGTTGACAGAAAGAATTGTGTACATCCTTCTGGCCGCGTCCCGGATGTATGTCGCCCATCTACGTATCACCCGTTCATACCGTGATGATTGACTCGGTAACGATCGTAGCACCTGCTGCTTGCCGGGCTGCGCGAGACGACAGCGGCAGCATGAGCGAGACAACGCACTGGTCCATTAAACGCAACAATATCGGCAAGGAATAGGTGGCCGCCCTTCTCGATAAGCGAGAAAGACGTGTGGCGGGTATCCGCTCATCTGGAAGTCGACACAACCTTGTCGTTTGTGAGCGCACGCCCCTGAAGTCAAACTGATCTGGCTCAGGAGAAACAATCTTGTCGTTCGCAGGACCACATACTGTGCTGTACATTCCATACGAGACCTGCACAAAAGTGCGTTGCGGAACAGCAGTCTCTTGGCTGAGAGTGGCTTGCGTGATAAGTCGTGGGGCCAGGGTCCGCGACTCCAGAAGGGGTATGCCCTGCTGTTCGCCGGCGACACCCTTCAAGTGAGGCGTCGGCGAGGCGCCAAAGCCTGGGCGTCGCCCAAGCTGTGTGGGCGTTAAGCAGGTGTGGCTTGCGCGGCGTGTCGGCGACTGGGACGATGGCCCGAGGGTCCGGCAATTGAAGGATCTACAAGTGGCTCAACTTGTGGAGTCGGTATCGACGCGCTGGTGCACTTTTCTGCTGCTAGGAGCATGGGCAGTATTAGACTTGGCTGTGCATCACCATCTGAGGAGCGCATGTACGTACAAGTCGACGTCGCTCTTCTCCGGCACACGCGCCCAACATCGAAGCGTGGCCCCAGCTGTGGCGCATGCAGAGCTGGCGCAGGGATATGCTGGGATAGATTCCTTGCCGCCATTCGAAGCCACAAGAATCCATCAGCTTGCCGCCGGCACAGCGGAGGGATGATGGACGAGGACGAGAGGAAGCAGTGCGCCACGCGGGTTTCAGGGTCCGTCACTGAGGCTCGCTTACCGCTTCGCTTCTCTTGACTGGCCATGGGGCTCAGCTGATCAAATGGAGAAGGCAAGTCCGCTGGGTTCCTGCCGCATTCCCTGGAGCACTTCGTGATAGGCTGGTCGACGCAAGGCAGGTGCAGCCACCAAAGAAACAAGCTTTGCTTCGCAACTGCCCAGAAAAGGCGAGTTTGCAGTTTAGGAAGGCAGGCGCAACGGACTGACCCAGCAGTGGGCCCTGTACATACTAACAACGGTTACTCGTACAGAGGGCTGGGCGACAAACACCAGCGAGCACCATCCCGACTATCGCTTCAAGGCAAATTCCTTTGCGTCACGGTCATTCTCCTCGATGCCCGGCAGGGCCATTCGACCGCCGGCCGGTGCCCCTCTAGTTCCGTGTCTGTTTCTGTGCCTGCGTCTGCGTCTGCGTCTTGTTACCGGTCCGCGTCGGCGCCGGCGAGCACGCCCGCGCTGCTTCGCACGCCACGGCCCTAGAGAGTCCCCCGACCCTGCGGTCCTGTCAAGCCTCCACAGTCAAACAGACGCCACACAAGCGCCGTCGCCAGCGGCCACAAGGCCGAGCCACGCGTGCAGGGCCAGTCCCGTTCCTGAACAGACGCCATGACACGCCCCAAAAGCCGCGGGTCCATCAGGCGTACCCCTGTCAGGCTGATGGATGATGGCATGGGCGCCGGTGCGGGCCCTGGATGAGCCACTCGCAGCTCACGGAGGTCTTTCCTTCTGACACCTGCCCTCCACAGGCTACTTCGACGACACTTGGGTCTTGACCCATGTTCCCGGCCATGCCTGATCCGCGCCGCGCCCTCTCCAGCTGCCGCCCGCCGCTCCGTGTTTGGTATCCCAAGTCGCAGTGTGCCGCTTGCGACGTGATGCCACGCCTGCTTTTCGCCCGCCACGGGCCGCTGCTGCGTCGATCTGCCCGGTTCATCTAAGCGGTCCCATGTTCGGCTCGCTCTGTGCTGCCATGAAGAGTGGCGGTAATTGCCCGTACCATGGCCGGCCCTGCCAACGCAACCTCGAGCGGGCTCGTCCCTGCGCCCTACCCGAAGCCCGCCTGTGACCCCCAATTTGTGTCGTGCGCAACTGGCTCATGGGCTTCATGGCACAGGGACGATGCGGTCTTTCCAACCTAGACCTTGCTGGGAAGCCATCTCCGGGCCATGTCCCAGGCCGTCACCTGTCACTGAGCGGCCGCTGCCTGTCCTGTCGGTCCAGCCGAGCACGTTTACGTTTGACACTTTGTTCTACCATGGCCACCCTGGAGGGGCCGCTCGGGGCCACAAAGTGCGGAGTGTGGATCGCCTGAAGTCAGACCCGCTGTCAAGCCCACAGCTTGGCCGATAGCGAAACGATCTTTCCAAGAACTGGGAGAGTTCTGCTTCCACTTGTTCTTCCGATATTCTCCACCATGGCACGCTGCTGGTGCCCCAAGGCTTTGTGACGCCCGAGCCAAGCTTCCGTCGCGAGGGCCAGGCTTCCCAGAGTATGGGGTGGCACCGAACAACCCCCCGCTAACCTGCGCAGCCATCCCTTCTGACCCCTGAGTCCGCCTAGTCTTGACAGGACGAGGACCTGGATGCCTCCTTTCCTGAGCATGGGCATTTTCCGCGGGACTGGCTTTCTGCCGCTGCTGGATACTCCTGCGGCTGCACTAGTATCCGCGAAGATCTTCGGCATGCATAAGCTGGCTGTCCTGTCACAGGTGACGGACACGCCTTCTGGCGCTCCATCAACGACGCTACAATTAGCCGATGACGGATTTTGCCGTGGCCGGGTTTCGATGCCTGTCTTTGCCACCGAAGCGGCTTGACAGGTGGGCAGGAGGGCATCGGGACGTGGTCGGGTGGATGCGTGAGTCTCCCCTCTGCCACTCCTGAATAAAACCACATTGGCGTCAGCTTCGTTCTGGTAATGCGTGCCAAAGGTGTATCGGTAATTCATCCACTGCACCCAAGATGTTAACTATCGACTCGGCGATTCTTCGGTCTCTATTGGTGAGAGACCGTCGAGGCATGACACCTCTTCTTGAATGGCTTCAATGCCATGCACGCAGCATCGAGCTCTTGGTCCAGAATTGCTAGCGGCTTTGCCCCATCCGCATGACCGACGTGCTTCATCAAGCCCTTGGCAGCCCGGGGTGCCGCCCGAGCCATAAGACGTGATCAGACTGCATGACTCCATGGCAGGGAAGTTCGGCCCACGCTCCGCAGCGGCGGAGCTGCCTCTCTCGACCCACACCGTCCAGACCGGTGCCGCGCAACATGGCAATGCCCAGGAGGCCAGGGCATGGGTAGATGGGTGGCAGCGAGACACGCAAAGCCCCCACACGCAACCCCAGCCAGCCAGCCTTTACTCGTACTGTCTGGCAACCACAACGCGTTGCTGGGCCTGTCGACCACCTCCCTTGTATCCCACATCCCGTAATCGTGTCAATGCGCACGCTCGGGTGGTGGACACAGTTCGGGTTATCACAATGCGAGCGTCAGCGGCACTGCACATCGAGCAGTCCATCTTTGACGTTCGTTCGGTTTTGGCTCTACATTTGGGCAGTCAGTCGTTGCGTCACGATATTCGCGGAGCGGGCGATCGCCTTGGCGGCCCACAACTGCCGACGAGAAGTAGTACTACTCGAGAATAGACGGCTCAAAGCCCGAGCCTGATGATTGCGGTAGGTGGTTCTCTGCCGATCCTGGCACGAGGTGTTTGCGAACGGGGGGTGGAGAAGACGCTCGGTCGGAAATGCTTGATCTGGTACCGATCCGTGACAGACAGGTGCCAAACTAAGCTGCATACGAGGGAACGTGGTCAGCTGAAATCTGCCACCAGGCGGTTTCACTAGAGTATCCTAATTTCAAGGAACTAGCACTCTTGGGTTTCTGATTACTCTCGCGAAGCGGGTTCTCAGCAGAAGTGGCAGCCCCGGCCTGGAGGCGACTAAGTTACAACGCAGAAGCTCGCGGAGGATGGATCCGACCTGGCATGTCTGAAGACCACTCGCTCGTTCCAAAGGAAAATCATACAGTCCCAAGCAACTCCACCAGAAACTTGTCGTCGCTATGATCCGCCCGTACGAGCCAGTAAAATCAGACGCAAATTATGTCCACCTCGTATCTGTGCTTCGTGACCTCATGTAGGCATCCGACATATGTATCATCTGGTCGGTGGCCAAGTAATGTGTTGATCAACCAGTTGGGTAACCGCTCATGAAATTTATACACTCTCCCGGCTCGGATCGCCCGCTCTGCGCTTCCGCAAACCATCACTCATGTCGTCGTCGTACGCGGCACTCTCGCCGTCGCTTAGGGGTAGAGCCTCGGCCCGCCTGCTGTGTGCGCCGTAATCGCCATTGTGTTCCGTGGAGGCGAGGATCTTGCTTTCTGTGTTGGCACTGCCTACAACACGGCCGTTCGTTGCGTCCGACTCGACCCTTGCGCTGTTGATCATCGCCGGTAGCTGACGCCGTCTGGCGTTGATAAACCAGTTGGAAATCTGGTCTGCAAGGACAGGTAATTAGCTTCTGCTTGGTCCGAGAATGGGCAATATTGCAGAAGAAATCATTACGAGAACGTACTCATCTGGAGGCCCGTCTGGCGCATCAACTCCTGCTTCTCATCTTCTGTCGGGTATGGGTGCTGCAGATGCGCAACGAACCAGGCGCGGAGCTTGTCTGTCGTCTCTTTAGGGAGATTTCCCCGTCGTTTTCGTTGCTTGGCATCGGCACCCATACCCATGCCACCCAGGTTTCCATAGCGAGCCATTTCTGAATATGGCGGTCCATAACTTGTTCCTGCGGAGAAAGGTGCGCGATCGAAGGGACGAGCGGGGCTGGATGACACGGACTGGTATCGACCCGGCTGCTGATATGCGTATGGGTAGTCCTGCGCGTGATACATGGATGTTCGGTCAACGACCCCGGCGATCGGGTCCCGAAGGCGCTGCATCGATCCAGGATGGTCTAGATCAGTTTTGACCGGTGGTGGCAGGGCCGGCAACGTAGAACGGGATTCGGGTCTGCTGTGGGCGTCAAGTCGTGCAGAAAGGTTGCTTCTGCCGTACGAATCGCCTCGAGGGGATCTCGTCCAGGACCCAGGCGCCCCTGGGAGTGCGTGTTCCTGGCGAGGTGAAGCAAGCTGCCTAGAAGTTGGTCGTTCAGGACTGCGGTAGAGCCTTGGTACCTGCTTGGCACGAAGACTCGACTGCTCGTCATCGATAGAAATTCGGCGCCGCTTGGAGTTTGGCGAGTGAACGTATTCCGAGGTGTCTCGCGAGCCAGGAACACTGGCACTCGTTTGCCGTGGGACCGGCATCCTATTTGCGTGAGGCTCAGGAAGCGATCCATCGAGGTTAAGCTCAGGGAATGTCTAGTCGTGCTTTAGCAAGAGTTTCCAAGCCGAGAGGCTTCGGCAGTTCCGTACCTGACGGATGGACGGAAGAGAGACCGCTTTGTTCTCGGCGCGAGGTCGGGACAGCTCCAGCGACGGTCGAGTGCTGTCCCAGGAGTACTCGTTCCTGAACATTGAATGCGGCGATGGCGTAGTCACGGTGAGCGTGCACATGTTGGGCTGACGTTGCAGGTCTTGCTGAGTGATAGAGATCGATTCCGGGGACCGCGGAAGGGTCTCTTCCATAACCGAGCCAACGCTGGCTGAGGCTGAATCACCCACAGATGGACTTTGCCAGTCGCGGTTCGATGATGGGCCGGTCAAAGTAGGCTATGCCGTCCCCCGGGCCCGCTACGACGAATGTCCAAGGACGAGAAGGATGCCCAGCGACGGTGAGATGCGACAGATAGATGCCCAACGAGCCAAGTCGGGTACAGACTTGAACCCTCTTCCGATAACCTGGGTCTTCGAAAACCAGGGTCGCTGCAGCGGCGGAATGATCGTGACAGGGCCGTCTAGTAGTGCCAGGTGTAATGTTGGTGAAGCCAAGAAATGGAAAGGACGAAGTAGCAAACCGACGAACCGAATCAATGGAGGTGGGATGTCCCACACCTTTTGTATATTGAAAGTGCCGGTCCGCTAGAGAGAGACGGCGGCAGCCCTAAGGGAGTGCAGAGATGGGGAATCAGATCACTGAACAGGGGGACGGATCAAACAGCCAGAAAGGGTAATACTAGAGACCTTGACTCCGGAATGAGGACGCCGCCAGGCCCGCAGTGGATGTCTGAGTGGTTTGGTGGGAAGCCGATTTGCAAGAGCCGGCACACACAAGCTAAAGTTGCGCGAGGCGCACGGGACGATCCCCACGGCGGACTGATGGCCGAGTCTGATTATTATTAAGTTGTCAACAGGCCTTCGAACCTCTGTTGCGAGAAAGGTGTTGCTTGACCTAAGCTCCCAAGCCCTGTCGGAAAAAGCCGACGGCATGTCGACCAGTCCGAACTGGCTTCGCATCCGGATATGGTACAAGAGAGCCGTGGAAGACTACGCCAGCGCCCGCGTCGACGAGGAACACGATAGAATGGTGCGGCCCAGCACCTCGTCCTCTGTGCTGTGAGAGCCTGGCCGGCGCAGTGGCCGATCTGGCAGAGTCCCCTGTCCAAGCGAGCGACACGTTGGCAAGGAAGGTTGCCTCCCATGGCTGGGAGGCCCCGGCCTGGCAGCTCCTGACGAAGGGTTGGGGATGTAGTGGTGGTCGCCGAGCACAGATGCGGGTTACCTTGCCGATGACAAGAGGCACCTGGGCCCGCGGTTCGGAGCTGCCAGATTTCGCGATTCAGGAAGTCAGATAGAAAGCCAGCAGAAGCGCGAATGAGCCGCTAGTGAGCTGGCTCGCGGCAAGGGTGTCCGTCCGCCGCTGAGGCAAGGCGTGGATCACGGGGGGCGTGTGGGATACGATGTAAGATGTGGGTGGCTGACCCTGGGAGGGGGGCGCGCCAGTGGCACCTGGCTTTCACCCCAGGCCCAGGGTGACGGGTGAGTCGCGCGGGAAGAGGGGCGCCGTTCATCCCCCAGAGAGACATGACCTGACAGGATGACGCTGGTAGCCTCTTGGGGGCAGGCCTGGAGCAGCTGAGGCGCGCGCTCCTTGAGGCCCGTGCCCTGCCAGCGGTGCCATAGGGGCGTGTCTGGTTGACGCACTCGCAGGAAGCAGGCAGGCGAGCCCAGGTGGTTTCGCGTGTTATGTAGAGGCCAGGAGAGATCCGGGGTGGGCCTGGGACGTCGGGGTGCTGGCGACGCCGGCGGCGACCACGACGAAACCTTCGAGATGGGTGTGGGCAGGGGTTTGAAGGATGTCCAGGGTGTGGTGAATGCAAGCAAGTCGTTCGCAACGTGTGTCGACTGGAGTTAGGCACGCTGACCCAGCCACGGCGTCGGGCGGCCGTAACAGCGATGTCGACATGGGGCCAAGAACAAAGGGACCGCGACTCTGAGCTGACACTTGGTTCTGGCGGTGCCCGAATAAACCAACCCAGACCCCACACGGCAAGGCAGCTGTCGTCGCGAGCCAGGCCTTTGACGTTGATGGCAAGCCGGAACGCGCGCTAGGGGGTGCACTAGGGCGCCATGACACCCCCATCCGTTGACGATGGTTGCCGTGGGGCCCTTCCCAATGGGCCTTGCCAGGTCGGGAGTTCCGATGCGTGCAAGAACGGAAACCTGCTGTCGAGGCAGGGCCACGCGCACCAAGCGAAAGCCATCTCGAGTTCGACAGACCACGGGCAGGTCCCGAGAGACACCTGTGCCTGACAGACGGGCACGAAAGCCATGGGGGTACTCGTGCTCGGTAGCCACATGATGAGTGAGCGACTTGTCATCAAGCCAACCCGCACCACCAGGCCGGGCCCTCCCTGCATTGGGTGACCGCCCGGCAGCGCCGTTGGGTGACAGCGACCTACGGGAACGGACTCGCGGGACATCTTGTCGCATCGCCAGCCAGGCGGCGTGCAGCAGCTGCAGGTCACTGTCCGCCATGTTGAACCGCCCGGTGGAATGTGGGATGCCGCCGTATGTGCGACATGAGCTGCTTCCCAACACCACAAGTCTCAGCCCAGCCTGGATGGGAGATGGAGATGGGGAGTCGTGGCGACGCCCAAAGTCGAGGTGGCAACAGGCGTGCGAGGCTGTTGCTGCTCCTCTTCCTTCACCGATGAACACGATGACGATGTGCGCTGCCGTCTGAATTTCGGTCGACAAACTCCGTCCGCTAAGATCCGAAAATCTCGGCCCCAAAATTTTGGACGCCTGCAACGCTGTCCCAAGCGCAGTAGGGCAGTGCGGACGCCCCCTTTGGCGCCACGCTATGTAGCTGCCACAAAGGATAAGTCAGGCGAGCAACCATTCCCCAGGTTTGCTGGCATCAACGCTGTTCGTTCCCTGGTTATTTAGGTTTTGCCGGTGCCGTTGTCTCGGGCTGCCTGGCCCCCAGTTACCGCTGTGACCCCTGTTTCCGTCGCACAAGCTCAGACATTTGAGCTGGAGCCCTTAAACGGCGCTGGTGCAGGAGCACAGCAATGGTGGCGATCCGTCCTCGTGTAATAGGTGATCAAGACATTACCAATACCGATCTCGGCTCGAGTATTTCGGACGGTGAAGGGGGCATCGAAACAGTCGCGTTCAAGAGACGCAGGACCACGGGTGGTATGCCGCATGCATGATGCGGGATTGGCATCGTGGCTTGCCCATACGTGGACGTTGTTCCATCGTCGAAAGGCGAATCGCCTTCACCCCCGGCACTGTCTGAGCCAGTAGCATCCTTAAGAAAGTTCAAAGGCGATCTCGGGCCGGCTTGATGAAATGGACATCCATACAGCATCCAGCCGTAGCTTCCACAAGGGGGTCAGTTCAATGCCAGGCGTCGAGACGCGCCCCTGTCAAGCGTGCATGATTGTACATACACTGACAGCTGTTCCAAGATCCGGACAGGCAACGCCAGCGGTGATGCGTCAGCCAAATCAGAAGATGCGACTGGTTCGCCAAGTGGTGCAAGGCCCAGCTGGCGATCTGTCGGGCCCAGATCGGTGCCAGTGTGGGTGGAGTGACACATGTCAGCGCAGCTGGTTGTGGCTGCCGCATGGCCCTGAGCGTTGGGACGCCGGCCATCAGGTACCAAGATGCTGCGGTGTCGTTGCAACGGGGCACCGCCATTGTTGAGTGAAACAGCGAGTCACGGGCGAGGCCGAATCTGCACGAGATTCCGAGGTCAGATGTCAAGCTCGCTGCGATGCAGTTGGAAAGTGAATGCGGGAGGATCAAGGCGTGTCACATGACGCGAGGCAACGCTCCTTCCTGTCTCTGCGTCGTCGTGGTGCCTCCTGCTCCTGCTTCCTCCAGGTGGGAAGGTGCCCGGAGGCGGCGCCTGAGGCGGCAGCTGAGGCGGCACCCGTCGTCTGCTCCCGACGTCCTCGGTTGTCAATTGCTTGGCTCAAGTTCACAACTACCGGCATCACGCCTCTGCCACAACCACCACTCCGCGGGGACGGAAATGTACACGGCAAACCCAACAGCAATCCGAGCGGTACCAATCCGCACTACGTGCAAAGCATGGATGGAGTACAACAGCTCACTGCGCCCAGCACGAAGTTCCGAAGTCCAGCAACGCCGCCTCGCAAACGAAAAGGGGCCCCTTGCAAGGACCGGAGACCGCATTAACGGCCCCACGACAACCGGCGGAGCACACGCACCGCGAGAAATATCGGGGGGTCACGTCATGACACGGATGGCAGCGAGGGATTGCACTGACGAGCTGAAGGAAGGCGGAGAAATAGGGCTTCGCGGCGGAGTCGACGACTTGCAAGCCACGGGGCGCGCACCCACCCAGGTACGGGTGGCGGCAGTCCACCCGGACCGGCGACGAGCATTGGCCAGTTTCCGAGGCGGCTTGGGCGGGCACGCGAACGGCCGTGAGCAGCGGGACGGAGAGCCCGTGGCTGCGCTGTGCCCGTCATGGAAGACGTTCCTTTTGGCCATGGGCCACGATGCGACGGGCGTCTGGCGCCCGGGATTCGAGGGCCCGAGCCCGCCTCTCGTTGGCCGCCACCAGCCTGGTGCCGTTGATTGCGTGCGCGCTCACGGAAATTCCCGCTGACTGAGAATCACTAATCCCTTGGCCCACAGGTTCGCCGGTTGGGCGGGCCCCTGACCTGGCACCTGTGCATCACCAGGCCTCTCCGGCCTGGAGGCACCCGCCCATCCACCTCACTGGCAGCCCGCTGGACGCACCCTGGCGTGGCTCCACAGCGCATTGCCACGAACAGGAACCACCCGCCCAATCGAACTGCCGTTCACGGGAAGTTGGCCTCGCCAGGGCCGCCTTGCAGGGCCCATCCATGCTGATCCAATGTGCCGTGGGGGCTTTGGAAGGGTGCATGGAGCTAGCGTCCTGACATCTGTTAGCTGCCAGATCGGCACCTGTGGAGAGGCCTATCGGCCGAGCCTGGACTGGTCAATGCTCCCTCCCGCGGCAGCGCCAAGGCCTGCCTGATGATGCCCCGAGCCGGGCGGCATTTCGGGGAGATTCACGCCGGTGTCATCCATTCGCCTGGACGCTTCCGTTTCGTGGTTACGACGACAGGCCCTTGCTTTCTGGTATGATTCGCCGACGTCCCCGTTCCATCTCATCCGGAGCGGTTGCGACCGGCTCTCTCCTTTTGGTTATGCATCTCCGAAACGGGCAAGAGTCGATAGGAGCTGCTCGACTTGCACCGCAACTGCAGTGTTCAGAAACATATTCCGTCCGCGCATCCCGCGGCAACCTCATTGAAAACAGCCAACGACTGCACGGACTGATGAGGCCGTATGAAGCACACCGGCTCAGTACTGTCACTGCCACGTTCCATGATGTGAGGCAGGTCTCAGATTCGAGCCCGTGGCTGCGCTCCGATAGTCTCCCGCTCGTTCGATGCAACCCTTGTTTGGCGTTTCGAACGGCTCGGGGACCGCACTCGAGTGCCCCGAAATGTGGGTCGACACTTTGAACAAACGCTGGCCTGAGGTGAACCAAGACTCTGTGGGAGAGACAGCGCCGACATACAGATGAATGGGCTTTCCCTTCTATCCCGAAACGATCGGTACAGTATCGATCGCCATCTTCACTAGACAGTTCTCACACGCCTCAATTGTCATCATCATTATGACACGAAGTTGCGCCTCAGCAGGATAACCAGCTCCAAGCGCGGTCACAGGGAGGGGTGGACGCGCTCGAACACGACGACTCCGTGAGACATCAGCATGGCCTTGTTCTCACTATGCAAGTCGCCGACACCCAAAGTGTTGCGGCTGGGATTCAACGTCGAGAGCGAGATACACACTTGACAGCGCAGCAACAAGGGGTCGCACACTCGCAAGGTCAACTGCACTTGGCAAGAAAACCCGTTGGTTTGGTTACGTGCGACCAACAGAGCCTTGCAGCTTACAGCTGCCTGCCCCCATCCTATACCAACGGTTCACAGATGTCTTGCATCCACAACATCCTCGCGTTTTCGGGAAGCCGCCAGCAAACCGGGTCGTCGACACGCTCACGGGCCACCGTCCGGCCTGAAACTGGCGACAACAAAACCAAGGCGCCCCACCGTTGTTATCCACCAGGCACGCTCAAGCCGCGTGAGCCGCCGCCCATTGCGGCAATGTTGATCCTCGTCGCTCGGTACAGGCATCATCACAACCTCGGCCAGATTGTTCCTGGCTGATTGCTACGAAAATGACTTCTCCACATACCCATATACTTCAACGCCAACTGCACGTTCGATACGGCATTTAGGAGTCCCGCCCTGGGCATGGCCAGCTAAACCTTAATCCTTCCTGCGGAGTTTGTGACACGCAAGTTCCGCGCCGAGGAGTAGGTTTGCTCCACGAACCCCCTGGCGGGTCACGAAGCACTTCAAACAATGGTTCCAACTTGCTATCCGACTTGCTGTACAAAGCAGCTTGTAATTCCGAGCTCGGATTTTGGCACTTCGGTGGCCAAGCAGATGGTGCTGGCCTGACTCGCTAGCAATAGGTATAGGGGATGTGTAAGCGCAGTTCGGAGGGTTCGTCATCAACAAACTTCAACTCCATCTGCAAGTGCCCTATGCGCTAGGGCTGCGGCATGAATGCGCCCTCTGAGCACTGCACACCGAATACGGACGAGAGACAACTTCATCCATTGGTCGGCCCACCTTGGTTGCTGTCCGCGTACTTGTCGCTGCCTGTACTACCGAGTAACGGTCACGTTTTCGCGTTTTCTGTGGTAAGAAAAGTCAGTGAGATTTCCCATCTGAGCCTGAAAAACTGGCATCTCTCTGTGACGGTCGGCCAGGACTTCTGCTGTCTAGGACCCCGGGGCTCTCGCGACGTGCCACCACGGCCAACACCGCGGTCGAGGAACAGATGTCAAGTATGCGGCATGGCTCATGCATGTGTATTTCGGCAATGTTTCCTACGAATAGTTTTATTTTCGAGCTATTGTCCCGTGGCACCATAGCTGCACCATTCCGGCTGCCTTCGTCAATGGGACAGGCGTCAACGCTGGGCAATGGCCACACCGATCCCTAAACGCGCCAGCAAAACACGATGAGCCTGGCGCAAAACTAGATTTGCTGGGTTCAGGGTTGCGACCCGGACGTCACGGGGCAAATATTGTGTGCTCCGTGAATGTGCAGGCAGGTTTGAAATGCAAGCGTCGTCACACAAGTGTACGCCTTCACGGGCTGCCGGATACGAGCTAGAGTGCCCGGTCGATCATCTTTCCGGAAGGCCAGCCGCCAGGGAGGTACGAGGTTAGGCTGACATCTGTCGAGTCAACGGACGACATCCAAACCGGAGCCAACTGCATACGCTTGCCCCCTGCTGCCACTGGCCACGAGAAGACGGCAGCATCCCCTGTCCAGCCAACTAACGCCGCAAGTACGATAGCAACTCCTTGCAATGCGGTGTAAAGACTAGTGTATGTATCCTCGGTCGATTTCAGACCGGGACCGGGTCGGCCGGAAGGCAGCCTGCCCCTCTAGGGCGCTGGGCGCGCGACGGGCCAGTCCATCCCCACGCGAGAAGCTGGATCAAAGTCTAAGGCACCACTAGCTCAAGATAACGGAAGTGGATGGGTGGTTGATATCATAACGCGTTCCGTCTGCCGCAGGGAGTAACGTGGCAACGTTGCTGCCGGCAGGCCAGCGAGACCCCCTGAGTTTAGAGGCGTCCCCCAGGCAAGACCGGCACTCGGCTTGGTGAGATGCCTCGGGACAAGTGCCAAGCAGTTATTGGCAGCCTGTCGTGCCCTCGAGCCAGGGACGTCAACCCACTAGTGTTGGGAACGATCCCGCGTTCGAGAGTCATGCGGCCCAGCCACGACCGTGTGGACGACGCAGGCAGCCGCATGAATGGCATGATACACAGACTCGGGTACGTGCGTGCGTGCATTGGCCACGACAGCAGGAGGCAAGTTCCCTGCTTCGAGATGGCTTCATCAGCAGCACTCAGCAGCGCGCGCGCCCCTGAGCTCGCCGGCCTCGGTCCGTTCCAGGGTGCCATGGTATATCAAACTTTCTTGGCGACCACGCCACCGAGGTGTCGAAAACAAGGCAGTTGAGTCCCGTATGGGGTCGCCCCGCCACCGTTCAGCAACGCAAGGCCACCAGATGTCCGGTAGTGTCTCGTCGGATCCGATGCGGCGTTTGCGTGGTTCAGGGAACGACGTGGGCGGCCGCCGCCAAGGGGGCCACCGTAGGACAGCGCTCGATCTTCGCTCTCGTCACCGGGGCCATCTTGACGCTTAATCACCGACCCCATGGCGAGGCCGAACCCACGCCCCCCCTCGCGCTCGCCGCTCTCCACCGGAGCGCTCGTCCCCCCCCTTTTCCCCATGCCCCGGAACGAGGAGTCGTATCCCACGGCACACTGCACATGCCGCTGTATGCGTCTTGCTGCTGCTGCTAGTGATACCAAGTCCGGCACCCGCACGCGGGACACCCCATACGGGATTCCAGACGCGGGCGTCATCTGCCGCTCGGAAACGTCAGTCAGCATAAGCATTTGGGGGAAAGGGGGGGGCAGAGCATGTCCGGACGCGTCGAGGGCCGGTGCCCTGGACCCAGACGTTTCTGGGCGTTTTCGTTTGTGAAATTAACATGCCACTGGCGCGGAGGGGACGAGGGATCACCGCTCATCACAGAAGCGAAGGTCTAGTATCCCCTGCTTTGGCTTTAGAGTTTGCCTAGGCGCGCGCGCGAGTGGATGTGCCTTGGACAAGGACGATTGGGGAGGGGGGAACCGTGTCTTTCCGAGACAAACATCGCAGAGAGCCGTAACCCTGGGTCGCCTTCCTCCCTCACTTCCTCCCTTCATTTGTCTTTGATGAGATTATGGGAACTCAAAAACACACACACAAGTATCATGGCACAGCAAGGATAGCGCAGGCGACCCGGTCGAGTGGCAACGACATGTCGACGGTTGTGCAATGTGAGACGTGACGTCGTATTCGCGATACGGGCCATGTCCATGCCGAAGAACGGCCGGAACGAACCCCTGGCTTGTCGGGACTCTTTTGCGAGAACTAGTGACTTTCGTGCGATAGCCTTTGCGCTGTCATGCCCTTGCGCGCTGACAGATGTTGACAGGCTGTAGGTATCACGAGTGTCGTTCAAGTAAGCGCCGTATCGAGCACGAGTCGAGTCAGAGACAGTATCGGGACATCATAACAGAGTTTTCATGCATCACTCAACCTGTAGCAGTAGACGAAAATCAAACGCCAGAGTATTCCAGATGCTCGCCGTCACGCCGACGCGATTCACGTTTCCAAACGCCTGAGCCCTGTATCGCGACCAAGGATCAGCGGCGGAACATCTTGTTCAACAAGCTTCCGCCTCCACGTCCTCTGCCTGGCAAATCCTGACCTGGGGTCCTCGCTTCTCTCGAGGCCGAACTTCCGGCTCTTCGACTGCCGGCTGCCGAGTCATCAGCTCGGCTCACTTCTACGTAGTCATCAGGGACATCGTCTTCCGTGTGTGCCCTGTCAAAGTAACCCTCTGATACAACTTTTGCATGTCCTGGCGCGTAGTGGATGGGTGGCATCGCCGCCGCCCCCATGCCACGGATCTTCTCGAGCCCACGGTCGAGGGGCTCGACAAACCTGGCTTTGGTGTCAAATGACTCGTCCGCTTCGCCGTGGCTCAATCTGAGATCTTCGGCTTTCCTGAATAGAGAGCCATATTGTGCCTTGAACTCTTTCTCGAGTTCCTTCTCTTGCGCCTCCAAAGTCTCGAGACGCTGAGACGTTGATGTTGGCGATGTTGAGATGGTTCGGGCCCTATCCTCGCTTTCAACATGCGACAGCCATCCCGCATATTGCTCATGGCTTGTCAGAATATCGGCATCATTGACAGCTTTGAGTCCTTGTCCTTGGATCCATGCTTTGGCGCCATCGGTCATGGTTGCCCCGACAATGTACTGGTCGAAGGACTGGCTAAACTCACGGTAGTGTCCTTTGAGGATAAAACACTTCCCAGACCAGTTGTCAGCATTAAGCTTTTCCAGAATGATTCTGGCGGCAGGGCATTCCCAGGGCCACTCCAGCCCCCGAGCGTAGAAGACGAGACATCTTGCGTCTCGCCACTTCAAGCTCGCTTCTTGTCCATGCTCCTGCGGGAACGCCCGCTCGATCAAGTCGAGAGGGGCAATCTCGAGGAATGACTGTGGAGCTCTCAAGTTTATCGCGCCATGAATGTGAGACCTTTGATACTCGGCTGGAGATCTCAGGTCAAACAAGGTTACTTGTCCTGGAATTGACATTCCAAGGAGATCGCTGAGGTCTGCCGGCAAGATCATTTGCGCTCCTGCTCGGGTTTCATGCGTCACATCCTTGAGCTTCATTGCAGCGAGCCTGTGGGAAACCATGTCCCGCTCTCGGCGATGATGGAACCATACTTCGAGATGCCATGGCTCGATGCCTAGGTTGGACGCGAGGAAGGCGCTCTGTCCGTCGCTTGGCAGCGGTTCTCTATGGTAGTATTCCTCGAGACGTCGTTCGACATGCGGGGAAAACCGCTTCGGTTCAGGTACATCGGCGCCGAAAGTTGTTCGCCTCATGGACTGTTGCTGATTGAGAATCATTTGCCTGCTAATTGTAGGAGTCGGACCGAAAACCATGGGCGCTGCCGGACCATGAAGTGCGTTGAGAGAGGTAGAGGAAGCTACTGGTCTGACTTGCCGAGATGGACCACTCCTTGGGGAATATGATTGAGGCGAATGTGGTTGCCCAGGGGTTGGTGGTTGGCTACGGGATATGGATCCGGACATGGTATTCATAGGAGTTGCAAACGATCTGTGTGCAGAAGTTGCCGAGAACGGGTTTCGAGTAGAAGCCGCCTCCGTAGCCGCGAAAGTGGTCCCAGATACACCGGAGAATATTGATGCATCGTCAGCGCCGACATGCTCTCGTCGTGGCTGCGCTATTCTCGTCTCAACCGATACCGGAGGTGGCTCTGTCTTCCGTATCGCGAGGTTCTTGGAGCGAATAAAAGCAACGAATGAGACCGCGTTGTCTTCTGGAAGTAGATCCCACACCATGACTGGCATGGAGACAAGGAGAAGTGTAGAGTGACTCTTGAAAACACCTTGGACCTTGACAAACTTGGCAAGAGCTGGAAAGGCATTGAGCCATTGCTCCCAAGCGTTGATGTCAAGCCTTTGGTCGTCTTCAAGAGCCAGCGAGATCATGACGTGAGGAGTATCCTCGTTTGGCTCTGAAGTTGCGAGTCCGGATGACATCGGGTCTGGTTCTTCGGGGGCACGACCCGTGATGGGCAGGACGAGGTGGTTTTGTGGCAGCGGAGCAGGCACCTTTTCAGCTGGGCGGAGCCTACATAATTCGATGCTCGGGGCCTTGTGGTTGGCCGTCATCATGAAGTGAACGGGCGTCGAGCGAGCTTCGAAGTGCTTCCCGTTGATTTGTATAGGCCGCGGGTGCTTCAGGCGAGCTAAAACCTCGGCGTGCAGCATGGCTGCTGAAAAGGCTCTTAAGCGCCATTCTTGCAACACCTCGATGAGTGCATTTGTGAACGAGTAGCGTCCGGGGTCGGGTGCAATAGCATCCCAGCTGGATGCTGATATCGTTTCCGTGATGCTGTTGCCATTCGGGAAGGTGGCGCTGGCTGCGCCGGCGCAGCAATCCAGCAGGATAAGGACATCTGACTTGGACCGCTCAAGCAGCGTTTGAATCGCGGACCATCTGACAGAGTAAGTCACTATCTGGACATAGTTAGGCAAGGTAAGTAACTCACTGTAGCCAAGGCGAGTCTGCATCGCGAGTGCTGCTTCATGTCAGAAGGTTGAAGGCTGAGGTAGAGGGCTTGGTTCAACTCACGCGCACCACGTGCTCTGCCTCGAGTCGTCGATTCGCGCATGGCCACCGTAGTAAATAATGAACAGCGTGTCCTGAGATTCGTGTTCCTTGATCAACTGGCCAAGTCGCATCATGAGCTCCAAATGAGAGTTCTCGGATGGGATGGCAAAGATGTCAGTGCCAAAGGCGAACTCGTCGCGGAGGCATTTCTCCAAGTCCTCTAGCTCGGGCAAGACAAATAGGTCGTCGGAGCCCCAGTGCAACAGCAGGGCTTGCACCTTGCTATAACGCTGAGATGTGCGCCCGCGATTCGGAAAGGCTCGCGTGGCAGACTAGATGGGGTGTTGGCAGGCTTCCCGGTGCGGGAGGGGATATCGGGTAAGCTTGACGTACGTCTTCCAGGCGCTTTGCGAACTGGCTGATGTGCTTCACATGGAAGCTCGTACGGCTGATATCGTGTGTCGCTGATCTGGCATGCGTTTCCGTCGAGCCCGCGGCGGCCTAGTGGCGGTTGTCAGTGACACTTGTCAACGAGGCAGTGACGGGCATCTGTCCAGCGGCTCGGAGACGGGTACAGGCCTGGGTCACGTACCGCAGAATCGCCATCAATGTTGCCGTTCGTGTCGGCCGGTCGGCGCGACCGAATGGTGACGTATGGTTGCTGCGCACTCATCTTTAATGGCCGGCAGGACGCATGCTCGGTCGATGAGAGTTCGGGCAATGGGGTAGGGTATGAGGTCGGAAGCTCGGGTGAGCCCAGAGCTATAATATTCGTCGCGCTGCTCACGAAGTATTTGGGGCTGAGACTGGCCGAGGCGCCGGGCAGCGACGTACGCTCATTGCTGGGAAGTCTTCTCTCTGCAAGATGTGAAAGATGATCGAAGACGGGCAGTATGCATCACGACGCTGGCAAGGTCAGTGAGCGGAGGACTGAGGTGATGGCTATTTGTCGTCGAACGCAGCTGCCTCACTCACGCTGGCCTCGGTCCCCAAAGCGGTTAGTGGGGTGGCACTGTCCCGGTCGCCCAAAGTGGTGGCAGTGAGAAGCTGGGTATTTTATACGTGGAATTTTGCTGCAACCTCGCCAGGTGTTTCCGTCCTGAATACTTGCGGGTACGTTCCCTGGACAAGCCGCGTTACGGCAGCTGTAAGACCCCCGTTGGAGGTCCACGACCTGTCCCGTGGTCAGCCTCAGGGCAGCCGGGTGTCTTGCAGCCGCTGGGGTTTGGAGGCTCACCCGCTGTGATGAGGCGCTGGCCCCCGCGATTAAAACGCACGATGGACCCGTGGACGCGACGTGCACGCAGGGTGGCCCCCACCACAGCGCTTCCACAGCGTGTGAACCTGGGGCTGCCAGGGCAGCGCCTTGGCCCCAGGACACGCACCTAATTCAACGTGATCCCCCTTCCCGACAGCGGGCTGCATCTGGGCGGGTCTTGGCCGAGCTGCCCACCACCCCCTGGTCAGCAAGGCAACCAACCACTTTCAACACCGAGCTGCTGGAGCTCAACCGTTCCATCTCAGCACTCAAAAGCGATACCGAAGCACGAGACTGCCATACGCGACGCCTCGGTCAGCTACAGCCTCCCATCCGCTGTGGTCCTTAGGGTACTAGCCCCAGTACTCGTACTTTTGTTCGGGCCTTCTCCCTAGCCGACCAGACGGCATCTCTTCGCTCCCGTCGGCCAGGCTAGACACGTGTCGGCAACAATGCGGCAACGAGTCACCTTTCTCCAGGGGCCCAGCGCGGACATCGATCCTGCGACGCTGCAGATCGAAGAAGCCGGCCTTTTGGTCCCGTCCGCAGAATCAATTCGCCAGGACCGATTGTCCCTCTCCCTGGATGAACTGCCGCCGGACTTCGCGACCCTACTGACGGCCTTCGATGAGCTGCATCTGAAATGGGCCAGTCCCGTCGCATATGATACTCTCGACCCATTTGGCTCAAGGATATCGCCGGGCCTTCATGTCACATACGTCGCGGATAAACAAGATGGGGATAAAGCGTAAATGCGGCCTGCTTTCGCCTGCTACACTCATGTGCTGACAAAATCTAGGACGAAGCTGTGCTTTGCTCTACAAGCATTCGGGCCGTTGGACTGCACGAAGCCAGAGGTATGGATAACACACCTGAAAGGGGTCTGAGCAGCCTGCTGACTACTAAAGTAGGCCTTCGTCGTCGCGGCAAGTGAATCTGGGACGAAAAAGAATGCCTTTTATTTTTACCAGGAGCTGAACGATCTATCTGCCTTCGTTGGGTCCAGCATTGGGACAATATGCCCATCGTCAGACGCCATGTGCGAGTCTCGGCTTCGCAACTTGCGCACGGCTGCGAGTCTCGACATGTCGTATGACTCTGGCTCGCAGACGTTCATAGCGACGCCATTCTGGCCCCTCAGACAGCGTGCGATTGCAGTGCCGAGCTCATCGGGGAGAACAGAAGTAGGAATCTTCGCCCAGGACACTCCAGTCAAGGCCGAGCTGCACGAACTTGGAGTAGCAGGCCTGCTCAGCGTTCTGGGCGAGAAAAAGGAGCCGTCGCCTACCGTCTTCTCGTTTCCCTCCCGCCACAGAACAAGTGACTCTCATTTCAGCTGCGAGTTTCTGAAACCCGCAGGTCTGCATCCGACATTGCAGCTCAAGCTCAGCTCCGCCAAGCCACCCCTTGACGATGCAGGTTGTGCTCCTCACGCTTTCGTCACCCTACCCAAGACCATCTTCGCCGATCGGTATCAGTACGAAGATAGCCTCTTTCTAGCCTCGAAGAACCTGACGGCCTCTCGCTACACGAGCTTGCCCGTGGATCTGGAGGCGCCCGCGTATACCACGACGACCTGGGGCTCCAGATTCCTCCTCGAGTTGGCGCCACCTGCCTCGGGTCAGGCTGAGGAGTGGACGGTCGAGGTCCCGCTCCACCTTCGCTACCTCAAGCCCTCTGCGAGCGGGAGCGTCCCGATCGAAGTTCCATACCCGGCTGTGTTCTGGGCATGTGACACCGCGGGTGAAGTGGACTTTTCGACCAACCCCTTTGACCGCCGTCAACTAGGATACGATGGGTTGTTCGATTCTCAGACAAGCTTTTGGCACGTCGCGCCGAAGCCCGTCATTGGCAATCGCATTACGAGCGCCATATTTGTCCCCGTGCTCAAGGACGAGGGTGCGGCGTGGATTCGGCTGGGGACAACAGTTGCCGTCGGCCTTGGGTTTGCGTGGGTGCTCTGGAAGTTGCTTGGTGTTTACAGGGTCTCAGGCTACGGCAACCCGGATGAAACGGCGCGCAAGGACAAGAAGACCAGGTGAGCGAGGGACGGGATGCGGGCCGTGCCTTGGCACTTGAAGCATGCAGGCTGAATCCGAGGCGCGCTCCACAACAGCGGCAGGATCCCTAACTTGTAAGTAGAACGAATGTAGCTGGGCTGCGTCAAAGGACCGCGTCAGTGGCGCCCCCGATTCCGGTCCGTGTTCAGAGGGACCCAGACCGGCTCCGGACGGGCCACGTGACACGGGCCAAATCCCGCGGGATTAGCGGCGTTTAAGCAGCGCCCGCTCCCAAGCTTAGGCTGTTGATGGAGTCACCACCTACACTCAACTTCCCCTTCACCTGCGCGAGGACCCAGAAAAAAAGTAGGCAGCCGACTGAGGGCCGTCGAGCCAGTGCGCCGAGACGCATAACCCAACTCAAACAGCACCCGCGAGAACGAGAAGCAACCCTCGATTGGCCGCGGCGGGTGACATGACATGAGACAGGATGGCACCGACGCCACCATCGGCGGACGGTGCAGGTGCCGGAGCAGCGACACCAGCGGCGGGCTCAACGCCTGGCAACAGTGATGACCGGACGAGGCGCAACGTCGCGTGCGTCAACTGTCGCAACTCCAAGGTTCGTTGCTCTCATGCCTCGTCAACGATGGCTCTATGTCGTCCTGATGTGGCATGAGAAACACCAGCGAGAGCTCACACTCACTCATATACACAGGTCCGCTGTAGGACGAGCACAGTCCCCGGCCAGCCGTGTCAGCGGTGCGCCAAGCTGGGCATCTCATGCGTCGTCGACAAATCTCACAAACGAGTCACGAAGCGAAGGTACTTTCCTCAAGCGAAGCTCGTTTGTCCCTTCACTCACGCGTCGACGTCGTAGCAAGCTTGAGCAGCTTGAGCAGGAGCTGCGCAGCATCAAGCAGGTCGTCAACCCCGCTGCCGGCGGCCAGACGACATGGACGCCGCCCAGTCCCCGAGCGACGTACTCAGCGCTCCCTGAGCAGACGCCCGCGGCCGGCGCAGCAGCAACGGCAACTTCATTGTCTGCTGGCGCATCGAACGGCGTTGCCCCCGGGCTGAGACCACAGCCTCAAGTCCCGACGCCGCACTCGGAGCCGCCAGCTACGGCAAGCAGCCTTGGCCCCTCGCAGCACGGCTCCGAGAGACGGGCCAAGACGGGACCGACCGAATCGCGCATGCTCGGCAGCCTTGTTATCTCGGGCGACGATGTTGACTGGTACTTTTCAAAGTGCGCCTACCTCTGCCCCTATACGACTCACCTCATCGAGAGGGAATCTAACGTATATGTATGCGTGTGACTGACGCTGCCGTCCACAGATTTCTCCAGTGCTACCACCCTTTCGTCCCCATTCTTCGGAAAAAAGACCCCGATGAGTGCTTCGAGGCCAGCCCGACCCTGTTCTGGGTCATCCTGTACGTCGCCTGCCGCCGCTACCCACGCGATCGCGCCATCTTCTCGGCCCTCATCGACCATGTCAGCCGAGACATTTGGCAGATGATATCCGTTCCCGCCATGAACCTCGAATCCATCCACGCCCTCCTCTTCCTCTGCACCTGGCCCCTGCCCAACATCCGCTTCGTCACCGACCCCTCGTCAATGTTTGCCGGCATCGCCACCACCTCAGCAAAGCTGCTCGGCTGTCACACCGGGCGCGGCTCGCATCCGCATTTCTCCGTCGGCATGAGGCAGCACTTTCAGTCAAACGATGAAGAGGCCGCGTCGACGTGGCTCGCGTGCTGTCTGCTTTCTCAGAGGTAAGGTTCCTGAATGCTTAGTGAAACCGCGAAAGACAATGAGACGACTCACACCGCGACAGGACAACGTCAAGCATTGGCATCTTCCCCCCTGCCATACAAAACAACGACACGCAATGCAGACGAGTGCTCGAATCTCACATATGGACAGACTTGCTCGCCATGTACGAGACGCAGCTCTTCCTCAACCGCTTCCACTCTGCAATGGCCGCTCAGATCAGCGCCAACGGGGGCGTCCCAAACACTATGGTGGCCATGTGGGAGACCGAGTTTGAGTCTCTCAAGCCGCTGCTCGTTCGCTACGACACTGGTCCGTGGCCCACCTGCTCCTCAGCCCTTTGTCGCAGTATATCTTGCTAACATGGCCGCGCAGATATTTCACGCTTCTGCCTCCTCGCAGCTCAGCTCGAGATCCAGAGCCACTATTTCATTCCGCTGCCGTCACAGCAGCAGCATAATACCGCCGCCGGCGCCACATCCCCTCCCCCTCCGTCTCTCAAGGCCAACACCGTCCGGGTCTTCAACACGTCGCGCGCCCTCATCGCCCTGTCCCTCGACCTCGAATCCCGCACGCACTTCCTCACGCACGCGCCGCAGTGGGCTCTCCGCAGCAACGTCGACGCCGCCGCCATCATCGTCGCCACGCTCGCCTCGGCCGCCGCGCCGCAGATGGACCCGACAGAGGCCGACGCCCTCGCCCAGCGCGCGTGCGGCGCCCTCCTCCGCTGCTCGGTCCGCGACACGGACCTCCCTCATCGCGCGTGCATCATCATGGAGACGTTCTGGTCTGTCAGGGACCTCGTCCCCCAGATCGGCCCGGCGCCCGGCGCGTGGCCCGAACGCCTCGGCGCCGGTGTCACGTACTGGTGCCTCGAGCGCTTCAAGTTTGGCCTCCGCGCCGCCCAGAGCAGTACCGACAGGGTCAACAAGGCTCTTGACGTGATGCGCTGTCTCTTATACACATCTAGATGTGTATAAGACCTCCACCTTCATCCACCCCCACCATCCCCTTTTCTCTCCGGCGAGTCGAGTCACGGGCAAGAGGAACTTTGAAACTGACTTTGATGGACATGCAGAACCTCGTTTCAGTAGCAACACAGCTGCCGCCGGGCCATCGACTGCGCCCCACGCAAACGCCGTCGCGACGTCGGGCGCCGCAAACGGCCCCGTCCAGGCGCCTAATCAGGGCTCCACGGATCCCTTCCAGGAGGTCGACTGGTCCATGTTCATGGACGACTTTGGGTGGGTGGGTGATGACGGCGTACTGCTAGGTTTGCCCTAATGGTGAGTGAGATATGGCCCATGAGTTTTTGCTGTACATATGCCTGGGACGGCATTGGATGCTACGACCAAAAGAGGAGACGAGTCACGATGTTCGTTTTCACGTGTTCAAGTATACGGAGTAAGTAGACTCTTAATCGATGTCTAATTAGTTGATTTGCCTTATCTACCAGAGACGCCGTGTGCTCCGTGTGCTGGATCATCAAACACGATCCAAATCCTTCGAATGCCTGCCGTAACTCATAACATAGTCAACATAATACAAAGTCCCCTTAATCATAAATATCCTCATCCATGGTGTCCGCCACCAGCTCGTCGACCGCGTCCTCGTCCTCGTCGTCCAGCATCTCATCATCACCCTCGCTGTCGGGATGGTTAGCGAGGACCGCAATCTTGCCGTCGATGAGCTCAACCCGTGCAATCTCGCCGTCGCGGATGCTGTTCCGAAGGATGAGGATGGCGAGCCTATTGAGCACCTCCTTTTCGATCAGGCGGGACAGAGGACGAGCGCCGTACGCGGGTGAGTATCCGGAATTGCCCAGATAGTCTTTGGCTTCGTCGGAAACGTCGATCTTGACCTTTCTGCCATTATCTTCGAGTCGCTTCTGGATTTCGTGTATCCGAATGTCGACAATCTTGCGAATCTCCTTGCGCGTCAAGCGGTTGAAGATAACAACAGAGTTGATTCTGTTGAGGAACTCGGGGAGGAAGTAGTTGCGGAGAGCCCCCATGACGAGCTCCTTGGTAGACGGATCGACGCGGCCCTCCTTGGCTCCGGGTCGGGTGAGATACTCGGCGCCCAGGTTCGATGTCATGACGACAATGCAGTTCTTTGCGTCGACAACTCTGCCTTGGCCATCGGTGATTCTGCCGTCGTCCATGAGCTGCAGGAGCACGGTCAGGACTTCCTTGGCGGCCTTCTCAACTTCGTCGAACAGGAGAATGGAGAAGGGCTTGCGCCTCAGAGCTTCCGTGAGCTGGCCGCCTGCATCGTGTCCGACGTAGCCTGGCGGAGCACCAATCATGCGGCTAAGGGCGTGTCGCTCCTGGTACTCGGACATGTCGAATCGAATCATGGCCTTGGCATCATCGAAGAGAAATTCCGCCAAGGCCTTGGTGAGAAGCGTCTTACCCGTACCAGACGGGCCGCAGAAGAGGAAGCTCGGAGGCTGGTTGGGGTTGCTCAAGCCGGAGCGCTGCAGCCGGATGGCGTTGGCCACGGATTGGACCGCCTCCTTCTGGCCGACAACGACTCTTCCGAGAACCTTTTCCATGTTGATCAGCTTCTCCTTCTCCGAAGTGCGAAGCCGGGTGACGGGAATTCCGGTCCAGCGAGCCACAATCTCGTTGATATGATCGGCGGTGACAATATCCGTGACCATGGATCCGTCATTATCCGCACCACTGGCGTTGAGAGCAGCGTCGGCAGCGGCCTTGCGGGCCTCGAGATCCTTAATCACGGCCTTTTGCTCTGGGATAGCGCCGTACTGGAGATCGGCAGCCTTTGCGTGCTGGCCCATGTTGCTTGCATCCTCCAGTCGCTTCTCGAGGTCGTCGAGCTTGATCTTGGCCTGGTGGATCTCCTCGCTTCGCTTGATCTCGTTTTGGTATTTCTCGCGAAGTGGCTGAAGCTCTTCTTCGACGTTCTTGGCATCCTTTCTGGCCTGCTGCAGTCGAGTCTTGGACGCCTCATCGTGTTCCTTCTCCAAGGCGGCGATCTCAATCATCAGCTGCCTGTGCTTGCGATCGAGAGAATCAATGATTTCGGGTTGAGACTCCCGCGCGACGCGCACAGCGGCGGCGGCTTCGTCGACCAAGTCAATAGCAGAGTCGGGCATCCGCCTGGATGTGAGATAGCGAGCAGCCAGGTTGGCGGCCGCCACAAGCGCACTGTCGAGGATGGTGACGCGGTGGTGTCGATCATACCGCTCTTTCAGGCCACGAAGGATGGAGATGGTTTCGGGAATTGTTGGCTCCTTAACGAGAACCTGCTGGAAGCGACGCTCAAAGGCGGCATCCTTCTCGACGTACTTGCGGTACTCGGCGAGCGTGGTCGCGCCAATGCAGTGCAGCTGGCCGCGAGCAAGCATCGGCTTGAGCAAGTTGGCGGCATCCATACCGCCCTCACCAGACGAACCAGCGCCCATGAGGAGATGAATTTCGTCGACGAAGAGGACAATCATTTCCTTGGAGTCTTCAATCTCTTTCAAGACTCCCTTCATGCGCTCTTCGAACTCTCCGCGATACTTGCTGCCGGCAACAAGTGCGCCGACATCAAGCGAGAGCAGCTTGCAGTGCTTCAGGTTGTCGGGGACGTCGCGGTTGACTATGCGTTGAGCGAGACCTTCGACGACGGTGGTCTTGCCGACACCTGGTTCACCAATGAGGACGGGGTTGTTCTTGGTTCGCCGAGACAGAATCCGCACAACTCGGCGGATCTCTTCCTCTCGGCCAATGACCGGGTCGATCTTCTTGTCCCTGGCCATGGCGGTCATGTCGATTGTGAACTTGGCCAGGTTCTCGTTTTCCTGCTCGGTGTCGGCAGTCTTGCTATCGACGCGCTTGGTTCCTCGGATGGCCGTGACGGCATCCTGGACGAGCTTGGCCTTGGGGATGTTGGCTTCCCTCAGAGCCGTCTGAATGTTGCCGTCCTCGGACAGCGCGGTGATGAGGTGGTCGACACCTATGTAAGTGTCCTTCTGGACCTTTTGCAGCTCCATCGCCTTTCGCAGGACGCTGTGGAAGGATGGTGAAAGCGAGACCTGCTCGGGCGGGGGGTCTTGACTGGGAAGGCGGACCAGCGACTTCTTGAGGGCTCTGTCAAAGAGCTGGGGGTCACCGTGGGCGCGCTCGATGACTTGCCGGAAAAGAGTGACGTTGGACTGGGGCGGGCCGTTCTGCTGGTCCTTGGACTGGTCGACCGGGGGGTCAAGCAGCGACACGGCCAGATGGACGGGGAGGAGCTGGGAGTGACCGTACTGCTCGGCCAGCGTCATGGCATCCTCCACGGCCTTCTGGGCCCGGTCGGTGAAATCCATTCGTGCGGTCATGATGGATCGTTTGTGGTGCCTCGTGGGCAGCTCGTGTGAAACAGCGTACTTGCTGTTGTGTCGTGTAGCGCTGGAAGCTCTTCGAGAATATTAGGTAGGTAGGGTAGAAGAGGGGTTCAGGTAGGCAGCTTCAGCTGGTGGTGTCGCGATGCATGTGTTTGCTGCAGTCGGGACTTGGGAGCGTGCTCGTGGGCAGCGTCCGGTCGGTTCTTCAAGTATGTGAGCAGTAAGTCGAGGAAGAAATTGAGTTTGGATCCGTCCGTTGTGGGAGGAATTTATCCTGCTCGGCAAGTGGAGGCGGTGGGAGGAAATGGAGTGATGTCCTGATTATCTTGGAAAGATCCGGCCTTGGCCAGCGATGCCCAGTAGCTGCCCGGAAGTGCTGGAAAGCTTGCCCAGAACCCACCAGAAGCTTCGTGATGTCACTGGAAAGTCAACGGCTGCGAGGTGGGGAGGCGGCCCGCTGATTGGGCGCGCGCCATCTCATCGCGCTAGGCCCCAGCGCTGGCCCCTGCCGCAAGTGCAACTGCCTACAGGCGGCCGCTGTCACTAAATTCGACAGCGGGTTCCCAACGTGCACTGCGTATTCCACCCGCCAGGTCACATGACTGCGCGCGCCAGGCCAGACCAACTGCGACGCCGGCCAATGGCCAATGCGATACTGGGCCGCATGGATTTTCGTGCCTCGTCGCATCGCACCCCAGCCTTCAACACCGCCAGCAGCCGACGACCATGAATGCGCCGCCGAGGACACGGCTTGACCGATTGCCGGGCTTCCTGAGGGCATGCGTCCGGCAAGTCCATTCCAGCCAACGGCAACGGCCGGCCAAGGGGTTCGAGGCCCCCGAAGGCCACGGCGAGAAGATTTGGGTGTTTAGCCACCGCCGGTCAGACCAAATCATCTACAGCTTCAAGGAGAGATTGGATGTGAGCGCTCGACGGCCCAGACAGTGCGTCTGAGGCGATTCGCTGACGTCTAGGTGCAGGGATTCCACGACCTCAAGCAACTACCCTTCAATGGCAAGAAGACGAAGCCCGCCAAGCTTCGCAAGGACTACTGGTCGCCGCTTGCCATGATCCGGTTCCCGGCCGGCCAGGGCGCCGTCGGCCGATCCGTCTTCCAGAAGCTGCGCGAGCTCAAGCACCTGCACGAGGTGGCGTGGACCGACGAGTTCCGATACAAGCGACCCGACGAATACACGTCCGCCGACAAGAAGAAGATTGCGCAGGAAAAGGAGAAGGGCATCAACTACCGGCCCGTGCGCAGCAAAGAGGAGCGCGCCATTGCGCTCAACGAGCAAAAGGCGAACGCCATTGCCGATATGGCTGTCGTCTTGGCGGGCCAGGGCGCTGGCAACAAGGTCGTTGCGGGCGAGGCCGAGGATGGCGGCAGGCAGCTGGTTGAGGTGTCAGTGAGCTGGGCCAACGACCAGGACAAGGGATTTGCGGAGTCGTGGTCGGCGAACGTCACGCACGACCTGTTTGAGGAGCCGTCATACTCATCGGGCGTTGAGTCGACACCTGCGACGGAGGCGAAGGCGGCGTAGGCTGGAGCCTAAGCGCGCACCGGCTGTCAACCTACGAGAGTTGGAGTGGGAAACACCATGGTGGGCGATTACTTCTACGGAGGTTTTCCTTACGGGGGGCTGGCAACGGCGGCCAGGAGAAGTCACTTGTACCACATATATACGGGCTGTCCGCTCGCCCGTTGTTGTATCATAAAGGCAATTATCTAAAGCAAAAGGAGCAAAAGCAAGCCTCCATGGGCAGGTCATCATGCCCTAATATCCAAGATTTCCCTTGTCATGCCGTGAGTTGCGCCGTTTCTGTCGTTTCCATTCATGGTCTCAAATCAAACTTTCAGGCAAAATTGCTTCAGGTAATCATAATGCGGGATGTTGGCGTCGACAAGCTCTCGGATGAGCTTCTGCGCCTCGGGACCGTACTTGTCGGTCCACTCCTTGTTCTCAGACTCAACAGTAGACGTCTTCTGCGCACTGGGGTTAGGCACAGGCAGTTCAGGGGTGGTCGCCGCGCGGGCGATGGTACGAACCTGGGCGTGCGTCCTGGCCATGAGCCGGTCGGTGCCGAGGACGTCGTCGTGGAAGCCGTTCCACTTGGCAAACAGCTTGGCGGCATGCTCCTTGTCCTCCTGGTCCCAGACAAGCATCTTGGGGTCGAACTCGATGCCTGTGCGCTCGCAGTAGAGCTTGATCATGGCCTCGGGCTTGTCGAGCAGATCATCGGCATCGAGAACTGTAAGGTGGTCCTTGTCGACAATGCCCTGCTCGATGAGGTAGTCGAAGAGGCGGACGAGCTCCTCGTAGCCAGTCTCGCTCGGCATAAAGTCGTTCCAGCCGGTGATCTCGTTGAGGGGCGGGATCACGCAGCGGTAGTATGAGGGGATGGAGCGGCGAGGGTGGCGGATGAGGAAGGTGAAGTGGAATTTCCTCAGGATGTCAAGAGGAATGACAGTCGGGTTGCCGGGCTCTTCACCGCCGCCGAGGGACTCGGCAATCTTTGTGGGCTGGCCCTCAGGCGGGAAGAGGTAGTATGCCATGTCCTTGATGAAGACGCGCTTGCCCTGGGGAGAGTAAGCATCTATCCCCGACAGCAAAAGGCCGCCTCGGGGAGGTGTATTTGGGGGGAGGGTGAAAAGTCCCAATCCCAAAATCGGTTCCGATTGCGCAACGGCGCTCGATGCGGGAGATGCTCGAATTCTCAATGCCCAGGGATCGGGGGGTCAGAGGGTGAAGATGCAAGCAGGCGCGCATCTCGTGAGGGTATCGCCAAGCTCCCCACTTGAGGAGCTCCGCGTAACAATGGCAGGGAGCAAAAGTACAGACACAAAATCAATACATGTCCAAGAGGTGGCGAACCTGTTTTTCAACCTCCGCAAAATGATCCAAGATGGACTTGTATGTCTGGTCTGACTGGGGGTGGGCAGCACGGGTGGCCGGGTCGTCCCTGTAGCGGTCGCTCAGGAACTCGGGGCCGTAGTAGAAGGCGTCGCCAAAGGGCTCGTGCTGGCTGTCGAGCACATCACGGCGCGTCATGAAGACCTGTTTGTTGGGCGCACACGCATCACATGTCAGTTGGAGATCATGCTTTTGGCGAGGCTCCCGCGGGATGCGGGCCTGCACAAAGCGAAGGGGGCGAAGAAGGGCAATGGCGGCCGTACCCGTTCAAAGGCCGTGGAGCAGGCCCGTGGGTGGGTGGCGGCGAAGACTGGTCTGGGACCCATGATGACGGGGTCTAAAGATTTCAATGACTGGCTGTGTATGAGTGGTGATGGCAGCAGCAGTAGGCGACGAAAGAATGCGCCTCAGAGTATACTGGTCGGGCAGGGGAGGAGACAATGGGAGGAGGGAGGAGACGGCGTCACGAGAAAAGCTTGGGAAACGGCCAGTTTTTAAATGCCATCGCCAGCAGCATCATCGGCGTGCCCTGATACCGGGTCGTCGCATCCCCCTCCGAGGCAAAAGCTTGACGATTATAATTGGAGCCTCGCCCGCAAAACGAACGAGGCAGTGTGGCCGCGTGCCGCGCTCAATGGCTGAGATCGGGCGGCGAGCCATTTTTCCAGGAGCGCGGCGGGTGGCCACTCGTCGCGTCCTGGCGACGGGCCTCCACGGGGACACCCTCTCAGGATGCGAGGCTGGACGAAGCTGGGTTGGGCGGTCCACTATCGATGCGCCAATGTGTCCGTGGTTGGCCGTGCCGCCGTGGGATGGCGCCGCCGATGGGCCGTAGGCTTGCGACGAGCCGTCCGGGCGTACCTTTTTAGAGTCGACAGATCCATCCATCTGCCGCGGGGCGGGGTGTTGGTGGTGGAGTGGAGTGGAGGATGGAGGGATGGAACAAAGGAAGCGGCGAGTTTTGCTGCGGCGGCGGCGAAGAATGGCATGGCAGGCAAGACAGGGCAGCGTGGCATCCGTGGCAGGTGGCAGCCTCCACTGCCCAGGCTTGCCCAGGTGAACTGGAGGAATATTCAGCAGGGATGGTACCTGCCTAGCAGCCCGCCAGGGCGGGTCCCACCGGAGTTTTTGCCCCCCATTGCCCCCCTCAAGCCCCTCCAAGAGCCCCAAAACTCAATCGACGTCATCGCTGGCAGGGCATCGCAGCAGCCAAGGTTCGTTCTTCCTGTTCTTTCTTCCGCCTGGCCGAGGCTTCTTGCAGAACACCTGGGGTTTGAGTTCCAAATATTCCCGACGGCCAAAACAGCCCTCACGCCTACATGTCTACCTAACCTTGCGTCAAGCCACTAAAATAGAACCTGCATGTCCTTTGTCGCACTCCTTGTGGACCCGTGATGCCCACATGCGACACACCCAGCGCGCCCGCTGCCAACGTGGCGATGCCTCGCCGACCAAGACGCCATTCGCGGGCCGTCGCCCCCCTCCCTCCCTTTCTCCGCAGTCTGCAGGACGGAGGCACGCCATATCTTCAGTATCTACTGTCTGCAGCTTGCTACCCCCGACCGTTGCATGCACCCGGCTCAACGGCACTCAGCTATCCACCCACCGTCATGCCGTGTGACGCGCATCCACCTGCCCGTTCGCTCGTCGTCGGGGCGCCTTGTCTCATCACCTCCACCCCGGCGGGCGGGATGAGACCGATGGGCAGCTCCACATGTTCGGCATTTGCTACGCCGCTGATGCCGATATCATGAAGGATAGTGCTATTTGTAGAGCCAACCTTTGCTAGTTGTAGAGCCCATATGAGCAATAGCAGCGACAGCAACCAGACGACAGCAACGACAGCAACGAAAGCAACGGGGGGGGATAGTAGCAAACTACTAGCAATAGGTAGAGCGCCCTGTCGTCCTATGCTTGCGCAACAAAAATGGCTATCGCAGCATGGGGTAAGGGCGCGGCCGAGATAATGTGTCGGACGGCTCTGCAACTAGCAAAAGTTGGCTCTACGAATAGCGCTACTCTTATTCTCACTGCCAACTAGAAAATTCTGATTGAACCTTCATCCCCTTCTTCTTCTTCTTTTTGCTCGATGAGAGACCGGAGAAAAAATCGTCTGGCTCTCTCGCCGGATACTCAACCGGCACCTCGTCCTCATATGTCTCAACTGGAGGCTCGGGCTCGGGCGCGTACGCGGGTGCGATTTCGACCAGATACTCCTCCGCGACAGGCGATTGCAACGATTGACTCTCCGCCTCTTCTTCTCGAACACTACGCAAACTTTCGCTTCTCGGCGGCACTGCCGAGCTCCTCGTGGCCTCTCCATTAACCTTGCTCGGTATCTGCGCCTCTGCGACGATGGAGCGGAACCCATCGAGCTGCTTAAGCTCCGACAGTGCCTTCTCGAGCACAGAAAGCTTCTCGTTGGTGCGGCTTCGCTCGTGGACGCTGGCCTCGTTGTCTGCCGCCAGCTGCGTCACCTCTAAATCGCCCATGTCGTGTATCTTTTCTGTGTCGAGGATAGATGGCAGCTTCTGGATGAGACGGCACTCAACGGCGTGCGTGCTGACATTGTCTACCACTGTCTTGAGCGCAACCTGCGAGTCATCCAGGCCATCAGCATCGGTGGACAATTACTTTCGAAACGAGCAGGTCGTAAGCGTGCTCACCTTGTAATACGCCTCCATGTAGTCCACGGCGGTGGTGCTGCCCACAAGCTCCGAGTCCATCTCATCCTTGTCTTCCAACGCCAGCAACTCGAGCAGCTTGTCGCTGTCCAGCCCCAGCCTGCAGCTGCCCTGGAGTTCGACCCTGTAGATGGCCCTAACATGTGCTCGTATACGCTGCTCGCGTCGTTCGCGCTGGATCTTCTTGACGGTCTCTGTGAGATAGTGGTTGTATGTGATGGGGTGCAGTGCCTGGTAAGGGTGCAGGACCTGCTCGAACGCTGCTTCGAGATCCTGCTTCAGTTCCTCAATGCCAGAGTTGACAACGCGCAAGATGTTCTGCGCCGTTTCTTCCACGGCGACATGTTGGAGAATCTCCGTGCTCGTCCGGTAGACCGCGTTCAGTGTCTCATCCTTCAACTCCAGAAGGATTCCGCGCCACGGCTGAGACTGCTCGGCGAACAATTCTCCGATGACCATGGGATCGAATGTTCCAGGAAGCTCACGTCCTCGGCTTCGTCTGATGAGGTCCCGCACCTCCTTCACGTAATCGGACCGCAGTACTTCCGGGGGGTTGTCAGAATCGCGGCCTTCGTTCTCAAAGTCCACGATGCGGCGCCTGTGTCCTTCCTTGTTCATGCGATCCCTAAATGCAATGAGTGTGTTCTGCACGACGGCGCGCAGTCGCCGCTGATATCCCTCCTCGGTCTTTGCGCTCCCGAAGAATGCATTACTGTAGATACCATCGACTGCTGCCTTCATGAGTCGAGAGTAAGACTGGCTCATCTGGAATAGGTATCGACGCTGTTCGTGGACCGTCCCCCTTGGAGCACCAAGTCTGTCCAGCTTTGCCTTGCAGTCTTTGATGCCCTCGGAGACGTCCATGAGCAGGCTGGGTAGCTGAGCGAGGATCTGGTCCTTGAGGACATTGCTGAGGCGCGGTCTCAGTGTTGCCACCCCCAGATGTAACGGGTCGATCACTGTCCATGGGCTTTGTGAGAAAAAGGCCTCCTCGGCGGCGTCCCTCTCCGTCGTCGTCGCCTCACGCGTGTTAAAGTCGCGATTCTTGAGCAAGTGCCACCCCAGTCGAAACTTGACATCCTTGTTCTGGGCAAGATGCACATAGGCAGCCTCGCTCTCAGAGCCTCGGTCTAGGGTGTCTGGCTTGGTGATGAGGCCGAGGGTGCGGGAGCCCGCAGGGTCCAGCTCTCGGGCGTGTCTGGTGACGGCTTGGAGCGCAAAGTCGCTCTTGGCCGACACAACAGCCAAGATGATGCTTCGGGGTCGCCTCATGTATCGAATCACCATGCGAGTGACGAGCTCCGCATCTTCGTCAGACTGCGTGCTGTTCCCGGCTTGGAATAACCCTGGGAGATCAACCATTGTGAGATGCGGCTGTTCTGGTCCGCTCAACTCGACTCGCAGGATGTCGTTGCTAAAACTCTTTTTGCCTCCGTTAAGACCCATGGCTTCCTTGGCTTCTTCAATCACGAAGCCAAGCCCCGATCCCGAGGTTTCTAGCGGCGGTTGGAACTTCTTGAGATCCTCCTTCTCGTGGTTTGGGCGATCCGAGTCGGGCGTGATGGACACCTTGACGTCGACATGGGGTGCCCGCCTCAGAATCAGCTCGGTTGCAAACCGCGTGCACAAGTTGTCCTTGGTGGGGAAGGTCATTCCGGAGATGGCCTCTAGAACCGAGCTTTTGCCCGCGGATTGGTCGCCGGTGACAATGATCTCTGGGAGGTCGACATAGCGGCTTATACCCTCGAGACGGAGCCTGTCGATGATGTCGAGGAGGTCACGATGGGCCTGCGATTGGAGGTTGACAGCAGCCATGATAGGGGTAAGTCGAGAGCGCTCAAGAGTATGTCACATAAGAGGCATGGCCAAGGAGGCAGGCGAGCAACTGTCGCTTAAATACCAAGGCCAAGGAAAGAATTACGCGCCGACTCACGGATTTGCATCCATAACTCTAGTGACGGGATGCAGCGGCTCGACGCGGATACCTGCCGACTTCTGCAGCGTGACAAGCGGCCCGGTCACAGCAATCGGGCGGATACCCAATGAGGCACTGTGAACTGGCAGGGCTGCTGCGTGTGATGGCGGCCGATGCGTTCGCTGAGTGGTGCTTACGGCAAGGCGAACTGCATCGATACCCAGCATGGAACCCTACTTACTCGCTACTGGCAATGCAAAGGGGTGGACCTTGCGCGCTGGTCGAGCAGGGCTGAATGTTCACTGTCTATAGACATGGAAGTGACTTGTGAATGAAGTACGGCAATTGAGTCTGCCCTTTCACATCAGTCGCTTTTCTCACGCTGGACATTGCGTCAAGTCACGAGTAGAACCCACGGTTCCTGACCGGCGACAAGAGATGCGGATTATGTATTGTTGATTTTCTTGGCTGTCAAGGGATTACCTGTATCTCTCCCAGCTTCCCAGCCACCGCCAGCTCTCTGCAACGCGACTTATCTTGTCCAACGCGCCAGAGACGCTGCCATCTGGGTCATGATATCTGTGGCCCTCAAACTCGACAAAGAACATGTACTGGAATGGCGCCTTGAGGCTAGGGCGGCTGTTGATGCTCGTCAGGTTGAGGTCAAACTCCTTGAAGCAACTCAGCACGTCTGCGAGCGCGCCGGGGGCTGTGTGCGGCACGGTGAAGGACACGAGTGACTTGCTGCCCGCCATGGAAGCGGGCTGCTTCTGAAGCCGCCAGTCCTCCGGGACCGACGGATTGGTGCCAATGATGAGGAAGCGCGTCGTGTTGTCCTCGCGGTCCTCTATCGACTTGCCGAGGTGGTCGAGCCCGTGAAGCGTAGCGGCAAGCTCGTTGGAGATGGCAGCCCAGGTGCCCGTCTCATCCTGGCTCACAATCTCGGCGGCCTTGCTCGTGGAGCTCACGTCGAATATCTCGACGCCCTTGAGATATGTCGAGATGAAGGCGTTGCACTGGCCAAACGCCTGCGGGTGTGAGTACAGACGCTTAATGTGCTTCAGACTGCACGTCGGCTTGGACTTGGGCTTGGACGGCGTCGGGTCCGTGGCGGTCGGGGTGCAGGTGCCGGAGCCGTCGGCATTGTCCTCGGCGAGGGGGTGCGGGTTCTTCCGGCCGACGAGGCAGTGGTGCACGTCGACGAAGATCTCGCCGTCGACGGTGATGTCCTTGTAGCGGCCGTCCCTATCGGCCAGGTTGTCTAGGGTGAAGACGACGGAGCCGTTGGTGGAGTTCTCAAACGGCACCACCCCTGCGAGGACCTGACGGTCCTGGACCTGGTCGAACACATCTGCAAGCTCTGGGTCAGAAACAATGAGATCTGCCGGGAGGCGGCATGGTGCACAAACCATCGATGGTGGCAACCGGTTTCAAGTCCCAGCGGTCTTCCGGGAAGACCTGGCGCACAGCCTGCAATGGTGTCAGTGTGATGGAGGGCGGCCGTGGTCAGAGGCTTCGGCACTCGTACCTGATGGGAGTAGGACGCCGCAGGCCCCAGGAAGCACACGGTCGGTTTGGACTCGGAGGCCATGATGCAGCTCTCTGTGCCGTAGGGGCTAGCAGATTGCCGATGCCGACGATGAGGATCCGACGGGGAGTCGATGCGGCGGCTCCGGTTTCGGCGGCCAAGGTCGGTCCGGTATCTGCGGAGAGCAAGGCGGCAGCAGCTAGCAAGGACAGGTAGGCTCGCGGCCGGTGAAGCGATATGGGATTGTCAAGGGTGCGGCGCGGCGTCACCGTTTCAAATGCGCAGGTGCGTGCGTGTCATTCGGCTGGATGAGCTGGATTTTTGGCATGTCGGAGGTTGGATGCCCAATGCGCGGGCTGCTGGTCGCTTACTAGCAGCGTCGCGTACGTGAGCGCGTGTGGGCTGTTAGCGGGGGACGACTGACAGCACGAGCCGGAGTGTGGGGATCGCGTTCGCCAGCAGCACCGCCAGAACGTAGAAGCTTTGAAGCTTTGACGCCTGCTCGGCAGCTGCCGTGAGCATCGGTCGTCTGTGCCCTTTTCCTCATCAATGCCTCCCTTTGCGATGAACCCGACGGCGCAAGTCCTGCGACACGGAAACAACCTTGTCCCAAGGCACGGGCCTTGAGCATTGTACCGTACTTAGCTAACGTAGCCTGCCAGTGTAGAGCTTCTGCCGTTCATGAGAAGGCAAGCCAGGCATTTTGGAGCAGTTGGTGTTTGGAGCGTTGGTTCCATCCGACGGTCCGAAACAGAATCCAGCTCATGTGGTCACACCTGTGCGATGCCATGTGCCCGCGAGACGCGTTTACTGCAATGCTGTTGCTCGGCCTGGGATTGTCCAAGAGCTGGGTGTCCATTCGGCAGAAGCCGAGCGCATCCACAGGTGTTTCACGCACTGACAGATGTGCAGCACAGAGTTCAGACCTGAAATGCGCTGCACCTTGGCAACACCACGCAGCAAGAGATGCTTGATCATGATGATGCGGCTCTGCACGGATGCTCCGCTCGTACGTTCCCGCCGGCCAGCTCCCCAATTGCCGCGCAAGGGCACGCAGTTCTCTCGTCCTATACTTTGTACAGGGTAAGCGAAATCCAGCTGCTGCGTCGCACAGGCCGTCCCAATCGTGACCCCAAATCAGGAGCCGCGTTTCATGGCGAGCGCCAGGGCGGGGCGCCGGGCAGCCCGTGATGATGTTTGGAGCTTGGGGGTGGCTTTTTTTTCACGCCTCTTCCTGAAACGCGGCTCGGATATTTCGTGGCCAGAGAGCCATTCCGGGCCAGATGTTGTACTCTCGTAGGACGCCACAGCGAGCATCTGCCTGGGGCGGCACCCGGCGTCGCGAGATGACAGCGGGACGCTCTCAGATTAGAAATCCCCGCAAACACAATGGGCAACTTGGGAGCCCGAGCCGGGAGAAGTGGTGCTTCGTACAACGCGGGGAAGGCGGATGCTGACGCCTGACTCTATCTTCTGGGTGGTGCGGGCCCGTCTGCTGGCCATTGCGCAGTCGCATTGCAGAATAAACACATCATTGTAAAGCTGAAGCCATCGGGTCTCCGGTACTCCTTTCCATCACGGCGGGCGGGGAAGCGAGTCGAGTGCACGTTGCCCCGGAGCAGTCCTACGCATCCCCGGAGCTCGTCGTGGCTTCTCGGGCCCGGATCCGAGGAGGTGGCAGACAAACCTGGGCTCCGCGCGTCGACAATAGAGAAGCCACCCCACTGAGGAGGGCCGGACCTGGTTCCGTCAGGTCGTTCCCCAGCGACGAGCGTTGCGATAGGGTGTGGTGAATGCGCCGTCCGACGACTGCTTCACATGTAGGCACTCGCAGCCTACGCCCTACGTCGCCTAGCAGTCCCACTGGGCCTCGCCTGGAAACAAGTTGTGTGGTTTGTTTCCTCTCCCGGTGAGAGCCTGGCTGCGCAATATTTAGAAGGCGAGGACAAGTCGGTCAGCATTGTCGAAACGCCGTTGGTTTCAAGTTTGGGTGGCGTGCCGCCTATCGACGAAGACCCTGCATCAGTCGCCACACGCTAGGGTCGCAGGTCAGGGGGGGGCTGTTCAACAGCGTCTGCGCCACTGAATCATTGCCAGAGGGCTACGCAGTACAGTGGGCGTACCTGAGCACACGGGGGGGAAGCTAGTCCCTGCCCGCGCGCGGGGCCAGTCAGGCATCAGGGCTGTGGTTTGGTAGGTCTTAGCCAGAGGGCCTATCTTTTCGGCGTGGACGGTGGACGGCATGCGGTTGACGACATGGACAAGAGCCCATTTTCCCATTTTACCGCTCGGCATCCCGCGGTGCGAAACGCAGAGGCAAGATACCTACGTAATGCGCAGCGGCGGAGAGACATCGTGAAACGACCCAACTGCCAGAGCATAGGGCGTGCTACCTAGGTAGTTTTCAAGTTGAATCACGCGCCCTGCCCAGCTGCCCGCCGACGTGCAGATCGTGCTCGGCGGGGCCTGCTGCTGCTGCTGTTGCTGCTGTGGTGCTGCTGCTCCTGCTGGCGCCATGCATATCTTCATCTGAAGGGCAGCCTGGGCGGGGACCTACCACGACATGGCAGCCGAGCCGTTTCGCGACAAGGGTGGCCCTTGGAGCTCCGGATATGCTGCTCGATACGTGATGCTGACAACAAGGAGCCCAACGTGGCAGAGGGCAGGGGGATGGCTCTCGACAATCGACATCCCCGGTTCTCCCACTCGGTCGTGTGCCTAAAATGGCACGGCCCACGAGCCGGGTAGTATTATCTGCACGATTGCATCCTGTTACTATTGCATCTCTGGTCATAACAAGGGCCGTTCGTACCAAGGATTGCGAGCATGTGCCGCCCGAGCTGAGCGAGCCAGAGCTCCGGCGGGAGCACGGCTGAAGCCGAGGAGCCGCGCCGCTGAAATATCAGGAGACCGCACTGATGACGAATTTCATGCGACACGGCCGAGGTGCGAGGCCTGTCTGTCCGAGCAGCGTCTTCCGACTGCGACGGCCAGGGCGTCATCGCCGTGGTACAGATGAGCAAGGAGCATGCAGAAAGAGTCATCCTGTGTGAAGGGGGGCCGTGGCATCAAAATGTTTCGATAGGGTGGCACTGCGGCGGCGGCGGACTGACTGGTGTGGTTGATGCTGCCACCCAGGGATTTCGTTTCTATCCTGCTGCATCCAGACGGTCCGATTTCCACGACTCAGTGGCGATTGTGCCATTGTAGCAGCAGCAGCAGCAGCAGGCCGTTGCTCGAGTCCAGGAGATGTGCTGCGGCTCTTTGGCCGGCGCCTCTGTACGAAACCGGTCGCGGCTGGCTGGTATGCGGCCACTCAAACATGCTCGGGACAAACAGGCGATTGCAACTCCCGCGAGCCGACGGCACTCGGCCAACAGACACAGATGGCTGATGCACTTGGAGGAGCGCACACCTGCTTGATGACTTGCTTGATATTATTGCAGGGGAGCAACAACAAGGGTGGGCATTCGACGCCCGCCGTCAGCAGCGGACGGGAGGTTTGGGGGCAACACCCGGCCGTAACCGTAGACACAAAGGAGCCCGCTCGTGTCGCACCGCAGTCAGTGGAGGTGGGACCCGAGCCCGCAGGCGCTCCGTTCGTGCTAATTGGAACCGTACGGAGGAGCCCTGGGGTACCCAAGGTTACCTTTGGCGGCGCACCGTAGTGAGGGCCGTTCGATTCAAGTTTGAATACCGCAGGTACGCCGTGCGTACGGGCAAGGCACCTAGAAGTTGGTTAGCGCGTGCCGTTGCCGCTAGGTTAGAGTACCTGCGGTGGCCCTTCAGGGGTGCCCCACCTCCCTCCTAGCTCGGCCACGGGCGGCACGCCCCCCAGAAGCCCCTCGCTCCACTGCCCTGTGCCTCAACTGAATGCCCCCGGGCCTGAGCTACTGGGCTGTCCTGTCGCCGCCCCCCCAAAGAGGGGCGCCGCGTGCGGTGGTCTGTCAGAGGTGTCGCCTGGTCTCGGGGCTCTTTGGCCAACCAGCGGCTCCGGCCCAGATCCCTGAGCGACATGCCGGCCGCCGCTTTGCCTCCACGTCTCACCACTCTTCTTCTTCCCATTCCCTCCTCCTCCTCCCTCTCCCGCGCGACCTCACCCACACCGTCCACGTCCTCGTCGGCATCGCGGCTGCATCCTCACCGGGCTCACGGCTCTTGACCGCAGTCTCGGTAGGGGCCAATCCCGGAGTCGACAGGAGTCTGCAGCGAGGAGCGTGCGGCTCTGCCCCCCCATCCACCTTTCCCGCAGAGCGACACTAGCGAGAACGAAAGCGATTCCAACAGCGCCGCGGCAGCGACATTATTTAATACACTACCCTCGACAGTCCCCCGAACAATCGAGGCCGCCGTATCGGTGTGTGGAGAGCCATCGTGCGCCAAAACTCTCCACCCGACTTCGAAATGGCCATGCTTGCGTCCAAGACGCCGTTTCCAACGGCCATGGGTTCTGGGACTGTCAACCCCAGCAGTGCTCCTCCCTCTGCCCTGCCAACCTCGCGACGAGTACCACTTATGGCGTCCGGATCACAATCTTTCGCCAGCCCGACAGAGTCGGAGTTCTCCGACGCTGATGGCCCCGACTCTGTCAAGAACTGGGACGAGGACAAGGTGTGCGACTACCTCCGAAGCATCAACTGCGGCGACTACGAGAAGCTCTTCCGAAAGAACCATATCAATGGCGAGAACCTTTTGGAGCTTGACAAGCAGACGCTTCAAGAGATGGGCATCGAGAAAGTTGGCGACCGCGTCCGTTTGTTTCTCGGCATCAAGAAACTGAGAACAAAGGCGTACGCCAACCAAAAGAAGCGCAACCGAGTGAGCCACCCCCACCCCGCCACGGCCTCGCAAACAAAGCAGTGTCGCTGACCCCAAAGCAGGACTCCTTTGCCGGACTTGACGTACTCTTTCCCTCCACCTCGGTCGACTCGACAAGAACGGATCCACGGACGACTCCCACTGCTCCCACAAACAGGCGTTTCTCACGTCAAATCGACTTGGCCGTCCCCATTGATGCCGGTATGGTGGCCCCTACTCCCATGTTCGTTTGTTGCATTCGCTGACACCACAGTAGCGCGGCAGCAACGGTTCCCCGCCGGAACTGGCTACCTGACGGGCGGCAGCACCACTGCGACGTCCTCGTCTAGAGTACCTGGCGGCTCTGATGGCGCCCGTCTGGTACCAACTCACACGAGGAACAACTCCAGCATGGATGGGTCCCTGATGGCGGCCTTGCCACAAAACCAAGAGGTCATACGGGTCATCTCGACTGGCGGCGTGACCAAGGTTGTCAAGATTGCGGACTGCAACACGTGCGAGGATGTCATGCGCGTGACGCTCCGCAAGTTTGCCTTGCGCGAGGACCATGAGCGCAACTACTGCTTCTGGGTTCTGGCTGGCATCGACCCGGATCCAAGCCAGTGCCGCCGTCTTGGAGACACGGAGCTGTGGCGCATCATCAAGGACCAGCGCCGGCCGGAGCGGAATCGCCTCATCCTGAGACGCGTACCCGCTGGAGAGCCTGGCGAGGCTGAGCTGCAGCGCGCGGCAGCTATTGCTATGGAAGAAGAGCAGCAAAAGCACAACCGAGCCCTCGAGACTGTTGACAAGAGGAGCCAGCTGAAGGTGCAAAAAGTCCTGGGAGAGAAGTGGAACGACCAACTGCAGCAGCCGCTGTCCCCTATATCCTTCCAAGACCGAGAGCGGAACCTGTCGCAAGCGGCCAAGGAACTGGAGCGTCCGCTGACTAGCGAAGCGCGGGTACCGCAGCGTCTGAGGGTCGGCCTGCGCCAATTTGGTGGACTGCGGCCGCCAAGTGAGCTTATCGCGTCCGACTTGACGTCGTATTTCCCGGACCACCCTCGCGAGGACATTGATCGAACGGCACGCTTGTCTATGCGACGCTCGTCCCGCTTGAGCAAGGTTAACAGCCGCCTGAGCGTCGCCAGCAGCCTCAGCTTCGCCTCCAGTGTCCAGGATGCCCCTCCTATCCCGACCATTGCCGATTCGTGGCTGAGTGGCACTGCTCACGTCGCCAAGGTGCGAGCTCGCGACTCTCAGGGACGACTTCCACAAATATACAACAGAGACTCGATTGCGTCTTCGATGCTCGACACCTTGCAGGAGGAGTCTCCCGTCGAGCCAAACCGCAAGTCGTACGTCTCGTTCACTGAAAGCGGTTCGGACAGTGCAGCGGTCAGCATCACGGATCCTGATGGCAACACGATGCGAACCAGCTATTACGATGGAGACCACTCCACCGGATCGGGCTCCTTCCAGGAGCTCCAGCAAGCCTTGACAGACGACGGTGAGGAGGCGGACGAGGAACTGGAAAGCTTCCTCGCCGGAGAGTCATGGGATGACAACAAGTGGATGAAGGGTGCCCTCATCGGCCAAGGCTCCTTCGGCTCCGTGTACCTGGCGCTGCACGCGGTGACGGGCGAGCTGCTTGCCGTTAAGCAGGTCGAAGCGCCGGCCCCCGGTGCCAACAGCCAGAACGACAACCGCAAGAAGAGCATGATTGACGCCTTGAAGCGGGAGATAAGCCTTCTGAGGGAGCTGCGACACCCCAACATTGTGCAGTACCTGGGCTGCAGCTCGTCGGCCGACAAGCTCAACATTTTCCTCGAGTACGTCCCCGGTGGCTCGGTCCAGACCATGCTCAACTCGTACGGCGCCCTGCCAGAGCCTCTGGTGCGAAGCTTTGTGCGCCAGATCCTCACGGGCCTTTCATACCTACACAATCGCGACATCATTCACCGCGATATCAAGGGCGCCAACATCCTGGTGGACAATAAAGGCACCATCAAGATCTCCGACTTTGGCATCTCGAAGAAGCTCGAGGCGTCAAACATCCTCAGCGGCGCAAACAACAACCGGCATCGCCCGTCTCTTCAGGGATCTGTGTTCTGGATGGCGCCCGAGGTGGTCAAGCAGACGTCCTACACGCGCAAGGCCGACATTTGGTCCCTCGGATGCCTGGTTGTGGAGATGATGACGGGCAACCACCCATTCCCCGACTGCAGCCAGCTCCAAGCCATCTTCAAGATTGGAGGTGGGAAGGCCGCGCCGACAATCCCGGAGCACGCCAGCAGCGAAGCACAGGAGTTCCTTCGGCAGACGTTTGAGATTGACCACAATCTGCGCCCGAGTGCCGATGAGCTGATGCTGCACCCGTTCCTGACGCCCATTACCTAGAGGCAGAGCTGACCTAGCTCTCCGACTTTTTTCTTCTTTCCTTACTGTACCATGGGGTGCCTGGGCAGGAACCAGCCATCGTTTTCTATAGACAACGGACGGAGGGGGAAACGACATGACGGGGAGGAAACCGCCGAGAATAGCGCGGCATTGATTTGGTGCGATTTGGCATGGCATGGGAGCTGGACACGGGCATGGGCATGACGGCGCAGGGCTAGGACGCGGCAACGACGGGACCGCTGAGGTGAAGATTGGGGAGGTAATCAATCGACGACACTTTGACGACTGCCGCTAGTGTACAATAGAAAGACAAGCGAGTTGATGAGCAATTGTTGTCCATCGTGGTAGCACCAGATGTGCCTGATCTGATCATGGTCTGCATCCACGCCTAGGCAGGCCGATGGGGTCACTGGCCGTATCGAGGCTGCCGGTCTCTTGTACACGAAAGTGCAAAGTCGGCAGTATGTATGCAAAAGGTATGTTGGCTCGGACGAGGTAACAGCGCGATGAGGTTGTTAAATGCGGCTCTGCCTTACGTGAGCAATTACGGGAAGTGCAATGAGGCTGGAGTGCAGCAAATGCAGCGAATGTAGAGAGGAGGTTGCAGCTGCTGCCTGGACGGAGTCTTTGCTTCTGCCCAAGCTCCGCCCGTCCCTACGAGTATCGTCCAGACATTCACTGCACGCACTGCTACCCCTCTGCCAATTGAACAGGCGCCCCAGGCCACAAACCATCAGCCCAACAATTTCCCGGCATCATCCCCCGCCGCGAGAGCGTCCCGTCCCGGAAACATGGACTCGCAAGACGACAGCCAAGAGTCGCAGGACAGCGTCATGACCATCACGCAGGAGAAGCGACACGAGATACTGTACTTTGCGTACGGGAGCAACCTGTCGACCACGCAGATGCGGCAGCGGTGTCCGTTCTCGACGCCCGTGGGGTTGGGCTTCCTCGAGGGATGGCGGTGGATCATCAACGAGAGGGGGTACGCCAACGTCGTGCCCATGACGCCCTCGCCCGGCGGCAGCGGCGGCGAGGGAAGCAGCAGCAGCAGCAGCAACAAAAAGGCGGGCGTGTACGGGTTGCTGTACCTGCTCCCGCCGCAGGACGAGGCGCGGCTGGACGGGTACGAGGGGGTGCCGTGGGCGTACGAGCGGATGCACTGCGATTACCTGCGGTGGGCGACGCCGCCGCCGCCAGAGGGAACCGACGATGGCGAGGGCAGCGGACGAGGAGGAGCGGCGGCGGCGGCGGCGGACGAGCCGGTGCGGGCGCTCGTCTACGTGGACAGGCAGAGGGTGACGGAGGGGACGCCGCGGGAGGAGTACGTCGGGCGGATGGAGGAGGGGATCCGCGACGCGGTGTGGAATTGGGGCCTGGACGAGGCGTACGCGGACAGAGTGATGAGGAGGTTCTGGAGGAAGAAGAACCAGCGGGGGGAGCGCATCTGAGCGTTTGAGGCTTGCTGTGAGGGGTAATTGGTCTTTCAATTGAATGAGCGATTGGTTTGTTTGGCTTGGTTTGGTTTGGCTGGCGGTAGCTTTGGGGGTTTGGTGACGAGGGTGGCATACAACGTTGTAACAAGCCGCGTCCCGAGTCCAGACCGCCGGCTCCCACTCACGGTCGATGCATGAATGCTGGCATCGCGGGGGCGCAAGGAAGGCCAGCTCGGGCCACGATGAGCAGAGACAAAGAGAAAGAGAGAGCAAAAGGCGAGTATGCACGAATAAAAGGGCTGTCCACTGTCCGTCACTGGGCACAATTTAAAAAGCCATATATGGTGAAAGCAGTCTATTTACATCCCTCAACAATCTCCAACGAGAGTCGTCGTCGGGGCATCCTTTTTTTCTACTTGAGCTGGAACGCGGCCTTGGCCCGAGTCCAGTACTCTAGCCTTGTCGAAACATCGCCAGGGACCCCCACGCACTTGGAGTTGTACTCGTACCAACCCTGCTCCGGGTTCTTGCGCAGCACGTTGCGGACACTCTTTGGGCACTGCGTAGCCATGAACCACGAGCCGCTGCCAAAGTTGTAGTCGTCGACCTGCACGAGCGCCAGGATGCGGTTGAGCTCGACGGCGGGCAGTCCGCTGATCATCTCCTCGGTGACGTTGGCGACCTGGGCGGCCAGCGCGGGGATGCTCTTCGCGTAGCGCAGGTTGTAAAGCGGCGACTGCATGTTGACGGTGCCCTGGCCGGGCTTGCCGGGCGGCGGGAACATGTTCCGCTTGTAGTGGAACTCGCCCGACTCGAGGGCGATGACGGCGAGGACGGCGGCCTGCTCGGCGGGGCAGGTGAGGCCGTAGTCGCGGAACGACTTCTCGAGGAAGGGCGCGGCTTGGGCGGGGCTGCGACAGTCGGGCTGGTTCGGCTTGCAGGGCTCGTTGTCCTTGAAGGTGGCCTTGATGATGGCTGCGTAGTCGCGCTTCGGCTGCGGCTGCTGCTGCTGATCCTGCGCGGCGGCGAAGGGGGAGCAGCTAAGTGCCGCGACGGCGGCGAGGGCCGAGGCGAAGCGCATCGCGACGACGGGAGAGAGAGGTGGTGATAGGTTTTCTGGTGGTTGCGGTGTAAGTCGGGGCTGTAGTGTCTGGTGTTTTCGTGGGGCGGGTCTGCTCCAGCGGTGTTTCCGGGGCGGAGGTGCAGGCAAAGATGTATAATTTTTTTTTTTCCTTGAGAAGAGAGTTTGAACACGTACAGAAAGGGACAGGAGACGGTGTCTTTGTGTTGAGTTCGTGAAGGAAAGAATAGAGGTGGTTGCGATGAGAGACAGGTGACAGAGCGAGCGCGAACAGATGGGTGAGTGAATGAATGGGTGAGCAGACACGGGCTCTCGTCAAAGAGGCACAACTTGCGGGTGGCTAATGGTGAAACGTCGACGCGGATGGGATGAGTGGCAGTGACGGAGTCGGTCCGGCTCGCACGGCACTTATAAGTGACCTCCCTACGCGCACTGGTACGCTTGTTTGCACAAGAGCGGCATCGCCCGTCTGGTCTCAGCGCGTCACCCAGGCTTTGCATCCACCAGGTCATAAACGCACTGGGTCACGTAGTGTTTCTCGTTGATGATCGTCGTCGTCAGCGCCGTCGTCCCTGCCCGTCCTGGATCCCCCTGACGAGCCTACGGTGGGGGGAAACTGTAGGGGGTGCAGAGGCGGGGTGGTGGTGCCCTGCCGCCGATGCAAGACCTGGGCTCGCTGTGCCGCTTCTTTCTATGCTGGTGGTGGTTAAGTGGTTGGCTGGCAGGCGATTTTTCCTTTTTGGGGGCACGCAGGGGACAATGCGCCGTCGCCAGTGGATGGATGGATGGACGCGCGCTGGAGCGAGCGCGCCAAACAATGAATGAGTGGTAACCGCCCTGGGGGTCCCGCCGTTTAGGTCTCTGGGTGAAACGTAGCGCTGGTGGGATGGCTGGACGGCGGGGGGTTGGGACTGGGACTGGGCTGGGCCTGGCCCCCCTGCCGGCCTTCTCTGTTTGGCATGGCATGGGCATGACAGGACGCCTTTCGGTCCAGTCGTTTGTTTGACTTCGGAGGTCGGAGGCAGGCAGGATGCTGTTGCAGGGAAGGGCCTGTCTGCGGGGGGGCAAAACTTTCTTCAGCGGAGGGACTGTGTGAGGTTGAGTGTCGCTAAGCGATGACGGCGAGCGATGTGTCTTCACGTTCGCATGAGCACGCATGAACCGCTATTCCTGCCTGATTCCTCGTCTCCGATGGGCGGCCGAAATACTGCCTGGGAAGCTCTCATTTACCGCGTAAGATGAGGGCGATCAAGGTCGTGCTGGATGCTTTCATCTGGACTGGAAATATGACGACTCTGACCTCAGTGGTCCCGTCCGTTGCAGCCCACCCTTCGGCGCGGCCACGATTCACGGCGTTGCCAGCCAGTGCCCCGTACGTGCCCGGCGATGGTCACCGGGTCCCGGCGCCGGCCTGTAGGAGAAGAGAGCGGCGGCGGCAACGGGCCGCCCCCGTCCCCGCCCCACCACAAGCCTCCCGTCCGTTTGAAGGGGTCCCGCGTTCCCACAATTGTGATAGCCGACCCGGAGCCGACTGGGGCCGACTTCGCTCCTTACTCAACGTTCCTGCCATCAACCACACCAGCATTCTCGCGGGACACTTTGCCGTGCCAAACGGCCAGCGCATACCCAGCACCTCCGGAGCCGTCATGGCCGCGGCACAGGCTTTGCGCGCGTGCCCGCGGCGCGTCCTCCAGCGGACATGCAGCAGGGCCAGCACGTGCGCTCCCGCGTCTCTCTCCCGCCACTATTCCACATCATCTACATCCACCTCTCCCCCCCTTTCATCGCCAGGCGCCCACGCGCAGCGCCGCTTCCCCGCGTGGTTCGTCCGCGGCGGCACCTCCAACGGGCTCGTCATCCGGCGCGACGCCCTGCCCGCGCACGAGCACCGCTGGCCCTCGGTCCTCGCCCCGGCCATGGGCGCCCCGGACCCGCTCTTCGCCCGGCAGCTCGACGGCATGGGCTCCGGCCTGTCCTCCACGTCCAAGGTCGTCGTGCTGTCTCCGCCCTCGCGCCCTGACGTCCACGTCGACTACACGTTCGTCCAGGTGGGTATCCGCGACGGCGCCCTTGACCTCGCTGGCAACTGCGGCAACATGTCCTCGATCGTTGGCCCCGCGGCGTGGGACCAGGGGCTCATCCCGGAGGGCCTTGCCGCTGATGTTGAGCGCGATGAGCGCGGCGATGCGTGGGCCTGTGTGCGCATATTCAACACGAATACCAGCAAGGTCATCGTCTCGCGCTTCAAGGTCGCAGGCCAGCCGCTCGCATACTGCCCGGACGGGGACTACACCATGGACGGCGTGCCCGGCACCCACTCGCTCATTAACATGAGCTTCGAGGACCCCGCCGGCGCAAAGACGGGCAAGGCCCTGCCCACGGGCTCGCCCACCGACGAGCTGCGCTTACCAGACGGAACGCCCGTCACGGCATCCCTCGTCGATGTCGGCAACCCAGGCGTCTTCGTCTCCACACGCGACCCAGGCCTGGGGCTAGACGCTGCGCAAGCCTCCTCCCTGACACCCGCCGCCATCGAGGCCGACGCGCAGCTCAAGACCCGCCTGGAGCAGATCCGCTGCGCGGGCGCCTCCCGCATGGGGCTGGACCCCGACACCGAGAGCGTGCCCAAGATCGTGCTGCTGTTTCCCCGCGCCGAGACGCCGTCGGGCGTGGACATGCGCTGCCTCGCCATGTCCATGGGCCAGGCGCACAAGGCCATGCCGCTGACGCTGGCGCTGTGCCTCGGCGCGTCCGCCCGCACGCCGGGCACCCTGGCGGCTGGCCTGCTCGCCGAGGCGGGCAACGACGTGGCGACGGATGCGCACGGGGATGTGACGCTCACGTTGGGGCATCCGAGTGGCAAGCTGGATGTTGGGACGGTGATCCGCGACGGGAAGATTGAGTCGGCAAAGTTGCTGCGGACAGCGAGGGTCCTCATGAAGGGAGACGTGTACTATTAGACCCGCTGTGGTTTCGGCAGCACATATACCCCCTCGAGCGCAGATTATCAGTAAGAAATATTCAATTCACCTGCTGCGGAAGCGAAGACATGCTGTACACCTGTAATCGTTCCGTTCAGCTGCACCGACAGCCACCCACACGCAGCTACAAGGTACAAGCGACAGGGTGTTGTAAGAGCAGCGGCTCAAAGTTGAACATCCTGGCCAGACAAGATAGAACGTCTCGGCTGCAAACTCAATCTCTTCAAGATTCAATCACGCTCATCACGCTCTCAGTGCTACGCTTGTACTTGGCCAGCTCCCGTGATACCCACGCTGGACTGCTTCGACTTCAACCACCAACGCCTCGCTACCATCACAACATCACCGCAAGCGTCATACTTTGGTCCACATCAGACCGACATGTGTACGAAGCATTTAAACAACTGGGCAGTTGTACTTGTTCTCCTGCCACGCCAGCTTTGCGTACGGCAGCATAAAGTCTGGGGCCACGTTAGTTGGCTCATGCCGATAACAATGAGATCTCGGAGGGGTCCATACCTTGAGACGTGAAGCTGCAGTCAATATAGCATTTGACCATGTCCTTTGTATATCCAGCGCCAAGGTCGTTGAGAACGTTCGTCTCAATGCTGCAGCAGCTCGTTAGCCTTTGGTACTGCTTGGAGTGGGTGGGGTGCGCATACAAGTCGAAGAAGATGAGGTCAACCTTGTCAGGGTTGCTCCCGTCCTTGGGGAATGACGCGCGAGCCTCCCAGTAAGGCGGGATGGAGTAGTTGGGGATCTCGGAGTGCTCCGTATCATCGCCTACGGCATGTCAGTTACCGTTTTAGGCCCGCTCGCGATCAAGTGAGTTTCTCCTACCATCAGTGCCCCAGTCGTCCTTGGTCACATAGCCGGGCACGACTGTCTCCTGACGTCGGACAACTCCACGCGTCTCACGAAGGTCGCGGCGGCTCATGTATCCAAGCGTAGGATCTGTGCACTCGTCTTGCGGGACGGGCATGGAGACGAGGTCTCGCTTGCTCACGGGGCCCTTGTTGAGCCTAGATGGACCGTGTCAGCCACATTAAAGCTCATCCCCTCCGCATGCAGGCGAAGCTTACTGGTCGATAACCTTCGAGGCCTTGTCAAAGGGTACGTCGGGAATGTAGAGAAACACATCGCGGAATGGCGCCACGATAAAGTTGTCGTCGTACGTGAAGGGGCCCTTGTGCAGGTCGAAGCGGATGGCACCGGTGTTGCCGAGGATGATGCGCGACTTGTCGGCGCGTGTCTTGTTCAGGACAATCGCGGAGACGGCAGGGTAGATGACTCCGGGGAAGATGTTCTTCTTGTCCGTGAACGGCGCGCAGCTCATGCACCAATCCTGCGGAGCGCATCCATAGACATCACCGAGCTTCAGCTCGTCGCGCACCTTGCCAATGTCGCCCGTGACGCGCTCGCCGGAGTGGTAGTCAAACTTGTCCTCGTCAACCTTGGAGTGGTAGACGAAGGTCTTGCGGTTCCAGTCCAGGTAGCGGCGCGAGTAGACAAACGGCGACTTGGAACCGGTCTTGGCCGGCCGCGAGGGGTTCTTGACGCCGTGCGGGTTCTTGACCCCCTTGAAGCCGCTGTTGGACGAGTCGAAGCCCGACATGGACATCCAGCCGAGCGTCTCGCAGTACCGGCCGGACTCGATGGCGACGGAGGAGTCGTCGTAGACGGAGAAGTCGCGGATGTGGCTGTGGCCGCCGAAGATCTGGACGGGCGTCTTGGCGTGCACGCCGCGGATGGCATCGAAGACGATCTGGAAGGTGCTGGCGTAGTCGGTCTGGCGGACGGGGTTGTGGCCGAATAGAACAAACATATCAACGGGCTTCTTGCTGGCGAGAGCCTCGGTGAACCAGCTCTCCTTGACCATGTCCTTTGCCTTGAGCACCTGAGAAGCATTCGAGTTGCCTGGCCATCTCCGTGTTAGCCGACGACAACACCAATAATAATAGGCTAGGACGTACCGGTAAAGTCAAAGAGAACACCAAAGGCCATGACGCGAAGGCCCTTTGGCGTCGTAAAGTAGCGGTGGGTGGCGCCCACGTACTCGTACTTGCCCGTGGTCTGGTTCAGCACCTTGACGTTGGACGTGACATACTTGTCTCCCCATTTACGCGCATACTCGTTGAACATTTGGTACGCAACCTCGCTCACGTAGAGCTCGTGGTTCCCTGGTCTCTTTTAGCGAATAATCCACTCGGTATTTAGTGCTGGAACACGCACCAATCGTCAGGAGATCGTAGTCAATCTCGGTGAAGATGGGCATGGACTTGGTGCCGTCTGGTGTTGTGGCGTCTGAGACACCATTGCCGTCGTGGAGGTCGCCAGTGTCGACGATGAGGAGATCGACGCCCATGTTCCCAGCCGTCTGCTTCATGCGGCGGCTAAAGGTTACAAAGTCGCCCCAATCCGCGCCATAGTTTTGCTCCTTCAGGTGACCCTCGAGCCAGCCATGAGTGTCGGTCTGCAGACGAGGTTAGCAGCGAGCAAAGAAGACGACCGGCAGTTGCAGATCACGACTGCCACAATGACATACCGTATGAAGAAAGTTGACCTGACCCCATTCCAAGGGGCCCTTGGGTCCGTACGCGGCACCGGGCGCACCAGGCTGCATGCGCTTGACCTGGCGGACATGCTCGACTTTGTTCGTCGGGCCATAGCACGAGTCTTCGCCGCAACCAACAACACCGGGCGCGGCGAGGGCGACAAGCCCTGCTGCGACGACACCGAGAGACCTAAACATGATGCCGATCCTGCAATTCGTTGCTGCAGTGTGTTGGGGCTATGGGACACCTTCCGACGGCACGGTTTCGAGGAAGGACAGCCTGGCGGCAGGGGCTAGCGAGTTTTATTGTTTTCGTCCGTGCAACTACCCCGTACGCACATACATACTAAGCGAGAGTGTCATTCTCAGTCTTATCTCTCTCTGTTTTGACGCTCCCACGAGTGTCAGTGCCCTGTAAGCGAGCGACACGGCCATCTCCGCGCCGCCGCCGCTCCCCACACGCACTGGGGATCGCTTCCTGGTTCCTGCAGATCGGTGGCGCTGCCTCTGGAAAAAGTTCCCACCCACCACCCGCCGATGGGGGCGGCGCGGGCTGCTGGAGAAAGCCGCCCAGTAAAGAGGGGTTGGAGAGCTGGCCGATTGTTCCCACAAGGGCAACGTAGGCACCGAGATAGCTACACGTACCGGCCTGCGCGCGGCTGACCTGCCTGAAATGGGACACTCCCGTGGCGGCATCCGGCGCCCTCGCAGAAGCTGACCTTGCCTGCCTGGTTGTTTCTGCAAAAGTGTTTACTGGAAGTTCATGAGAGAGCCTGGACCTGGCCTCTTGGTTGGCAAAGCCCTGCCCTTGCGTCGAACGTTGCCGATTCATCCGTGCGGGCGTCCCTCGCTGGACCTGTCAGCGTAGCAGCCAAGCCCATGTGCCCGTCAGCACACCCCGCCGGTAACGAGGTTCGGCGCGCTGCCGAAAACTTACGTTAATTATAAGCTGCACGTTCATCAGCTCCGCTCTGTGGAGTGGTTTTGTTGGGCAAGGCTCCCTAGGCTGCCCCCGTCGCCAGACCAGGCCGAATCTGCGCCTCGGTGACGAGATTCAGCCGAACGGCTCGGGGAGCCGCATGGGGGTTTCAGTCAAACTGCTCGTACTACCGGCGAGTTGTCCACCACGTGGGTGGACTGAGTGACATTGCCGGACCCGCGAAGCCCCAGTGGCGCTCGAGAATTGGAGATGCACAAGAACTACGTATGATGAATCGATAGTGTTTGATTGGTAGCCATATGTAGTAGTCCACTGTCTGGACTCTGGAGTCTGGAAGAGCGACATGAGTCTCGCTTCACTTAGCCAGAGGACAAAGACCTTAACGCTCATCACGATGGCACAATTGTCGGCGAAACATTCCTTGCCGGCTGGGGGCGAGACCGAGATGGCATAACCAGCTCGACGTCAACGTGCGTCGCTCATGCTTGTCAGTGCCCGGTTCGGAAATGTAAGCGACGACCATTATCGACAACTCCAATAGCGCCGCGGCTTTCTCAGACGGGCGCAACGGGCCGGAGAGCATTGACATGGACTGTGTGTCCAGGCTAACGACGCCAGATCCTTCCCTCGGATGTCGCCGTGATTCGGCTCCGGCGCCGTCAAGAGGCTTCAATGCACAAAACATGCATTTCCCCGCAAACAGGGGAACGACGGCTCCGCAGACAGATTCTCGGAGGGAAGGATCAGCGCAGTAGTCCATATCCGAAAGGTAGTCGGCAGCTGGTGGATTGGCAGTTAAGTCGGAGGCTGGCGCCGCCGCGTGGACGCACATGGAAGCGCGCAAGCGCGTCAGACCTATTAACATGTTGGCAGTTGCATGCCAGTTTGCGGCTCTGACATTTGTGTGCCTTTGCCGCACCAAGGGCATGCCCATGTCAACTGTCTGTACCAGGCTCACTCAAAATGGCGTCTGGTCAATCTCAACGCCATCGCTTGCAAAGGCTCAATTAGCCACAGAGCCCGTGTAATAGACTGAATCTTGAAGCAAGAATATTTTCGCGACCGTCCTGTCAGTGAAACTTTTACGCGTCCGTTCTGTAGCGCCGTGAGCGGCCTGCAGCTTTCGGTCACTGACGCGCACCTGGAATGAAGCGTCCTCTGCCACTTAACCACCAAGATGAGACACCCAGCACCTTTTGTTTCGCGCGACACTCTACCTCTGCGTTCCAGCCGAGCGCGATCTGAAGACGGCCCAGCCTACATAAACGGGATGGGCCAACAACGCGCGATTGTCTCCGGAGAGGCTCTGTCATATTCGCGTCGCTCCTGCAACCAAGGCACTCTCGTCGTCCAGATTTGCCGAAAAGATGAGATTCAGCTTCCTCACTCTCATCGCGGCTGCCGCCTCGGCGTCGCCAATTCAGGTGCGTATAGGATGTTCCCGCGGTGCTTGCGCCTCGAGACTCGGCTGACAAAAATACAGCCAACTGTTGGTGAAGACGCGGGCAAAGACCTTGCCGGTCGCTCACCGCAGAGCCAGGACGGCGTACCGATTGTCCCACTCCCAGGCGGCAGCTCAGCTCCCAAGGCAAGCTCGCCTCAGCCCTCGGGCCAAAACTCGACACAGAAGAAGCCGCCTCCATCCCCGGCGACGGTACCGAACAAGCCCCCTCCGCCGGAGGCCGCGGCCGACGAGGAACCCCCGCCAGTTCAGGGGATACTGAATGTCAACGGCATCGACTTCTGGCTCATGCTCGACAACATTGCCAAGGGGCTGCACAGCTTCCATGACTCTTAGTCTAAATCTTGACTTTTTCAGTCTGAGTTGCTCTTTGTTGGAGTCAGTTTATGGTCGCCGTCAGCTGGGTTTCTAGATCCAGCTTCGGTGTCACGCCGCGGTCGACACATATTTTTAAGAGAACGAGATGAATTGCAAGATGGAGCCGCGGTTTTTTTCCGGTATTGGACGGATACTGGAATCGGAGATTCGCAGTTGGGAGGCTTCACGTTATCGACAGGGATGTATTTATGTACGCGCAGAGATACCACGGGGACGGGGCGGGTTGGGTCCGGTGCATAAGCCAATTAAAGATTTGGCATGCTCTTTTAAATTTGGCCAAGACTGGCGCATGGGAAGGATTAAGTGCTCTTTGTTTTCAAGTTCACACACTCATGTCGCCTTTATAGCTGACGGGTTGAAGTGAGCTTGCGTGCGAATGCCCATGAATGCGCGTCATCATCTTCTAATATCTATCATGTAGCTGGACTTCGAGACTATTAGCACACATATAGTGCCTGCGAGGAACTGGCCTCCCAGCCAGCCAGAAGTGGGTAGAACATACTCGCCGAGTCAACCGTTAAAGACTCAAGCCAAGTTGAACATGCCCGGAACGGCAATGTCAACGACTCAACGGCTGCTGATCTCCACAGTGGGGCCCGGCGCCAGGGTTGGCGTGCCGTGCCGCGCCGTTTCTCGTACCGTCCCGCTTGGCTGGTCACTCCTGCCGCCTGGATGCTGCCTTCCGCCCAGCAGCTCCGATTCCCCATTGCCAAATTCTCAAGTCATCCCGGGCCGCCTTCCCGGACGGCATCCATCCCCCTGTGGAAGTGGCCGAGCGAGGCCGTGACTACCACTCGCTTCGCTGTGCATTGCGCAACACCTTGATTCTTCTGTAGCCACTCCGTTCTCCTTCACACCCTCCCACCCCCTTTTCGCTCTGTGCTTCATCAACCCGCCCGGCATGGAGGCTGGCGCTGCTTCCCGGGTGCACCAGCACCCGTATTACCCTCCGGGCGTCGCGATTCCTGGCTGGGCGCCGGATGACGCGCCACGGTTGCGCCAGGCGCCCTTGTTCGTGGCCGTCATCGGCGCCATCGCCACCGTCGCATACCGTCAGGCGTGCAGGAGCAGTCATGCCCCGCGTTTCATAGACCGCTTCGCCGCGGCGTGGTTCTCCGTCTGTACGTGTGCAATGTCCTCGAGTCGGACGTCCCGCGTGCCTGACTGATACTACTATCCCCCGTCGCAATTGCGCCGGCACCGGGGCTTTCCATGAGGCTGACGTCGCATCGTGATAGGCTGCTTCTTACACGTCTGCTTTGAAGGTAGGAATGTGGCTGCACCGCATGTCAGGCTCCGACTTCGCCCATACTCGGTCTGACTGGCCCCGAAAACCTTAGGATACTACATCTACAACCGCACAAGGATAGCAGGGCTACAAACACCATTCGCTCACTTGTGGAAGGAGTACGCCTTGTCCGACTCGCGCTACCTCACCTCGGACGTCTTCACCGTCTGTGTCGAGACCATCACCGTAGTAAGTTGAGTGTCGAAGGACTCATTGAATTATCCAAACTCTTTCTCACGCACCTTTGTCTCTCCCATCAGTTTGCCTGGGGACCCCTGTGCCTGCTCACCACCATCTCCATTCTGGTCGGCTCGTCCTCGCGTCACGTCAATCAAGCCATCATCTGCACTGCGCACTTATACGGTGTTGCGCTCTACTACGCGACCAATTGGGCGGAGCAGCGCTTCGCCGGTGTCTCCTACAGCCGACCCGAGTTCCTCTACTATTGGGTCTACTACGTGGGGTTCAATATGCCGTGGGCAGTAGTTCCCCTTGGTGAGTGGCATCCCTTGAAACGGGCACTTTCGTGTTGTTTTCTGATGGAAGGCAGTCTTGCTGTATGATAGCTACGCCCAGGTGGGCAAGGCGTTCGGGGCCTTGCAGGACGGGGCCAAGCAGCGGAAGAACACTTGAGATTTCCAAGGACTGCGTCGTATGCAGGCTCTCGCTGCGCAGACTGTCTCCTCGCCAGTGGCGCTTCGCCGTCACTTTTTACGCACATGACAGATCTCGCATCGGGGCAGTTTGCGAAACGTGCCGGAACATCAGGCCCCATCAGCCTCGCCATCGACGACGTCAGGACAATCGATCGCCGCGCGGTGGATCGTCTATCTCGACACGGAGATTTCCGACAAGTCATTGAGCGTCTGACGAGGCAACTTATACAATGCCAAGCCGCTTTCTCGCAGGAGAAGCCCTCTTTTGTCGTTGAAATTATCGTCGTCATACTCGAATTCGCGTCTTCCTGCCCGACTCGCAGCCAAGTCGGAACTCTCGACGACAGCAATTCGTTCACAGCCACGCCGTCCTATGTACGTGCTTTCTCGTCGCGAATGTTGGCACGTACACATGTCGGCGCCCGGCGCGGTGGCCCCCACCTCTGTCTGTTGTTGTCTCGATGGCCGTCGTCCGCTGCTTCAAAGTCGTCCGGGGGCGTGCCGCACGAGAGAACAAGCCCCCTTTCTCCCGAGGATTCGGTGGCCCAGAGTACGAAGTACAATAGTCGTCTCTTCCCTCGTTTAAATAAGCAGCAAGGAGGGAGGGAGGGGCATTCCCAATATGCTGCTGCACATTCATGTAGTCTTTGTATTGGTTGCTGATGCGGCTGCATATTTGTGCACCACAACCATCGCCCGGGACTCGGCATGCGTGCCGTTGCACGGCGCTTGCGCAGTGTTTAGACGACTTGCCTGCCATGCAAGTGATCAAAGTCTTTTTTTCGATTCGGACCCCAAACTCGGCGGGAACCTCAATTCAGCCACAAACCGTCGGCCCTCCCTCCCTGGCCTAAGGTGTGACGGCATGGGACTGAAGCTTGACCGCCCGCCCGGGAGCAACGACTTCATGCCCGATTCATGTAAGCCGCTCCTGTGGCACGTCGGCTAGTCGTACCACTTCCGACCCAAGAGAGTTTCGACCGCATACATTGCACTTTGTACATGGGGCGCACAGTAATATACCCAATGTTCCCCTCCCTCCCCAACCCTCTTTCTCCTTGCGTGACACTCAGCGACTTGGGGCGGCGGCGTTCCGCCGCATATGCATACCCGATGCAGGCATGGGCGGCAACCAAAAGCCTCAACCGACGACCAGGGCCATGACAACAACAACAACAAAGGTAGGTAGGCAGGCAGGCAGGCAGGCATCCTTGTCGACCCGCCGGCGGCCGGCGCGCTCACCTCTCATAAGCCCACCTGCCATGTGCCAAACGCCACCCGTGTCCCGTCATGCAGCACGGCATCGAGTCGACAAGCCACACACACACACATAACACAATGTGAGGGTGTTGGGGGCAGCAAGCAAGCCCATGTTGCCTTGCGCAGATCCGGGGTCGGCTGAACCGAGAGACATTCAGTTGAAAGATTCTGCACATTCTGCACAGGCGGGGTGGGGGTCCCCCGGTTGGTGGTGGTCTGGAAGGGAAGGGATGGGACTTGCATGCCGCTCGCTCACGTCCTCGGTAACGGTTTGACTCAATTTGTGGTGGGTTGGAACGTTCCGTGTGGAACGTACGCTCACCTGATTTCTGACACCTGGGATATAACGCAGAAACCTGGGGGCATTGAACGCAACAAACTAGATGTAAGGAGAACCCCGAGCAATTCATGGTCCATCCTCACCCTGAAGCAGACTACAGAGTAATACGGAGGAATACGGGTTCGCCTCCCGTACGACCAGGGCGTTCAGCGAACAACATACGACGGGAAACAAAAGCCAATCCGTATAAGGAATCCAGGTGTATCCACACCACTTAACCTCATCCTAAACGACGCCAGTTACACCGGCAGAAGCACGGCCCAAAACTCGGTCGTGAAACGGAAAAGGGGGGCTCGGCAACAGCCAGCAGACAGCCCAGCCCCCTAACTCGGAAGCCCGACTACGACAGCTTTTTGCCACTTCCAAACTCCCGAGCACTTGACATGATCTAGTCAACGAGAATAATGGCCGGTTCAGATTCGGCCACTTCCACGAAGACGTGTGGAACGTCGGATGCCGACCCGGACTTTGAGGGGCTAGGCAAGCTCAACAGCACGGACATGTCATCCTGAGCAGTTGATCCGACGTGGTACACCTGGCTGCCGAGCAGAATCTTGGTGATTTCCACGTCGAGCTTGTCGAGCTCGTCCTTGGGCGGCGGCCAGAATTCCGGGTGCTCGGGGAAGGAATCGGACTTGAGGCGGAGGAGCTCCCGGGTCATCTTCCGGAGGGCGCTCACGCTGAGCTCGCACTGATTGATGAACGAGGCGGTGCCATGGCGGCCCCAGGAGATGGTCAGCAGCACTGTGGTCTTTTCGCCCAACGTCTGTGATGTCGTCGGCGTTGGCCTGCTGCTCGCGGGTGGCGGCGGCGGAGGTGCTTGGCCGGCGTACGACTTGGGCATGTGCGTCGGGGGGCCAACGGGGAAAACAGGCGATCGCCGTTGACGCATTCCCTGCGGGACAATCCCCTGCGGAGGTTTGTTCTGCTGCTGCTGCTGCTGCTGGTGTCCAAACTGGCTTGGAATGGGTGGCGGCATCGGCATACCCCCCTGTCGAGGGAAGCCCATGCCACCGGGCGTCGGCTTCGTTTGCGTCACCGTGAGCGGCGGCGGTGGGCAGGCACCCGCATTGAAGCCAGGAGTAGGCATAGGAGGGACCTTGTTCGCTGACCATGGCGAGGGGCCAACATGTCGCGAGTGCATAGAGTGCATGTGTGGATTCTGGCGCATCCCGTGTTGTTGCAAAGGCCAGCCTGGTCTAACATCGACATGTGCCCAGGGCTTGGGACCGGGTGGTGACGGCCCATCGATAAGGGAGTCGGAGCCAGAGGATCCCGAGCTCGCCTCGGAGCCGGATTCCCAGCTCGAGCAGACGCTTTCGGTGCTCGCGTCGCTGTCAGACCCCGAGTCGGAGTCGTCATCGAGGTCCCGGAGCCCGTGTCGAGCGCGCGAGCTTCTCGATGTGCGCTTCGAAGACAGCGTCTTCTTGCTGCGGCGCTTCGACGCCGACTTGGCGGCGCCGAAGCCATTGCGCGCGACGTGCTGGTCGACGGCCTGCGCCGACTTCTTGTGCAGCTCCTCGAGCGCGGCCTCGAGCGTCCCGGCCGATCCGCTCAGCACGGAGGCGCGCCGCTTCCCGCCGCCGCGGAGCCGCAGGACGTGGACCGTCCAGAGCGTTCCCGTGGCGTCGAGCTGGGACACGACGTCGAACTCGACGCGCGGCCCCAAGTACGTCTGGCAGTTGCCTGAACGCGAGATTTTTCTTTAGTACAAGACTTTCCAATGCCTGTCTCATGCAATTGGGCGGGCTGTGGCACGTACTCTGTATCAGATCTCGGTATACGGCGCCGGTCTGGGAGCTGCTGGACGGGGCCATTGCTGCGTGTAAGTCGGCGGGCGGGGTGCTGGAGTCTGGGGCCGCAGATGGACGGTACGAAAGTGTCATGGAGCTATGACAAGCAAGAGACGAAAGACGAGGCAGTGAGAATCGATTAATGCGAAGGTGAGGGAAGACGGGAATGCTCTGGGACGAGAGCGGTCTCGGTGTAGCCAGGGGGGGGCCTGCATCGGCGTACTTATACCCACGGCGGCGTCGTTGACGGCGTGCATGCCGCCGGCCCGGCCGCTGCCCCCTCCGGGAAACAACAAACGTTGGTGCTCGCCTGCCTGGCGGCTGTCCCCTCACCCATGTCTGATCGTCGAGCTCTCTGTCGCACCGAATGGTCGTCCTCTTCCCGTCCCACATTCACGATGTGCCGTCAGAGACATGCCACTGCGGCGATGTTGGGAAGAGGGCTAACCCACTATCGCCGCCAAGCTGGAGACCCAGGAAGAAAAGCTCACCAGTCAAGTCGGTAGGGCAACCTTCGCCTTGCCGACCGCAAAACGTGGTAAATTTGGGAGGGAGGGAGGCGGAGGGCTAAACTAACAAGCGAGGAAAGGAAAGCCCACCTTGTCCCTGAACTCCCTGTCCATTACCAACGAGCAAAACGCCTGGGCGACGCCATGGATAACGCGACTAGCCAGCTACTTCGTACAAGAAACACACCATCGACACACCTGCGGCTGCATCACCCCAGACCGCTGGATGAGCTAACTCGTACCAAGCACTCGGTCGGGCTGCCACACGGCAGCGGTTGTAGTAGCAGCAGCAGCAGCAGCACGGCCCGCGGAATGGGCGGAGGGGTGGGAGCGTGCATGCCGGAGGCGAATTCGGTACATCAAGCACATACGTACGGTGTGGAGGGAACGGGCGGTCCGACCGACCGGTGATACCTCACCTTAGGCCCTTTCCTTCCTCCCCTTGCAATGGAGAGGGAAAGGGGCTCTCTCGCTGTGTCACCTCGCAGCACAGATGACGGCTCGTATCGTATCAAAACGCCCACCACCACCCATCTGTGTGTGCGTGCGTGCGTGCGTGCGTGTGTGTGAGTGTGTGCGTCGACGCCACCAGGGTGAGTAAACCGACGGCTTCACGCAAAAAGTGATGGTTGTACGCACTGCCCTGTACTGGGAAGAAGATGCGAGCAGGGTTAAGCAGCCCGCCAAGCATCATCGTCTGGGTTCACGACGCGTGCGCCCCATGCACGCCTCCTTGGGTGTGGGATTGCCGCAGCGAAGAGGCCATGTATGTTGGCACTTGCACGCACGCCATGCACAGCCCAGGCTGGTAGGCAGCGCCAGGCATCATAGACCTGGTCCTCAGATAGTGAGACCTGGTTGTGTTCCTTGAGTCGTCCCCCGTCCCACAAGGGACACCATCACAAAAAAAAGAACATCCAGCCCTCCTCCTCCTCCGTCCTCCTCCTCTCAGCCCTGGAAAACCATCAACCGAGCCGCTTCCTCCTTGTCGACGATGCGAGCCGCCTTTCCTTTCCGCCGCCTGCGAGAGGACCGCCCTCCGTCGCCACGCGCAACGCCAGAACAAGGTGAGCGACCAGCCTCTTCCCCCAAGCAAACACCGCCCGCAGCGACAAACTTTGCCTCTTCCCATCTCATCCACCGCCTCGTGGCCGGGTGAAAGCAAAAAAGACAAACACGCCAACTCTCCAATTGGCTCGCCGCTCTCCTTGACCGCAAGACCCGGCACGGCATGGGGCTGATTGATTGGGTGGGCTGAGCTTGTTCCTGACGGCGACGACAGCCTCACTTTTCATGTGCCGCCCCTCAAGCCCGCATTGGCGCTACCCGGCTTCATTTCGCCGCCGCCGCCGCCTTGTTGCTCGTCCAACCCTTTGCCGACGAGGCCGATCGCCGCCTTCCGCAAAGCAGTGGCTGGCCTGCCTTGTTGATGACTTCACACGGGACTCACTCGACCTCACCTCTACGCCTCACGTCTTGGGACCTGTTGGAGTGTTGTCCATTCCGAGTCCCAATTGGGAATTCGCCAAGTGCTGATCGTGTGCCCTGTGGGCTGAAAATTATTCCAAACCACCTCCTCCAGCCAGGCGTCTGTCTGCCCTGGTCGAATCGTGTTTCGTACATCGTACACCAAGCCCTCCGACTCTTACATGTTGGCCTGCAGTCGCTCCAGTCGCGCCGTCACGGCCTCCACCAGGGCCGTCTCCCGAGACAGTAAGCCTTGCACCTGCTGGAGCTTGCTGCGCCGGATGTCCTGTGGGATCCGCAGCTCGCTGGCCGACGTCACCTCCTCCACGTCCCCGAACCTCCGTAGAGACTCCACCTCTCCGACTAGCTCCCCCTGCAGGCGCTTCACCTCCTCCAGTCGCTTCCACAGTTGCTTCGAGCGTTGCCTCGCCTCAGCTTCCTCGCCTCCCGTGGGGCGAGATACGCTGGCCTCCACCGTTCTCACTTCCTCCACAAAGGCTCGCTCCTTCGTGCTGAGGTCCCTCGTCGTCGCTTTGCCTACGACCTTGCGCAGGTTCTCCACTCGCTCCGTGAGCCTCTCCTGCCGCTCCTTTGCCTCGGAAATGCGTCGCTCGTACATGGCGTTGTCCGCCTCGTTGTTATCGCGGCTGGCCCCGCTGATGGCATCGATCTTGCCCTTGACCTCGTTTGCCTTGCTGACCTGTTGCCGTAGCTCCGACTGGAGCAGCTCGCACCGCCGGAACACCTCCGCAGCCGCCAGCCCGAGCTTGTACGTCTCGTCGCTCAACACCTTGTGCGCGTCCGTGAAGAGCTGCAGTGTGAGTGGGCTAAGCTTCACCTCCTGGTTGACCAGCGTCTTGTGCCTGGAACTCCGCAAGCGCTCGAGAAAGACGGGCAAAGACGAGCCTTCGTCGAATGCGTACGGCGGGTTAAAGACAGGCCGCGGTTCGTAAAAGTCCAGCGGCGCCATGCTCGCCTCGCGCTCCCGTACTGGGCTCTCGGAACGAATGGGTGCGAGATCGATATCAGGCGTCTCAAAGGTGAGTGCGATCGGATCGTGCGGTGTCGCGGACAGCAAAAAGTAGCCTAGGTCCGGGTCGCGGATAGCCACGGCCGCAGCCAGGGGGACGGCAATGTCGGCCGTCGGCTGCGCAAATATTCTGTCTCTAGCAGACTGCGAGTTCACCAACAAGCCGATCCTGAAGTCTGTGCCAGCCTCATGGTCACCAAGCAGCTCACCTTCTAGGCGAAAGACCCACGATGTGAGTGAGACAAACGTAATTGCAGCCTGATGCGTGACGAAGAAGTTGTAGCGGGACATGACGTCGGTGCTGAACAGGGGCCAGCTCTCTTCCGTGATCTCGACTGGACTCATCGTATCGATGGCCTGGAAAGTAAGTAGCGATGGCTGGTCCAGCGCCGCTGGCACCCGTATCGCTTTGGACTTGCTTCTAGGCGGCAGCCATTGGGCCTGCACCCCTTCGAGGTCCAGGTAGACTCTGACCTGGCCGCTGGTGGATAACAGGCAGATGACAGCCAGAGATAGGCCCTCCTGGTCGCCATCCATGTCCAACTCCTCATCCTCGCCCATCATCAGATCATCCGTCTCAGTCTTCTTGCCAATGACTAAGATGTCGGTAATTGTCGTGTCGAGATCATCATTTGAGTCCGGATTGCTGTCGAGATAAAACGGGCCTTGCAGCCTTGGGATTGCACCAGGGTGAGACGGTCTGGTAAACACCTCAACCGGAGGTTCACCAGGGAGTCCTTCGATAACCTGGGGTTCCTGTGAGTCCAGTTCGCCCATCCACTGCATCTGCTGCTGAGCCAGGAGTCGCTCATTGTCGTCGATGGCGGGGTCATCCTCGATGCTCGCCACTGTGGTGACAATCGACACGGATAGAGACGGTATCAGCGTAGGGGGTGGTGCCCAGCGTTGAGGCAGCAAGGGGCACAACGCATACACGTCTCCTTCCCGCATGGCCACCCAGAGGGTCATGGGATTCCAGCCGCCCGAACCCTTAGTTGCAAAGGCGGCAGCAGCCACTTCCATCTCGAAGCTGTCAGGAGAGAAGCCCTTGTTGGTGGTCGTCGTTGACGCAGCAAAGTCCTGGTCTAGCGTGGTGCCGTCGGCGAGCTTCTTGAGGTCCACTGAAGTAGCGGGAGTGTCGAACGACCAGCGGTTCTCGGGAGACAGCTCCCAGAGGCGGACAATTGCGTCCGTAGTGACCGTGACTATGCAGGAGCCATTAACTCCCAGCGGATGCCACAGCGCAGACGCAATGGGCGATCGAGAAGTGACGTGCGTTGTAGGACCAAGGGTGAAGATCTTGGGGCGCATTGGGCCCGTGTCCTCGCTCGTGAGATGTGAAGAATCCGGCAGGACGCATATGTGAACGGTGTGTGTCGTGAGAATAGCAAGGTAGTTTGAGTTGGGCGAGATGATGAGCTGACGGATGTCATCTGCCACGGGCGTTTTCAGGACCTGAAGGGCACACGTTAGCAGTCGCGTCCAAGCACAACATCATTGGGACCACTCACCCGAAGTCCTGGCGCGGCCGCAATGTCGCCGTCACCGTCGATGGAGTGATACGAGTCCTCCCTCTTGATGCGGACGGTCGAGCCGGAGCGCGCCCTCGACTGGAGCTTGCTCGCCCACTCATCCTTGAGGTAGACGAGGTCGCCCCAGCGGATCTCCCTGCCCACGGCGACAAAGACCTCGGTGCCGCGTCGCGCAATGGTCCTCCGCGGCCCCAGAACGGGCTTCTTCTTGGACGAGTACGCCGGCGACAGCGCCCGCGATCGAATCGACTCGGCCGACGGCTCAAACAGCTGGTGGCCCGTGGCGCTGCCCGACAGCCAGGCCGCCGAGTAGTGCTTGACCTTGGGCATTCTGCGGGCGCGCACTGGGGCGAGTACGAGGGAAGGATTCGGTAGCGACGACCCGTGGCCAGCTTCTCGCGGCGGGAAAGGGGGCGGGAGAGAAGCGCTCGTGGTGGTGTTGTGTTGTGTTGTGAGGTTGCAAAGCTGCGACTTGGTAGGTAGGCAAAAAATGTAGGCAGTAAGGCAGGCCAATGTGCAGCGGCATGGATTGGAGGTGGATGCTGCGGGAAGCACCCGCACCAGGCTGGGCTGGCAAAAGCGCGGCTGGGCTGAGCTGGATCGATTGCTAGCGCGCGTGCGCCGCTGTACGTGGTGCAGCAGCTGCTCCACACCAGCCCGCCAGCCAACGACAGCCTTTCCACTCACATCTCCAATTGCACCACCTAGCCTGTGCAGCATCTTTCTTTCACTGTTGGGAACGCGATCCACCTCTCCGACTTCGAGGCACGTCGGTGTTGCTCATTCAACCCTTTCCGGCTATAGGGGAGGCAGTCTCCTTCATTCGAAGCCTTAGACGAGCATCAAGAACCCCGTCGCTGTCGCCAACGACACACATTCAAGATGCGCCCTGGAGCTCCCAGAAGCACAGTCGACCGCCTCGACCGGCCGAGCGCCTACTACCAGAGCAGGGTGCGTCGCGCAAACCCCTATCACAAACCCCTACCGCTTTTGAAGCTCACAGCAGTCCAGAACAAGCGCCGGCGTGACCGCGACGATGACCACGAGGCGCCGCCAGAGCCCGCCGTCGATCCCCTCGCCAATGCCACGACGCTCTACGTCGGCAACCTGTAATGCCTCCCCAACCCGCTCGAGTCCGTTCCTAACATGCTCACGCTCACACACGCGCGCTCCAGATCCTTCTTCACCTCGGAAGAGCAAATCTACGAGCTCTTCTCCAAGTGCGGCGAGATCAAGCGCCTCGTCATGGGCCTCGACCGCTTCCAAAAGACGCCCTGCGGCTTCTGTTTCGTCGAGTACTACACGCATCAGGACGCCCTCGACTGCATGAAGTACATTGGAGGCACCAAGCTCGACGAGCGCATCATCCGCACCGATCTGGACCCGGGCTTCGAGGAGGGCCGCCAGTACGGCCGCGGCAAGTCGGGCGGCCAGGTGCGCGACGAGTATCGCGAGGACTACGACGAGGGCCGCGGTGGCGTGGGCAGGGCCATCCAGGCGGAGCGGTTGAGGGACTATGATGAGGAGGGTCGTTACATGCGATAGATCTTGGGCACGCGTCGTTTGGCCCGAGAGATTTGATTTAGATACCCTCAATGGAGACGATGAAAGAATCTCGTCAATGTTGGAATGATGTGTCGATGCTGAATGTGCCGGCCATTGCGCCAGAGTCTAGTGTTACAGTCGCTCCCTTGTCCGTCATATATCCCAAGACTCAAATGCCTTGTAACTCTTCCGCGGCGGCCCCCGCCAATATTGTACAGCCGAGGCTATTGCAGTCTTGGCCTCGCAGTTGCTCGATGGTATAGCCCCGTCGCCCAAGTCGTAAAACTCCTCGCCATCCATCCGTCCACTAATAACCCGGCGGGTTAACCCTCTGCGAAACTCTCGTCCACTTTGGCAGTTCTAGAGGATCACGTTAGCATCCGTCTCTGCACTGCATCTTCATCTCTGTCGTCGTCTCTGTCGTCGGGCAGAAGTAGGGGGCAAGGCAAAACGTACTGTGAATGCCCTTGCGATACTTCTTGGCCTTGCGGTCAAACATGGTGTACTTGTCCCGCGGCAGCATCTCCGCCTCGGTCGGCATCTCGGCCTTCCACCGCTCCAGCGCCTCGAGCGTCTGCCCCTTCTTGGCCAGCGCGGCGTCGAGCGTCGCGACTACGCTATCGACGGCCCGGAGGCGCAGCCGGTGCCGCCGCTTCTGGAACCGCGACAGCCGCCAGGGGATCTTCCACAGCAGGCCGCCCGAGAGCGGGTTCGTGATGCGGAACGGGCCAAACATGGTCGGTCGGTCGGTGGTCGTGGTCGTGCGCGGGAGATGGGGGGCACGTTTGCGCGGCAGGTGTTGCGTGCTTGACGGCCGGAGGGGAGGAGTCTCGCTCGCGCTGGGACGACGTCGACTTTTTTGGAGTCGCGGATTGAATGACTTGACTGGCCGGGGGGCGGCGCCGCCGGGGAGCAAGGTGGACCGGAATAACTATTGCGACTCCCGGCGGCCGCCTCGCATTAGCGGGGTCCCGTCCTCAACGCCTCCCGCCGTGGCCACTGGTACCACCACTGGGGCCACAGTCCGTCCAACCACCAGGAGCTCCCATCTCTTCAGTTGCTCGCAATCCAGCCCTCCAGACCGCCAACCACCACGCTGCCGCTCGTTGACCGCCCTACCGCCCGTCGAACACACAAGGAGGAACGGCAACCGAAAATCGGGCTGCGCGGATGCGCGCCTTCTCACCACCGCAACGATGAGCTACTACTTCGCCATCGTCGGCACCCAGGACAACCCGCTGTTCGAGTACGAGTTCGGCACGTCTAAGCAAGGCGGCGATGGCCAGTCGCGCTTCACCGAGCAGCTGCGCCACCTGAACCAGTTCATCCTGCATTCGAGCCTCGACATTGCCGAGGAACTGCAATGGGGGCAGGGCCAGATGTGAGTCTCGCCCCTATCGTTGTGCGCAATCGCAGTGCCGGCTGGTCAACTGGTCGTGGCCAGCCGAGGAAAGGCGCGTCGCTGACAAGGCAGCAGGTACCTCAAGTGCATCGACAAGTTCTTCAACAACTACATATCATGTTTCGTCACGGGCGCCAACGTCAAGTTCCTCCTCCTTCACCAGCCGACCGTCCCCTCGCCGGGGAGCTCCTCGCGGTCGTCCACGGCCATCGGCGCCAACCCTACCAGCCCGGCGACCGAGGAGGCCATCAAGATGTTCTTTACCGAGGTGTACGAGAATTGGGTCAAGGCCGTCATGAGCCCCTTTTACAAGGCGAATTCGGAAGTGAGGAGTCCGGTGTTCAGGGCGCGCGTCGCGGCGGCTGGGCGCAAGTATCTGTGAGGGGCGGAGGTAATAACGCACCATGAGCAGCTCGCGCTTGGCGACTGCTTCAAGCCTGTACTCTATTTACGATGTTATGATACCACCATGTTTCATACGCTTGCCTGGTCTGCTTGCACGGCGTCATCGTATGGACGCGACAGCACGAGCACGCACTCGTGTCAGTCCTTTGACACGACAGTTTATTGTCTCCAAGATAAAGACATGCCAGTACACTTGGGTCAAGGGAATCACAGCCACATGCATTCATTTCTCAGTTCATGTTTATGTGATGGTATTCATTTCCTTGTAAAAGGGACGTCTCCTTGACGCCTTGTCCTCGGGTGTCCCAGTTCCGTAACGCCGTGATGAATCAATGTAACAAAGACCAAGCCATCCCCACTCCGCGTGCCCCGCGCGAGCAGCGACACTGTATATGCACAAACATTCGGAGCAGTTGCTTAACCACCGAAACCGTACAGGGTGCGGCCCTGGCGCTTGAGAGCGTAGACGACGTCGAGGGAGGTGACGGTCTTGCGCTTGGCGTGCTCGGTGTAGGTGACGGCGTCACGGATGACACCCTCGAGGAAGGTCTTGAGAACACCGCGGGTCTCCTCGTAGATCACTAGAGAGGCGGCGGGTTAGCCAAATGTCGTTGATGTTGAGTGGTAATATTGTCAAGTGAGAACTTACTGGCAGAGATACGCTTGACACCGCCACGACGAGCGAGACGTCGGATAGCGGGCTTCGTGATACCCTGGATGTTGTCACGAAGAATCTTGCGGTGACGCTTGGCACCGCCCTTGCCGAGGCCCTTGCCGCCCTTGCCACCTATCGAAGCCACGTTAGCATCATTGCATCTTTTGACTTCCAAACGCGTGTGCCCCTCCGGCGTCGGAAGGGTTCCCGTTTTCCATCAAACGGCGACGCGACGCCATCGACGACACAACGCGATCCCAAAAAAGGAGAATAAATACTTACGTCCAGTCATGTTGATGAGTGTTTAAAAAAAGAAGTGATCACGAAAGTAAATCGAGATGCGTCGCGTCGAAAGAGGCGCGTTGAGATGTGATGACGTTGTTGTGCGAAGAGGCGTGCGAGAGTGGTGTGCAGGAAGAGAGAAGGGGGGAGGGAAGAAGGAGAGGCGAGCAGAAAGGGCCAGCAGAAGCGGGGGCTCCGGGGGTCCTTGATTAAATACGCGCACGCAATCAGTAACGCGGTCCTTTGGCGGGCTATGCCTGTTTTGGGGTGGGGGGCGTGGACGAAAAAAAGGGTCGCAGGAGGGAAAATGGGCGCGGAAAAAAATGGTGTGTACCTGTCTCTTATACACATCTAGATGTGTATAAGAGACAGGGACTTGGAAGGGGGGCCACCTTGCCTGGATGCCTGGGGAGGGGCAGCAGCAGCTTCCTGGGAAGCCGGGAGCTGCTGGGCTGGCCGAATCACGGGGGGAATGGTCAGAGTCCCAAGCTGGCCTGGCTGGGCATGGCGCGCCTGGCCAGGCTCCACAGCGCATCCGTGCCTCCCACCGGGACCTGCGCAGGCGGGAACGGCGCGTGCTTCCTGCCTGCAGCTGGTGTGGAGTCCACTTGGAGGCTGACGGCGCGCCCAGGCGGCCAATCAACGCGTCGCATGCACCTCCTCCAAACGGGCAGAGCGCAACTTGCCTCCGTCATCATCGCGAAGTCGGAAGCACACCGAGGCGAGGAGTGTCTGTCGACGACCAGGTCGTTCGGTGTGTGGCGTCGCATGCTTTGTTGCAGCATAGCACACGTCCGCTCCGGCTGTTCCTTATTCCAAACGACCTAACCTCTTTGACCTATGCGCACGTACACACTTGCGTCCCATGCGCCAGGCGCCGACCCAAGGAACCGGCATACAACTCTTGAACTACGAACGACCGCACCGCCTAGTAGTCAGGAACACGGAACTGCTGGCGGTAAGACACTTGTTGCGACGTATTCTACCCAACTACTTATACACAAGCCCCGCTCTCAACCACCAGGGCCATCCGTCGCAGCACAAGTCCGCCTCAGAAACCAACGCCGATGCCATGCAGCATGCCCGTCAGGTCTTGCTACCCGACCTCTGCCCTCGTCATGTTCCCGATTAATGCGCAAATGCTGTACGAAGTATGCGCCGCAAGTGCGGCAAGCAGTCCAGACGCCTGTGTCCCAGCGCCTGCCCGTCATCATCTCATCCCATCAATGAGTCGTCCATCGGTATGTCGTCCTCGAAGCTCTCGATTGCTTCCTTAATCTTGGGCGCCGCCTGTCATCATCCGTTAGCGCGTTCAATCACACGTGTCTACCTTGTGTGGCCTGCACATACCTTTGGGTCAAGAGACAAAGCAATGGTAAAGTGGCGCACCGAGAGCTGCTTCTCGCCCGTGTTCTTGTACAGCGTCCCAAGCAAGAAGTGCACTGTCGCCTCCTCAGGCGCCAGATCCTTTAGGATCATGAGCTCCCGCTGAGCAGACTCGATCTGGCCCACCGTAAGGAGAGCCCTGGCCTTCTTGTACCTGGTCTGAGCTGCGCGCGGTGCAAGCTCCGCTGCCTTTGTGTAGGCGTTTAGCGCCTGCACCATCTGCTTCTGCTTCTCCAGAACCGTGCCCATGCAGCAGATCAAGACTGCATTGTTGGGATTGATGACCTGTGCTGCGTAAAAGTGGTCGTACGCTTTGTCGTACGCCCCAAGGCGCTCTTGGACACGCCCGATGCCGTAATATGCGTTGTAGTGCCGCCTGTCTGCGGCGATGGCCTGTCGGTAGGCCGTCAGGGCCTTCTCATACTCTTCGTTGCTCACGTGTTCATGCCCCTGCAGCGTGAAGGCATACGCAAAGTTCGGATCCAGTTGCGTGGCCCGCTTGAAGCATTTGAGGGCTTGCTCGGGGTCTCTAGACAGGGACCAGGCGTTTCCCAAGGCGCACCATGCCTGAGGTGAGTGCCAGGCGGCGTCCACCAGCTCGTGAGCCAGGAAGGAGAGGTCTGTCTCCCGTTTGAGGTGCCACAGGATCGTCGAGTACACCTCCATGTCCTGCAGGCGAGAAGGAGCCTGGACGCGCAACCTCCTGAAGAACTTTTCGGCTTCCGCGTATGAAGCTTGTTCGTAGTGGGCTCGGCCCATTTGGGCCAATACCCAAGGTGTCGCTTGATGTGCTGGTGGCAGCGCACTCAAAGCCTGCAACGACTCCTGGCACTGGAATCGCGACAAGGTGTAATACCCGTTTGCGAGCTTCTTGACGAGATCCAGCGTCCACTTCAGGGCCTCCTCAACCTTGGCTGCATCCGGCTCAGGCGGCCTCGTCATGGCGGGTTGCGAGGCCTCCTTGACTCTCGATGTCTCTCCATGGTCGACATCCCCGTGGTCCTCCAGAGGCTTCCGGTTACCGCTAACAACCCGGCCGACACTAGAACCACTGGAGCCTGGCCGCATTATCCGCGAGACCGGGGGCCTAGCCTTTTTCAGTTCGCGTCCTTGGGTTGTCCCCAACGTCGTCGCTCCTCCTGTGTTTGCCTTGGTAGATGACTTGAACATGTTCAACCGAGCGCTCCGCCGGGCAGCTGGTTCTTCTGTGTTAGTGGATCGGGCGACAGGGTGCCCAGACAGCGTTCGTTTCCTATCGGCTGTGTTCACGGCACCAGACCGCATGGCGGTCGTCGGCACATTGGGGGCGTCCGACATGAGTTCCACGGCCGGTTCCTGGCTCCTGTCTTGTGTCCGAACGCCTCGCTTCGCCGTGCCGAGCCGATAGTTCATCCGCGGCGGAGCCTCCATGCCAGTGTCGATTCCTTGAGCGTTGCGTGTCCGCCGAGCTGGCGCCTGTGGCGGTTCTTGCGAATACGCAGAGCGAGTTGTAGCGACGTCAGTCGAGGTCGGACCCGTAGGGGTTTCCATACCATCCATAATGGACTGGCTATTCGACGACACTCCGAGCCTCAGCCTGGCGTTCTGAATCTTGGACATGAAGTCATCTCCCGGTTCGGTGAACATGTCAACCGTAGGGCTCTGCGATTCCGTGCTCGGAAAGTTAACGTGGAAAGGGTCGACCATATCCGATGCAGCGTTTCGCAGCGCGGATCGTTTTGATAACGGATCCTGGTGACTTGAGGCGAGATTTTCCCTGCTGTCCGCAGTCGCGGCGTTCCCGTCCAGTTCGAAGCTGTGCAGTAGGGTGTCGTTTGCCTTGAAGATATTTGGCACGCGAACATTGATTCCCATGTCGCAAAGTGCCGTGAATGCATCCCACATGAAGGGATTCTTTTTCAGTGCCTCCTCGAAGCAGCTGATAGCCTTCTTCTTGTCTCCGTAGCCGCGATGCAGCTTGCCCAACAGGTTCAGCACCGCGGGAACATCAGGGGCCCCCGTGCGGACCGTAGAAGAGTGCTTGCCGATGCTGCATTTCTGCGACCACAGTCCCCGCGACTTCTCCAGCGCCACGATGCCGTCCTTGTATCGCTCGAGAGCCAGACAAGCCTGAGCAAAGACCCAAGCACAGTTGAGGTTGAGGCCCCGGTAACCCAAGGGCTTGCCGACGTCGTAAGCGGAACGGTAGTCGCCCACCCGGAGATGGCACAGGGCATAGAGATATGTTGCCTCGCCCGACTTTGGATCTTGGGCGGCGAGTCGCTCGGAGAAGAAGAGGGCGTTGTCGTAGGCAGCATTGTCCAGGTGGTAGTGTATTACCTGGCGGAGGAGGCCACCAACGGCGGCCGGGTTGGGCGCCATGCTGAGCAGGGCGAGGCCAGCCGGGCGAGTGGTGTTCCGAGCTGATGGATGGAGCGCTTAGCTGCGTGAGTCTGCCATGGGATCCGTCGACGCGGAGCAGACTTTTGCTGTTGTTTGCGGCTCGTTATCCAGTAGGTGTACGTATCCGACTTTCGCATGTAGCGGGTGCCAGCAATCGGTATCGTCGTGTCGGTGAGGATTCGTCGTGGAGGTCGGAGTCGTGTCGAGGGCTGGTCGTGCCAGAACGGAGTTTGTCGCTGCGTGACGTCGACTGAGCTCACGATCCGGTGAGAATTTCGTAATACCCAAGAGCCCGTCACAGCAGTTCGCACAGCAGCTGTACGGCTCTTCACAGAAGTTGGGAGAAGAAAAGGCAGACGTCCTTCAAGTCTGCCGGGCCGTGATCGTGAACGCTTGCACGTCTGTGGGTCCGCGTGAGGCAGCCTGGACGGTTGCGGCGGGAGGGCCCAAAGCAAGGGAGACGGGGTGCTGCTCGCGGGAGACGGCAAAAAAAACAAGAGAGGTCTCACCGCAGAGCGCCCGGCTGTCGTGGCGTCGGCTCTGCACGAAGCGAAAGGGCAGCTCCGCGACGGCCTCGGGCGAGCAAAAGGGCGAGGGCTTGTCGGTGTCGACGGGACGTTGTCGTGGTGTTTGGGGAAGAGGCGGGAAGCACGCAAGAGCAGCAGCCAGCAGCAGCAACCTGCACCAGCGCCCAGCGCTCAGCGCCCATTTTCCAGCGCCCAGCCTCAGCCGGGGGAGGCGCGCAGTTGTTGTTCCTCCCGGGCTCCTGATTGGCCGGGCCGCACCCGTTCGCCGCCTGTCTTTGCCCAGCAACCTGCGCAAACAGTGGGGTCTCCCAGCGATGGAAGAGGGGTGGCGCTTGGGAGCCACGCTGCATGCCCTGCCATCCAGCCAACCACCCGCTGGGCGGTTCACGCCAACCTCCCGTTTCCACGCCCACGTCAAGTGCAAGGAGCTGGAGCCCTGTCAGCCCACCCATCCACCACCACCACCACCTCAGCTCCCAACCGTGGGCCACCTCCAAGGTGTCATCATCGCTGCGCTCACGACCTGCAACCTCCTCCACGTTCCACGTGAAAGGCCCCCGAACATCCTCGTCGACGCCTCCCCCAGCCTCGCCCGCTCATCCGCTCAGACATTGATCCATTCCCGTCACACCGCAGCCGAACCACCACCAGCCCGCAGCGGCCCGCAACAGCCCACCATGGCGCAAAAGGCGAAGAAGGACCTCGCCAAGAACAACGCCGCCGCCCTCAACGGCCTGCATCTCACGGGCCTCGTCGTCAACACCATCTTCCTGGTGTGGCACTTCCTCGTCGCCCCGCGCTCGCTGGTCGCCTACGGCCTCTTCTCCACCCCGGCCTTCATCTGCGAGTACGTGCTCGAGGCCTCGGGCCGACCCAAGTATGACCCGGCAACCAAGGCGCTGCGCAGCTCCGGCGAGGACATGGGCGCGCGCGGCCTGACGGAGTACATGTTCGACGTCATCTGGGTCACCTGGGCCTGCGCCGTCGTGGTCATGTTCGCGGGCAACTGGGGGTGGTTTCTGTGGTCGGTGATTCCCGCGTACGGCATCTACCTCGGCTCCGGGCTCCTGGGCATGGGCCGCCAGAAGATGGCCGAGATGCAGGGCGCCGGGGCTCCGGGTCAGGGCGCGGCACCTCAGGGGAACCGCCGTTCGAGGAGGACCGCATAAGCATTCCGTCTATCCTGAGCGTCTAGATTCTATTCTACGCTTGCCAGCGAGAGACTACCTCGTCTACGTGCTGCGCTTCGGCCGCTCCCCCGACCACCGCTCCAGAGTGTCGTCGTCGACGTCGCGAACCAGCACGTGGATGTGCTCCAACGACCGCACGCTCTGGAGCGCAACCCAGTTCTTGAACCACAGCACTTGCTTGTCGCCTCCCGGCCCAAGCGTGTCGACAAAGTACCTCTTGACAAAGTCGCCAACCAGTCTCCTGCTCTCGGGCGTCATGTCGCCCGTGTCCCCATCGGTGGGGATGAGCGTTCGCGACCACACGACAATGTGCGTGATGTTGGGCTCCAGTCCATACGGCCAGTCGTTGAGGAGGACCTTGTAGTCGGAAGAGTCCTCGAACGGGATGGTGGACGAGGGAGTGAAGGGCGGTTGACCCCAGCTGTTGGGAAGGCGATGGGTGAGTATGTAGTTGGTCATGGAGCCGTATGCGGCTTTGGTCTCGGCCGTCCACTTCATGTACCGGCGGAGGTCCGAGGGCTTGCGCTTGAGAATAGACAGGTTGTTGGACTCTACACATGCACGAATTAACGCTGTGCGACGTGACTTTGGTGTTCCAGGTGATTCTCACCTATAATCTGCCTCAGATCTTCCCAGTCGTGCAACTTGAACTCCTCGTCCGTCTGTGAAAGAATCCATTTGTCCACGGCCGTAAGCGGGAACGGCGACTCCCCTGAGCCGTTGGGCTCACGGTCCACGTCGTCGCCCATGATGCGTGATGCTCTAGATGTGAAGGGAGCCAAGCGGCGGTGAGTTACGGCCTGCGTCCGAATAGAGCAACAGATGCTGGGAGACTTGTTCATATATTCAAAGCTGTTGCCGGCGCGGTTCTCGATTCGTGAACAGAGATGATGAGTCTCACGCCGAGACACCGCAACGCGGGCGGTAGATGGCACCACGTTAGTTCGCGCATACGGCTCGACCACACGCGGTGACATTAGGTAAGGCGCCGGAACACGAGGGCCGAACCGCAGGCGACTAGGCGCAGGCGCCGCCGATGCGCCTACCCTGAGGCAGCGGGCCCCCATAGGCATGGCTTCATAGCGTCGCTGCGAACGCGCGCTTACTTGTCTTGCGCCTCAAAGGCTCGTGAACTAGCTTTGCTGGATCCTTGTGTCTCATCCACGCTGTTTTTGCGCTCATGTTGGCAAGTCGTGGCGTCGTGACGTGAGCGTAGACGTGGAGTGTGACAAGTGATGTTGGGGCAGTGTCCTCGTTGCAAGACGTCACCAGTGTTGCCGCAGGCGCCGAATCGAGTAAGCCCGCCTCGTGCCACCACCACCACCACCACCTTATAACAACCTCACCAACAGCTGGGGGAGCTCATCAGCTCTTTCTCTCTAGCCATTGCCGACCTCATATTGCACCGGTGCATCTCACCCTCACTTATCCCGTAGATTACCACATTTTACGTTCGTTCACCTCATGAATATCTGACTTCATCGCACGCTGGGTCGGTCGCCTACCTGGCCGAGACAAGCATCACCATGATCCTCGGCCCAGTCTCCCTCATAGACTGCCTCGCCTTCTGCATCTTCCTGACGCCGCAGCTGATATGGCACGTCGGCTTCTTCCGAACTACCTTTGCGGTGCTGCCCATGCTCCCCTTTCTCCGTAAGTACACGCGCCAAGACAAAGGCGTTCTTCGCCGCGATGCACCTCCCGGCGAACCCTTGCTTACATCGAGGCTTCCTGCGATTAGTTATCGAGCTGCCGTATCGCTTCATTAGGGATCGGTACTGGGCATCCTCGGCCGACAGTCCATCGTTTGTTCAGCGCTCCACGGTTTTTGAGGACGTCGTCGTGCGATGCGTGCGGTACGCGTTCAAGAACCTGGCCGCCAGCATAGGCAAGACATTCTTCTCCAGGAATGTCGCCTTGCCGTTCTTGCGCTGGCGCGCGTTGAGGCACGGATACCTGAAATGGCCTGTGTACTGGCGGGAGCAAATCATCGGAAAGGCATAGTTGCCCCAGCTGCAATGCGCCGCGAGAGGGTGGGTGTACTAACGACTCAAGCAGGGCCCCAAGGCCATCAAAGGCGTATGGATAATGCATGACCCCAAACAGGCTCCTGACTTTGTCGTCTATTACGTTCATGGTGAGGGCCTGACCTTTGTCACTCGGACGTCCTGGTCGTATCGCTGACTCGCATGCAGGAGGTGGCTTTGCGCTCGGGTCTTGCTACTTTTATCTTGAATTTCTCATGGCGTGGCATCACCTCCTCGTAGATGACGGGTTCAGGAATCCCGCCATATTCGCGCTCGACTACACATTGGTTCCGGATGACATCTATCCGACACAGCTGCTGCAGACACTGGAGGGTTACAGCCATGCACTGAGCATGGTCAAGGACCCATCAAAGCTTTGTGTTGCCGGCGACTCGGCTGGGGGGACCCTCGTCCTCAGCCTTCTGCAAGAGCTGGGAGCCCGCGCAACTGGCAATCGGAGCAAGGGGGCGAAGCTTGGAGTCAACGGCGGGTTGCCGGAGTCGTCACTTCCTGCCCCTCTGGTCGCTGTGCTGATATCGCCGTGGGTTACGCTCATGTCATACCGCCACTATCCGTCAAACGTGGACTTCCTAGACAGGCGCACACTCTGGAAATACGCACACGAGTACGCTGGTCGTGCAATGCTCAACCAGGCACCGGCTTCTCCCGGGTCATGCAACGACGAGGAGCTGTGGCTCCGCGCGAGCCCACAACGAGGATACTTTGTGGTCTACGGGAGCGAGGAGGTGTTTGCACCAGACGCCGAAGATTTCCTAGAGCTGCAAGCCAGGCTAGGCATCGAAGTGGATGGTCTGCGGTTTGACGGCGGGATCCATGCCTGGCCGGTGGTGTCGCTCTTCCTGTCTAGCACAGCTGACAGGCGGCTCGAAGGATTGCGGTCTATCGTGTCCCAGATCAGCAAACGTGTGCGACAGCCGCAGGCAAACAACGAGAAAAATGGTGTAGTGAGGACTCTCAGATTAGATCAAGTAGACAGTCATAGACAGGCCAGATAAGGTAGACGCGGGTCTGGAACCAGAGCCCGGAGACTCGGTTCCGTCGCCGCCCGGCCAGCTCAGCGGTTTAAGCTCGTGCTTGTGTCATCAAAGGTCGTGAAGCGCCTTGTTGGAAGGCGGGTCGGGGAGGACCGAGGCGTCATGAGCCCCGGTCAGAGGGCGGGCAACTCACGATGTGGCAGGCAAGCGCACGGCGGTGAACGGGAAACGCCTCCGGCGCGCGCGTTTGCCCGCGACGCGCGGCATCGGCGTGCTACGGTGGCACGAACGAGGTCCGTGAGACTCGGAAGCGAGGAGCGAACATGAAGCAGTTCGGTGGTGGCCGGTGTCGCAGGTGAGTCGGGCACGACGACGTGGTGGCAGGTGACTGTGACCCTGCTTGCCTGCTTTGCAAGCCTGAGGTTGGGCCGGCCGCCATGGAGCCACCTCAGCTCGCTGTGGCATGTCAGGTATGCAGTCGCCATGCAGGCACCCAACTCTGGGACACAGGCACAGGACCCGTCGTCGTCAGACAGGCAACAGCCTGAGCGTGACAATGTTGGCCCTGCCCTGGTGGCTGCGGCTGAATGAAACATGGGGGCGCCTGTCCTCACGCCGCGAACTGGACGGGACGAGCAGCCCCCAGTTGCAGCGGCAGCGGCAGTGAGCGCCGGCTGGCCCCTGCAAGAGCGCGCCGGGCCGTTGTACGCACGTACGTGCGTTCGAGTGCATGCATCGTCGCGTCGAGTTCGATTCGGGGACGCCCGAGAAGACGCGGCGCAGGAACTCGTACGGTCCTGGTGCCAGTTCCAGGGGCGGGAGCGAAAAAATGAGGCGGCCGGGTCGGTCGTGGGACGGCGGCGGTGGAGACGCGATGGAAGTCAAGATTGAGACGGCCTGGCAGAAGCGGCGGCGCAGAGAAGTGAAGATGCACGAGACGCTTACCAGATTCGGCAGTCGAGCACCCCCCAAGCCCGGCGTCCACCCCTCCATCCCCCCTCCTCCTTCTCTCCACCCTCCCTCTGGAACCCCGAAAAACGAGGCGCCCCCAGCCCGCCCAAGGGCCGACGGGGGGCTTCGCTGGAGCACCGAGGAGCCCTCCCAGCCTGTCGTCGAGCCCCCGTTCCGGAGCGCCGCCCGCTGCAAGCCCCCGCGATGCGCATATAAACGGCCGGCATTCCCTCTGGCCCAGCCCGCCCGCCGCTCCTGTGCTGGCCCAGCAGCCCGGCGCGCATCATCCGCGGTGGTGCACCAGACCAACCAAGCTCCGGCTCAAGCTCCCAGCTCAGCTCCAGCACGCCTGTGTCCTTGCCGTTCCCGTTCCGCCTGACATCATCGCCGCACATGCTCTGATTGGACTTGCCCGTCGTCTTGTATCAACGGGCTGACGTCCAATCCGGCGCCACCTCGTACCTCCCTCGTCACCTCCGGCTACCCGGAGTATTACTTGCACGGCAGGCTCCATCCCGTCGCCGCCTGGGTCTTGAACACACGCCCCCGTCCGGCCCCATTCCCTGCGCATCCTTCCCCCTGCATCTCCGTTTCGGCCTCTTCAACACCGGAGGGTGGTGCCCGTGGCCTTGCATCGCGTCGTCGCCTCGCGTCGCATCAGCTCGCTTTCCGTGTCATCGCATCACATCGCATCGCAGCGCGGCGCATTGCGTCACATCGCGTCGCCTTCATCGCGAACCTGCTCGCTGCGAACAGCAGGTCCAGGACCAGGATTGAACCTGGCGACGCGAAGCCAACCTTGAACGCCGAGCACGAGGAGCCAGTCAGTTATCTCGCTGCCGGTCGTCTCAGCTGTCCGCCTACGAGCACCGGCCCGGCTCGTCGTCGCCACCAAACTCCAACGGCCTCGGCGACGCAGGCAACAGCCACTGTCGCCAGGCTTGCTGTAGCCCGGCCAAGTGACACAAAAGTGAGCCACTTACACGCCGTCCCCCGTGCCCGGCCTGGTGGAGCGTCACGGCAGCGGCCACAATCGCAACCAGGGTTAGGTTGGGCGGACTGTCGGTACACTGTCGGCTCGGGTGTTTGCTGGCCCCGCCTCTCTGCGCCAGCGCGTCACCGTCGTTACCACCCCAGGGCAGCACCTAATTAGCAAGCACCACCACCTGGGACGAGCCGCCTGACCAGAAGCACCTGGAAAGCCAGAGGACAGCCAGCTTTGTCGCCGACGGCGTGCAGCCTGTCGCGACGTACCATCCACTGTCCGAACCCTTCTGGCCGCTCAATCGCCCATTGCCCCTCCGGCTGACCACCTCTCGCAGCGACGCCAGTTGGCGGAGACTCGACCCTCACCAACACGAGTGAAGCTTCTGTGCGACCCCAACCCAGACCAGCCAAACTGAAGCTCCGTCCCTCCATCCATCCCCCTGGGCCCCCAAAGCCCTCCACACAAACGCGGCCAAGAACCTTGGGAGGAACAAAAAAACCCCAAAGCAGGTAACACAGTCCGCCGCGCAGGTCCAGTTCCCGCCAACGAGGGTGGTGGCGCCGCCGCCCCGCCTTACTGGGCACCACTGACAAAATGTCGGGAGATGACAATAATTCCTTCGAGTACGCGCCAAAATCGCCAGACCTGTCGTCTTTTTACTCGGGCGGCCCCACCCAGCCTGCATCGCAACTCCATCCGCCGCCTCGCGACGACCATAAATTGCACCTGCCCGCCTACGACTACGGGTCCGACCCTTCTTCCTCTTCCTACGCGCCGCCGCCGCCACCCCACGCCGCCATCCCGGCCCAGCATCCGCAACAAGTACAACAACTACAACAACAGCAGCATCAGCAGCAGCATCAGCAGCAGCACCAGCAGCAGCAGCACCACCACCATCCGGGGATCAAGTCCGAGTTCGCGTCGTCGTACTCACCGCCGCAGGTCCATCACCCGCATCCGTCCTACCTGCCTCCCGTCTCGCAGCAGCAGCCCGCCTCGCCGTCATACGTGCTGCAAGGGCCCAACTTTCAGCAGCACTATCCGGCGCCGTACGGGCAGCCGAGCAGCCACCACTTCGCCGGCCAAACTCTAGATCAGCCCGGCGCGGGGCTCCAGCAACCCCCGCAGCAAGTGCTCTATCCTCACGGCTCTGGACCCCTGCCACACCAGGCGCCGTCCCTCAAGCTCGAGCCGGACATGCCTCCGCGTCGTGCCGCCGCGGCGCCGCCGCCGGCCATCGAGCCGTCGCCCGTGAGGACAAAGTTTCCCACGGCGAGGATCAAGAGGATCATGCAGGCCGACGAAGAAGTAGGCAAAGTCGCGCAGCAGACGCCCATTGCCGTGGGCAAGGCCCTCGAGCTCTTTATGATCCAGCTAGTGTCCAAGAGCGCCGACGTGGCCAAGGAAAAAGGGTCCAAGCGGGTCACGGCTCCCATGCTGAAGCAAGTGGTCGAGACCGACGACCAGTGGGACTTTTTGCGCGAGATTGTCAGCCGCGTCGAGAACGAAAAGGAGGGCTCCAAGTCCAAGGCCAAGGCCGAGGCCGAGAGTGAGAGCGAAGAGGAGTTTTCCGAACCAAAGAGGCGGAGCCGCGCCAGCGGTGGCCGCAAGAAGAGGGCGTGAGGCGCGGATGATGCGCGTATAACGAAGGACACGACGAGTATGACTGGCGTTGCAGGAAAAGGGTTACATACATCACTGGCGTTGAGGAGTACTGCGAGGGCCGGGTCCTCGAGGAACGGGCTCCCGGCCAGGACCTAGACGTGAGATGCTTGTCACCCACGAGACGGACGCTGTTCCAATTGTGCTTTCAATTGTTCGACAAAACATGAATCTCTCGATCTGACTCACATCAATCACGTTGAGAAGATGGACGCTTGTGAATGTTGCCTCGCATTAGCGGCCGGCCCAAGGAGAGAACGTCGGGAAACCCGCCATCTGCGTGGGCTGCCCCGAGCACTCGTCGATGCTACCGACACGCCAGTCGAGGAATGCATTGTTGACGAATCCAACGCCCATGAGGTCCTCTATTCCCATATGAATCCATTCACGCAAGGAGCTGCAAACTACCGAGGAGACGTCGTGCCCAGAGCAGGGCACTGCTCCTTTTCTTGATTGCTTTTTCCTCGACGAACACGACGGAGCTTTAATCCCCGGCAAGGGGAGTCACTTTCCGCAAGGCTTGGTTTTCTCTAATTACAAAGTAGCTACATTAGCACAATGCGCGTTTTCAGATGGAGATTCCTAGTCTTGCAAATAGTAATGTAATTTTCGGGGAAGCCGCTCCGTGCTGAAGAAGGCACGATGGCAGATGTGATATTTCGACAACCTCTCACGAACTGGCACTACCGCTAAAACAGGGAGCATCAGCGGCGGTCGGGGAACGACACAGCACGTCTACATTCTACACACAGACGCGACTTGACAGACACCCACCAGATTTATTTAGCAGCTGCCCTGTCCGTCTTCATGCATGAGACGCCATCCCTTGCGCCAGGCAGGCGGGGATCCGGGTTTGTGGGCGCGCGCATCCACCCGCCAGGTCTGAGGTGCGGAGCGCGCAGCGTTAAGGCACCCCCATCGTCCCCAGTAAAAATGACGGCTCAGGGGGGGACGTTACCCGCTAGAGATGGGACCTCAACCTCCGTTGCATCCAACTTGAACGGCGAGACAGGAGGCTTCCGCTCGCCAATGGAGTCCTGGAGCCCTCGGGGGCCTCTAATACCACCCATGGACGCTGTAGGCAGCTGCCCGAGACGGACGGGACCTCCCAGTGGGGCAGGGACCCCTTCCATCGGCGGCCTCGCTCGCCCGCTGGAGCTGGACAAGCTGGAGCAGCACCATGGACAGCGCGCGTCGGGCCCTTCAAAAGCCCTGGACCAAAGGACAGGTCGACACACCAGCTCGAATTGAATCCACCCACCCGCCAAGAGCAGCAGCCCTGGAGTCCCTCCACCCCGTCCCATCTTCAACCCAAGGTCCGTGAACCCGCTTCCTGTCCCGTCCCATCCCATCCGCCCGCCTTTGCCCTCCCGCAACCGCCTTCGACACCAGGCTCGACACCTCCAGCTGCCGGCCTCCCCGGATGTCGCCCGCCGCCCTCGCGCCGTGAACCCTCTCCCGTCCTCGTCCGCGCCGCCGAGCGTCATGCAAACGCGCCTCTCGTCGCCTGCATCGCCCCGTGCCAGCTAATGAGGCACCTCATCCGCCGCCGCCGCCGCCGCCGCCGCCACCTCCCCGACTCCTGTGCCTCACCGTCCTCCGCACGTCACCGCGCGACGAGCACCAATGTCGTGGGACCTGCTGCAGCGCTTCCTCGACTCCGACGTGTTCAATTCGAACCCCTTCCTCTCCGTGTCATACCTCTCGTGAGTTGCGGCTGTCCCCGTTGCCTCCGGCACGATCGCCGCAAGCCGCCAGTCGCTAATACGTGGCCACGTCGGGCCGAGCTCGCGCAGTCGCTACGCCGACCATGTAGGAATCCACTACGTGCTGTGCAACAAGCTGAGGCAGTTCCCCTACGAGGACATTGAATTCTTCCTGCCGCAGCTATGTCACCTCATCATCAGTGTCGACAATGAGTCCATGGCCCTCGAGGAGTTCTTGCTGGACCTCTGTGAGGAGTCGGTCACCGCTGCGCTCCTGGTATGGTGACCTCTCGCTGCGCGCCGTCCATTGATTTGAACAGAGACCGGCTGACCTTTACGCAGACATTCTGGCTCTTCCAGACGTACCTCCACGACCTCTCATCGAACCCTCAATCCGGCGCATTCCAGACTTGTCGTCGAGTGTACAACAAGGTCCAGCACATTGTGTTTGGCCTGGCGGATACCGCGCGTCATGGAAAAATCACGGAGAATGTCCTGCCGGTGACGGTTCTGTCCAGCTTCGTTCTCGCCAGTGTCGCGCTGCCAATGATACCGCAATGGGCTGGGCCGCTGGCGGTCGCGCAGGCCCGGAAACCGCGACCCATCGGGCCCGAGACGGTCACGGAAACCAACGATGCTCCGAAACCTACGCGGGCCCAGACTATGACGGCTGCCACGTCGAGATCCAGGCGAGCCAAGGAAGTCCGGAAGTCCAGTGCGCCGGACGCCAAGGGGCATGCATCGGACACGCACCTAGCCGCGCCGCGCAGCTCGGCTCGCCACTCCACGTCGCCCGTGGCGCGATCCAAGACTCCGACGGAGTCGAAGAGGCCATCCGCCCTGGAACTGAAGTCGCTCGAGGCTCGGTTGAGCTCCGCGTCCCTCCCGCTACCGTCTCCGCGGCCAACGACGAGGCCGTCGACGCCCGTCTCCGCTGGCATCGCGCAAAGGCAACGCGAGGGTAGCCTCAATCGGCGCCACTCGCACCACCACAAAGTACTTGTCAACGTGGACGACATACCGCGACTACAGAAGACAAGGATGTTGAGATCGCACTACTTTAGATCGCAGACCCAGTTCCTCACGGCCCTGGAGGGCATCTCGAACCGGCTTGTCATCGTCCCAAAGGCCGCTCGGATGAGTGCCCTGCGCGCCGAATTGGCACTCATCGCTCGCGACCTTCCCGCGGAAATTGACATTCCCGTCATTTGCCCGCCGACCCTGGTGAACGGGTCTCCTGGGAAGAGCCGGCACCATAGGATCGTGCGGTTGAACCCGGCCGAAGCGACAGTCCTCAACAGCGCTGAGAAGGTGCCGTACCTCATGATGGTGGAGGTGTTGCGAGACGACTTTACCTTTGATCCCGACACCCCTGACAACCAGAGGCTGCTCACTACGCTGGCAGGCGGCAATGGGACATCTCGTCGTCTCTTCGACCTGTCATCAGAAACGCCTAGGTTAACACAAGCTGTGCGCACGCCGCCGCCCGAGCCGGTAATCGACAGCGTGTTTGAGCCCACGTCCGGCGATCTGGGCAGTTCTGCTCTCTTAACGGGCGAAGACGAGTCTCCAACCAAGTATCCCATTAGGCACCACCAGCCACAGAGCGGCCAGCGGCTGTCCAGTGGAGCGACCACTTCATCGACAACCTTGGATGCGGCTACCCCCCGAACCTCGGGCGCCTCGAGATCCAGGTCTAACAGCCCCGGGGGTCGTCGGAAGATGACACTGACGCTCCCCCGTACCGCATCTGCTGATCAGCCAGACTTTTCAGCGTTGGCCACGCACATGAGGACTGCCTCCCAGATGCTGGCACAGCTCGATGCCACGAGCGGCAAGCGACCGAAGCACGAGGTGGCTGCAATCCGAGCCAAAATCATCGCCAGCATGCAGAGCCTGGAGGAGCAAAGCTTCGAGATGGACGAGCATGGGCCGACGTTCGACACGATCATTGCGAAGACCAACTCGGGGGGCGTCACGCCGGCAGACAACCCCGACCTGGAGACTGATGCTCCCATCGACGCCACGCTCAATGCAAGCGCTGGTAGGGAGAGGATGGAAAACGACATCAAGACCGGTGGTGTTCAACGACGCGGCGATCGGGACGATCCCAGCGCAGCCGTCTTTGGAGAGGCGTGGGAGGCCAAGAAGGAGCGCATACGCAAGTCCTCACCGTACGGCTGGATGAAGAACTGGGACCTTGTCAGCGTCATCGTGAAGACGGGCGCGGACTTGCGGCAAGAGGCCTTTGCGTGTCAGCTCATCGACGTCTGCCACAAGATCTGGGTCGACGCTGGTGTGGACGTATGGGTCAAGCGGATGCGCATCCTGGTGACTGGCGAGTCTTCTGGCCTCATTGAGACCATTACCAACGGCGTATCGCTTCACTCGCTCAAGCGCAGCTTGACGCTGGCTTCGGTAGAGTCGGGCCAAAACCCGCGGCAACGCATCGCCACGCTCAGAGATCACTTTCTCAAGGCATTTGGCCATCCTGACAGCAAGCCGTATCGCGCCGGTGTCGATGCGTTCAAGCGGTCGCTGGCCGCTTACAGCATCATCTCGTACATTCTGCAGCTCAAGGACCGCCATAACGGCAACGTTTTGATTGACAGCGAGGGCCACATCATTCACATTGATTTTGGGTTCATGCTGTCCAACTCTCCGGGCTCGGTTGGATTTGAGGCCGCGCCTTTCAAGCTCACGCATGAGTACGTCGACGTTTTGGGTGGATTGGGGTCTCCGGACTATGACGATTACAAGAAAATGTGCAAGCAAGCTTTTCAGGGTAAGCATTTCACGTTGATCTGACTGAAGATGTTCTTGAGCTGACTGGCTGGCCAGCTCTCCGACGGTCCGCGGACAACATCATTGATCTTGTGGCCATGATGGGCCGCGATTCCAAGATGCCGTGCTTCGCTGTTGGCGTCTCCCATGCGACAAACACACTGCGGCAGCGCTTCCAGCTGCACTTGAGCGCCGACGAGGCGGAGCAGTTTGTGGAGACGGACCTGATAGCCAAGTCGTTTGGCAGTTACTATACACGACTGTATGCCCTCCCTGAAACCACCGTCCTGTCATCCGGTGGATACTAACGCTTCACAGTTACGATACGTTCCAATATCGCACTCAGGGCATATACTAGACTTCGCCTTGGTTGTTGGGCGAGGGCAGCAGCGCAGAGGATCAGCATTTGGGCGGACAGGACGCGGGGCATGGTAGCACTTGCTGGGTATTCAGTGTCTCCATGAGGAACCCACGCGCTTGAGGGCATATGGGCGGCGTCTAACCGGGGTAGAGCGGATCATGAGGATAGAGTGAGGCGACAGTCTGCCGGTGGCATGTACACTGAGCAGCAGATGTATGACGAGCAATGTCGCCCTCGCGCGATGGGAATACGAGTAGGGCCTGCGTCGCGCAGAGTGGGCGAAGGGTTGAACGCCGCCTCTATCGTTCCCACCTGGGAGGGAATTCACAATCCGTGACTGACTGATCGAGGGCCGTGCAAAAGTGTCACTGTCGCGCCTCTGGCCCGGCAACAACCATGAGACTACACGGCGATGAAGGCTGCATACTATCTGATCAGGCGCCACCGCTGCCTGCATATTCGTGGCTTTGCGCCTGGACATTCAGGACCCCATCGTTTATGAGTGTTGCTCCATCCGTTCGTCACAGATCAGGTGGGACGAAAGCACATCTATCTGCCCACGAACAGATAAAACGGGATGGAATGTCTACTTTATTCAGCGCAGCGTGAGAGGCAACTAGCTAACCCGAAGAGACGGATGGCCCAACGTGGAACGGCGGTATTGTGTTACGTCGGGGTGTGACGTTGCGCCACGGGACTGACGAAAGCCCATCAAGGTTGCACAAGATATAGGGGGCCTGCCTTGCCTGTCCCCTCGAAGAGCATCGGTGCGAAACTACATATTCCTCAGTCATCACTCAAGAGTTGGGACAGATTCACAGGACGAACGTTCGTGGTACGCAGCCATGTGTATTCACTTCACACACCCCAACCCCTGTTGGCAGGCCCGGCTGGCTGCAGCACGCGATGACGCCCCTTCTTCCTCATTATATACAACAGCAACCTCACAAGAACACATGCCTGACCACCACCACCAGCCCCATGGCCTCGTCAGATCGTAAGCCAGCCTTTCTTTCTTTCTTTCATACCCCAGGTTGTTCGCCTGTTGATGGCCCGCCCCCCCGGGATCTCGCAGCCGGGGGGCGTACCACGGCTGGGATCGGGGGCTGATTCGACGTCTAGAAACCCAAAAACTCCACCCGCGAGGAATGCGATAGGGCACCCCGACGTTACAAAGACGCCGCACATGGTTCCCCGACGTGCAAAGACCTCAAGTCTTCGATCCCGGCAGATAGACTCGGGGAGCCAGTCTGTCTCATTGACGCGTGGGACGGCGTCCGCGGGCAGAGCCACGCGGCTTCTAGCCCCAGCGTCCGGCCTCGCGCTCGGCCTCGAGCCGGCGCATGCGATCCTCGTCGTCGAAGCCATCTCTCGCGTCGCTGCGCCGGCTCGTCCTGCGGCTCTTTCGACCGCCGTCATCGCCGCCGCCATCCTCGCGACCTCTCTTGGAGCCGGCCTTCGCCGCCGCCATGCGCTGTGCCTCCTTCTGCACGCGTTCGAGGTTGCGCGCCTCGCGCTCGAGCGTGTGGGCGTCCTTGGGCGCGCTCGCCTTGCTGTTGCTGCCGTGGGAGCCTTGCTGGTCGCCGTCTCTGCGCTCGTGGGAGTTGCGCGAGCCCGAGCCGCGGCCGTCCAAGGCACGCGGCCCGCTGGGCGGATCAAAGGGCTTTTCGACTGCGGGTGATCTGCCGTCTGCGGAAGGTCGCCTGCTGCTGCTGCCATGGCGGCTCTCTCTCTCGCGCTCCCGTTCACGCCGACGCTCCTTGCGGTCCCTGCGGTCCCTGTCGTAGTCCTTGTCTCTCCCTCGGCGCCGTGACTCGTCGTAATCGCGGTCACGATCGCGCTCGCGGTGAGAGCGGTGGCTCGACTTGTGCCGGTCGTCGTCTCGATCGCGACGTCTGTCTCGATCTCTGCGACTCTCGCGATCGTCCTCTCTCTCCCGATGGCTGCGCCGACTAGACTTGCGAGACTCATCTGGGGACCCCGACCGCGACTGATCGCCATGGCGGTCGTCTCTGGGCCGGCGATGCTCGTCATCTTCGTCACGATGTCTTCGGTCGCCCCGATGCTTCTTGCTCCGGTGACCGTCGTCGTGGTTGCCACCTTCGGCCGATTGGGAGCGATGCCGCCGCTCTCTCTGCGAGCTTCGGTGCTCCCGGCTAGGGCTGCGACTGCGACTGCGGCCCGGACTGCGGTTGCCCCTCCGGGAGCCGGGGTGAGAGTCGTCACCGCCGTCCCTGGCCACTGACCTGCCCTCATCGCCAGCCTCGCGGTCCACAGTGCGTTCGTTACTGCGATCACGGACAGATCCAGCGGATGCGTCATGTGCGCCATCGGCGGATCGGGATTTACTCCGCGCGCGGCCGCCTTCGGCAGCCGTGTCTTTCCGCTGAGCACTTGCCGGCCCCGCTGGTGGCTGCGCAGCGCCGTCCACTTGGTAACCGCGCGCTCGGAGATGGTGAAGGCTCGTGTTCGGAAGCCCCTGTCTCATTGCTCTGGGTCCCTTGGGTGCGTTGATGGGCACGTCTGGCGCCGTCATGACGGAGCGGATGTTTCCAGACTGGCTGGTACGCGACACATCTCCAGCAGCATCACTGCCAAGGGTCTCACGGGATGCTACTCCGCCGGCGTCTGCACTACCACCGTCTCCAGAGTCTTGTCCGCTGCCCTGGGGCCCCGCGCCCGCCGACTGCCCTGGCGTGCCGTTCCCAGTCTCGTCTGCACTCTTGCCGTCTGCCGCACCCGAGTCGATCTGTCCTTGGGGTTGATTGCCGGCCTCCTGTTGGGAATAGTATCCCTGGTCCTGGTTGGCCATGCCGCCGCCAAACTGCTGGTAGCCTCCTCGGCCGTAACCGCCGCCGCCGTAGTATCCGCGTCCTCGTCCTCGGCCGCGCCCAAAGTTGTTGCGGCGATGGTCATTGAAGTGGCCATAATTGCCAGGATTGTATCCTGCTTGGAATCCTGCGTTAAAGTTGCCAAAATCACCGGTGCCCATGCCGGGACCACTTTGATTGTAATTATTCTGGTCGAAACTCCACGACTGTGAACCGTTCCAGTTATCATTGGAGCCTTGTCCGAAACCCCCACCGAAGCCGCCCATGCCGTTCATGCCCATGCCTTGAAAGCCACCGTTCATGTACATGTTCTGCATCGTCATGGGGTCCATGCCCATTCCTGAGCGGGTATTAGCACGGGCGGCCTTCTGCGTCACGGGCCGGGAAGGAGAAGGGAGGGAGCGCGTACCCATCATGGGGAAGCCACCAAAGGAGTTGCCTCCCATTCCGTTTTGCATGGCCATCATCATCTGCATTTGGTTGAAGTCGCCGCCAGGGAACATCATGTTGTTGGAAAATCCGCCGTTCGCGTTGGCACCGCTGTTGTCGTAGTTGTTCGTTTCGTTGTCGTCGTCCTCGGCACCATCGTCTCCATCACCACCGCTTGTTGTGGCCAAGGCCCCGGAGGTATCCTTGTGGCCATCGGTCGCCTCTTCGTCTTTCACCACTTCCTGGCCCGAGGTCTCTGTTGGTTCGTCGCCCTGGTCTTCAGCTTGTGGGACGGCCGTTTCGGCAGGAGCACCGGGCTTTCCGTTCGTTAGATTCGGGGCAGTCTTCCCACCAGATCGGGAGGCGCATACCTGCTCGGGCTCGCTGGCGGCGCTCGGTTGTACTGTTTCGCTCAACTGCGCATTGTCCTGCTCCGTATGAGACGTGGAACTCGCATCGGGGCCGGTAGGGGCGGTTTCTGGAAGCTGCTCGGGGATTGGCGGTTTCGCGCTTTCGACTGGCGTCGCGGGAGTCGCATTTTTGGACTCTTTCGGGCGGCTCGCTTCCCTCTTCTTCTCGGCGGTGCGAAGGAATACCCGAATCGTGGTGCGGAGTGATTTGTGCGGGTTGCAGTCGTCAGCGGCAAGGGGAGAATGCTCGCAGACCGGACAGGACTGCGGAAGGCTGGCTTGGCCTGCAAAACTGTTAGCCTAGTAACAACGAGGCTTCATCAGTCAACACTCACATGTCTCGCATATGGCCTGCTCGCAGCACGGCAGCCGAAAGGCATTCACAGCCAGCTTGCTGCAGATGGCGCACCGCAGCTTGATGGGGATGTCATCTGGGGCGAGAGAGCTAGAGAACGGTCAGCAAGCCGCAGATACTGTAGCCGCTGTGGCCAGATAGCGAAAGCATACTTGATGAGCTCAGCCTGAGCCTCGGAGATGGACACAGCCATGACGTCGGCCGCCAGGGATCCGAGTCCCTATCGCGTGCGCATGGGCAAGTCGGAGATGGGAGCGGATGCGGAGGTGAGGCGGGGATTGGATTTCAGAGGTCGATGAAGCCGCGCTCGTGGGCTTGGTGGTTCGCAACGCGTCAGAGCGCCAAACGATCGGGCCAAGGGTGACGATGCTTTGTTGCAAACGAACCGCGAGCAACGGGAAACTTTCTGGGTGATGAGGAGTTTGACGCGTGCCAGGCAAAGGTGGGTCCGCTTCGGCTGGTTGCGACCGTCACGTGACCGATCTCTCTCTCATCACCAGCGCCACGGGTGCATCTACGTACTTCGTACTCCCACACTGGGCGCTTGAGCGAGTGATGGCTTTGATGTGATTCATAGGGGATGCGAGTTGGGAGGTTACTGGATGAGGCTCCGCAGTGGCAATAAATGGTCGCCGCATCGCTGCCACGCGGCGTGCTCGAGCCTCATCCGTCACAGAGCCGCCACGGCACGGTCACGTCTCAGCCTGAAACTGCTTTCATTTCTAAGAATAAGCGTATAATGGAGGTAGAAGGAGGAGGAGAAAAGGCGCAATGACTCCCAGAAACGCAATATTGACTCCCGAATTGCACGCCTCGGAACCAGACACACTCAACCAGCCAACGCGACCAGGAACAAAAGCACAGCCGGGGAAACGTGCCGAGCTGCAGGCGACAGACAACAGCACTCGGCTCTCTTAGCATGCGCAGCCATCCTTGGCGCCCGCCTCTCTTGGGTTGCCCAGGTTCACCCTTTGCTCCTCGCCCGCACGGTTGCTGCCTGCCCCTGCGGCGGCAGCACCCCTCGCGGATTTCAGCGATGTCTCTGGAATCGCGTTTGCAATCGCTGTGAATACTTCGGACACGTTGTGGCCCGTCTTGGCGCTGGTCTCGAAGAACAGCAGGTTCTCTTCCTCCGCGTATGCCTGTGCCTCCTCAGTTGATACCTTGCGGGCGTCGCCGGATGCTTCGCCGTCGTCCGCATCCTCTCCATCAGCGGTGGCCGACTCTCCCGCCAGATCCAGCTTGTTGCCGACGAGGGCAATGACGATGCCCGGGGAGGCTTGTCGTTGCAGCTCGGCGACCCAGTGTTTCGCCTTGATGAGAGAGGTGGGCTTGGTGAGATCGTAGACTACGAGTGCTGCCTGTGCGTTTCGGTAGTACATCGGGGCGAGGGAAGCGAAGCGCTCTTGGCCGGCGGTGTCCCAAATCTCAAACTTGATCGTCCGTGTGGGAAGGTTGCATTTCTGGGTCAAGAAAGCCGCTGTGTGCTGCGGGTCAGCGCATTCTGAGCGCAACAGGATGCGATGGGGATTCGCGCGTCAGAGACGGACGTACCACCGATAGTAGGTTCCTTGTTCTCCTGGAAGTCGTTGTTGACGAACCGGAGGACCAAAGACGACTGGCGCAAATGTCAACAGCGTGGCCCAACAAAGACAGGAAGCACCTGGATGCGCCATACCTTTCCCACTGCGGCCTCTCCTAGGAGCACGAGCTTGACGCTGCTGCTCGGCTTGGGGGCGTTGGAATCCGCCATGGTATCTCACGCACGGGCAGTCTGCGGCAGCTGCGGTATCGAGGGAACGGTGACGAGGGATCGTATCGACGGTCAAGAAAGGGACGGGATGGCGATGGGTGCCTCTCGAGGTGGCTGCGAAGGCAATGTCGCTGCCTTGTCAGGGACGGATGCGCTGAGTTGACGAAGGTCGAGAAGTAGGTGGGTAGCGGTCGAAGAGGCGCAACGATGACGAGGACCCCCCAGCACAGGCGTCGTGCTCGCGCATTTGGGCGCTCAGCAGTGGCAGGGTGCGCTGCGCCGCGCCTGCAAACGGGACCCGACAGTGGATGGATGGAGCGGTGGCTCCACTGCCACACCTCCAGCCACCCGATTGTCACACAGACGCAGACAACCTGGAAGGCAGAGCAGGATGATGGGCGGCGTGGGCGGGGCGCCGCCGCCTCGGCAAAAAGTTGGGCCTGCGCCGGCCCATGCCCCGCCGAACACAGCGGCAGAAAAATACACCGCCAAAAATTCTAAAAGCGCTGCCATTCTGGCAGGGGACTCGCAGTGGCTGCTATACACCATCGACCGTCTTCAGCTTTGTCGCAGAACCTTCAAATGGCACCCGGGGCCACTGCAGTGGCAATGACGTCGAAATCGGGCGCTGCCGATGCCAAGCGCTCGAAGCGCAACCTGCTCGAAGACAGCGACTCCGACTCGGACGACGGGGGTGCTCAGATTGAGACATCCGGCTTCAAGGTCAACGAAGAGTACGCCAAGCGCTTCGAGCACAACAAGAAGCGCGAGGAGAGACATAGGTGTAAGTCAGAGCAGACTCCCTGCTCAATGCCCTGCCTATGCGACCGTCGCTGACCTCAATGCAGTGGAGGAAAAGTACAAGAAGGACGGCCGTGGCGGCAACCAGGATGACGACGGATCCGATGACGAGTCGTCTTCTTCGAACGAGACCGAAGATGAGGATGGATTCCTCGCTACCGAAGACCTGGATGCTCAAATCTCTGCCACCTTAAACGCCATCCGCAACAAGGACCCCCGCGTCTACGACAAGAACATCACATTTGTACAATTACCCGACGACGAGACCCTGGCTGCCGACAAGGCCCCGAAGGAGAAGCCTGTGTTCCTGCGCGACTATCAAAGAGAAAAGCTCTTGCGTGGAGATACCGGCGCCTCCGATGATGAGGATGACAAGCCCAAGACCTACACGCAGGAGCAGGACGACTTGAAGAAGTCGATTCTCTCGGAGATCAAGGCAACCAAGGGGGCGGACGATTCGGATGAATCCGACGACGATGACTTCATGAAGCTCAAGGAGCCCCAAAAGGCCGACGCGAACGGACTGCACCCGTCGAGAAAGGCGGCGATCAAGGCGCCAGAATTGGACGTCACCAACGCCGACAAGGACCCCGAAACTTTCCTCTCCAACTTCATGTCCTCCCGAGCCTGGATCCCCGAGGAAGGCGGCAAATGGAAGGCGTTCGAGTCCGACGAAGGGGAGGGCGACGACATGGCGGACGAGTGGGAGCAGGCGTACAACATGCGGTTCGAGGATCCCACAAAGAGCAACGAGGTCTTGAAGTCGTACGCCCGTGACTTTGCGGCTGCGAGATCCGTGCGCCGCGAAGAGAAGACTGGCAGAAAGCGCCAGAGAGAGATCGAGCGGGAGAAGAAAGAGGAAGAGAAGCGTCAAAAGCGCGAGGAAAAGGCCCGGCTGCGCAAGCTGAAACTCGAGGAGACTGAAGAGAAGCTCCGCAAGATCAAGCAGGCCGCCGGTGCTGTTGGAAAGGAGCTCACAGAAGAAGAGTGGATGCAGTTCCTCGACGGTGCGTGGGAGAACGAACGGTGGGAGGAGGAGATGCAGAAGCGGTTCGGCGACGACTACTACGCCATGGAAGACGACGCAGCCAAGTCTGACGATGGAGAGGAAGAGGAAGAGGGCTCCGGGAACGGGAAGAAGAAGAAGGCGCCCAAGAAGCCTAAATGGGACGATGACATCGACATCAAGGACATCATTCCCGACTTCGAGGATGAGGAGGCCAAGCCCGCTATCTCTCTCAGTGACGAGGATAACCAGGGCGAGGAAGCGGCTGAGGATGAGGACGAAGAGTCGCGGCCTTCGAAGAAGCGCAAGACGGCCGACCACAAGCGCGTCCGCCTCGAGTCGCAAAAAGCCGCCCGCAAAGAGCGTCAGAAGCTCGAGGCCCTCGTCGACTCCAAGATGGAGCTTGAGCACCACGACGTCCTGGGCTCGTCCTCGGGCGCCATGACGTTCCGCTACCGCGAGACGTCGCCCCAGTCGTTCGGCATGACGGCGCGCGACATCCTGCTCGCCCCGTCGGACAAGGACCTCAACGACTACGCCGGCCTCAAGAAGCTGGCCACGTTCCGCGACGAGGAGAAGAAGCGCAAGGACAAGAAGCGCCTCGGCAAGAAGGCCCGGCTCAGGGAGTGGCGGAGGGGTGTCTTCGGGAGGGAGTTTGAGCGCGAGGGCCCGACGTATGGCTTCGAGCGGTTCCTTGCCGCGGAGGAGGAGGGCGCTCCCGCGGCCGAGGTCGGCGCCTCTGCGTCGCACAAACACGGTCAGCGCAAGGAAAAGAAGACTGGCGACGCTGCGGCGGCCGAGGGCGAGGAGCAGAGCAACATTGTCGGCGAGACGGGCGGGTCTCGGAAGAAGAGGAAGAGGTCCAAAGGAAAGAACAAGGCCGCCGTCGATGCTGAGGCTTAGAGAGCCTATCTTGTTCGAAAAGGCGCCCTAGCGCTGTAGCATAGCACCATCGCATAGTCTTTCCCCCCTTCTTCTTAGAAAGTCTTACTGATACCAGACGACCACATAGCAAACCATCGTTCACAAAAGCATGAAACCGCATGAGATATTCAACTATGTTGTATACATTAAGTCCGCGCGCAAGTATTTGTCTATGCATACATAGCCCACGCCGTGTTTCAAGCATAATTAACTCGCGCGCTGCATGGTATCATTGCATCCCCCCACCTTTCCAATGGTATAGTATGTCAAGCACTGTGTTCGCCAATAGCCGCCCGCGTTGCCCACCCGTCATGCTTCCTTGGACCAATCATGCAATTATCGATTATAACTTGTATTCATAGAATGCTCCGGTCCTAGAGCCCCTCTCCACTGCCGCAGTCCCGTCATGTTCGCAGGACGGTCGCAGCATTGCAGATCCAAGACTAGAGCGCGTGCCTCAATGCGTCGAGCTGGTTCTGCGTCATGATCGGGCCGCCGCCCCCAAAGACGGTGGAGAATGGGTCGGCGTTGCTGCCTCCGTCCAGGCCCATGTTGTGGTCCACGCCAGGGGTATCCATACCAAAAGGCACAAACCAGGCCGTGGACGGGTCTGGGCCGTGAAAAGCACTCATTCCGTCAGGCGCAGGGACTTGCTGTCCTTGAACGTGTCGGCCGTTCGGTATAGAATCCTCGAGTTTCATGTTTCGCTGGCCGTCGCCCTTTCCCGGCACGCTGGCCCACCCGTTCATGCCACCGCCTACAGCGGCAGGGCTTCCATTGACTGCCCCGACTGGTTCCATGGGAAATCCGGGAAACGATATTTGCCGGTCAAGGTGCGATCCCAAGTTTCCAGCCTGCTGCGGTACATTCATCGACAGCATGTCTGCAGAGAAGAACGGGTTCTGGCTCGTCTGTTGAGGAAACTGCTCAACCTGAATGGGGCTCAGAGGTGACATGGAAGTGTATGCCGGAGTCTGCGTCTGCGGTACAACCAGAGGGCTGAACCCGGTAGGTCTGCTGGTTTGTCCGGCGAGAGCAGATGCGAACTGCCGCGGCGGCTGCGGCACAGCGCCGTTACTGGGGCTGCGACGCTGCCCGGCGATGTTCTTCGACGCCATCTCGGGATTTTGCGCTTCCCCATTGGTCGTCGGCACTTCGCCCTGCCGTCTCGCGGCTGGCTTTGTCTTTGCCGCAGATCGCCTCTGAGATTCCGCTGTATGAACCGGGGACAAGGTCGTGAAGAACTCTTCGACGGACTGGAGTTCCGCTTTCTGTTCCAGGACGCCGTCTTCACCGGCTCGCTTTCGCTGGACCGTTGAATCGGTAAGATCGGTATCGGGAACGCCGTGTGGATACTGGTTAAACCAGTCGCCATACTGGATTATGCGGGAAGGTGATGGCCCGTCTCCTCGACCCGACCGAGACGCGTCCAACGCAGTGCGGTATTGCGTGCGAATGTTCTCCACCATCCAGTGGAACATTCCCCAGGATCTCATCATTTTGCGCAGGAACCTTATGTTAACTCCAGAGTTCGTCTCTGCAGCGGCCTTGACCGTGGCATTCCCCGAAAAGATTCCCATGATGTGAATCGTGGTCGACGAAAAGGCACAATAACCGGCGAATGGGGCCGAGATGTGGCACTGGGACTGCTCTGCATCTTTCAGGATCTCCGATATGCGATTCGCAGCTGCAAACGTCTTCGCGCTGACACGCGATAGGAATTCCTTTGGCGCTTCCGTGCCGGCCCGACTGTTGGCAAACGTGACGGCGGCCTGACTAAGGAAAAGCATGTTCTGCTGAATCGACAGATGAAGGAGGAGAAATTGGCTTGCAGTGCCCTCTGTCACCTGGAGCTCAAGTGCCTGTAGCGAGTATTGCAAAGCCGAAGGGAGGTTCTCGACAAACTCGTCAGTATCGTTTACGAGAGCCGCGTAATCCGAATCCTCGCTCCACATCGGATGGGCGTCCGACTCCCTACCTCCCTGGTTAAGGTAGGTTATGATCCGGCCCCAGATAGCAATAGAGCGGATGGTATAGGCCGCGACGCCCATGTTGTTCTCCGCTGGGCTCATTTGCCTCTCGTCTGTCGTCCCGATCGGGGAGGATATCCCACTCAGCGGCTCGGTATGGACCGGCATGTCTAATTGAAAGAACCGCTCCTTCACCGGGAGCGGGATCTTGATAGTCTCTTCCTTGATGAACATGGGTCGATCGGATCCAGAAGAGTTGAACCTGTCCATGAGGAAGCACGCCCACATCGTTCTCCGACGGATTTCGCGATCAATGAAACTGAGTGGGGTCTTGTTGCGGCACAGAGGGTCATACTCCAGGTCTTTATGCAGCTGCAGGGCGAAAGCCATGCGAATTGCCTGGCCGCCCAACGCCCAGCTCCGGCCGCCGTGGCACGTACCGAATTCGTGAAGCCCTAGAATCAGAAGGCATGTTAAGATCGTGATGTTGGGCCACTCGTATCTCTTGGTGCAGATATCCCGGGCCTGGGACGCCCATTCTTCTCCGCGGAGGAATGGCCTTGCCGAGGGGCTGATCTTGGGATTCGGCGTAAATCGCGCAGCAACCGCGCAAACGGACAGCACCAGCACCGGAGGTAGGGCATCGTTTCTGCCCGATGTCAGCCCGGTGCGCAAACTTCTCAGCCATCCTCTGCACAGTCGAGACCTACCTCAACTTCCGCATGTAGCTGGGCTTGTGGAGCAAATGGTACGCTTGTCCGTACACATTGTCGAAGAAGACCTCGGCTAAATGCTCCTGGACTTCCTTTGGCGGCAGGGCGTCGACGCCTTCGCGAGACAGCTTGTCTTCCTCTTCTTCTTGTGCCTCGGTAGACGACTGTTGGTCCCCGACTTCAGCAAGTTTTGATTTGGTCGGAGCCTTCGCCCAAGCCTCCAAATCTGAGCCGAATGCCTCGTCGGCGCCTCGCTTCTTAGAAAACGGCTTGCCCGATGGCTCAGTGCCCGGGATCGCTGGCTTAACGACGGCACGGGTGATGAATGGAGTTCCTTCTTGCTCAGTCTTGGGGATAATCTTGATGATGCGCTCTTCCATGCGCTTTAGGCGCTTATCGAGCATAGCCATGTAGTCGGTTCGGGGTGCGGCCTTGCGCGTCGTGACTTTATACACGCACGGTATCCGGGACCTCAGGCAGTGCTTGCAAGCGGGCTTCTCGCCAGAGCAGCGGATTTTCTTGCGCCTGCACGCGATGCAGGCGAGCGGCAGGCGCTTGCGATCCTTGCCAGCCTTCGTCTTGAGTTCGCTCCACGCAGGCGGCGCGTCTGACTTTCCGTCCTTCCTGCCGCCGAGGTCGCTGCCGTCTCCACGACTGAGACCGTGGAGGCCGAACTCATCCGCAACGGGGTCCTCGAAAGTGTTGGCCGTTGGGGAGTTTCTGTCGACTCCGCCGTCGTCATCCGACTCCACGGGGCTTGATCTGTGGTTGTCCGAGTCCATTGCCAGCGAGGACGTGGGCATGGCGACCATGGGGGCCATTGGATGGGGCTCGGGAGGGAGTGTGGCTGCCATGGTGCGGTGCTGCGAGAACTGCGCGGCCGCAGGTCCTTCGTACCCGACATGAGACACATCTGCCATGGGCATCATATGACTGCGAACCTGGTCTGGCAAGCCCGAAAAGGGGAAAGAGAATTCGGCGAATTGCGAAGCATCCATCATGTGGCCAGAGCCGCCGTGTATGCCGGCCCCGTCGCGCTGCTGCTGGAAGAAGGGTTGTGAACCTGTCGGAAGGCCATGCTGGGCCTGGTGAGCATGGGGCTGGACGCCTGACATGCTGCAGGGCCTACCGGATGCGCAGCGGGAATCGCACAGCACCGAGGATTGCTGCTTTCAGAGTAATATGTCGTTGTGAAGCCGAACGCCTATTTCGGGCCGTCGATTCGGGCATGGGCCGGCGAAGGAGGCCGAGCAGGTTCGTGTCAATCCGTTTTGTCTGGGCGGCGGCGGACGCGGACCGTGGGCATGGTACGACGCAGCGGCCGAGCGGGTATTTCGGGGTCAACGGCGTGGCTACGACTTGTGTTCCGTCGAGCACGCCTTGCCGTCGGTCCGTCCAAGCTCCTTGCGTCCAAGGCCGCGGCCAGATGGAAGACGAGTACAGAGCAGTTGGAGAGGTGGAAAGAAGGAAATCAACACAACCGGCCGGACGGGCATGGCACCCATCAGCGCAGTGGGTGGAGGTGCTTGTTAAAGGTGGAGAGAATGGCTACCAGGCAAGCAACCGAGCAGGAGCCACACCCTCCGGCGCCGGGGAGGGGGAGGGATGGATGGCTGGATGGATGGATGGGCGGATGAATGAATGAACGGAGAGGAGCCAGTTGCCAGGCCGAGCGGACCCCCCTGGGCATGGCGATAAGGCTCAGTAAGGCTAAGGCGAGGCAAGGCTCATTGGTGCCCACTGCTCGAGCAGGCCGCTGCACTGTGATCATAGTTGTAGCATAGCATGGCATGGACACCGCTGGAGAATCTCTCTCAGTCTCCGACCTGGGTTCGAGGGGGAGCCCGGGACTGGTGCATTGTGTGGTGGGGGGTGGGAACAAACTCCCCATGGAGCCGGGGGTCTGGCTCCAGGAAGAGGTGAGCGTCGGTGGAGAAGGAAGGCCGTAAGTGGAGCAGGGTTGCGATGGCCCTGGCCGCGAGATGGGGGAGGACATGGATGCCAGGGTGCCGGGGCATTTCGAGGTGAGGCATCGATGAATGCCTGGAGAGCAGCACCCTTGGGGGGTTTCGTTTTTGCAGTTGCAGTTCCTCAACCTGCCTCCAGGCCTTCCTCTTCCTCAAGCATGTCGCGAGTAGAGCCTCAACGACGAGCCGGGCCCGCGAAGCGTTTGAACCCCCAAACGTGCGGCCCGCCCAAGTCGGGTGCAGCGTGGAGTGTGTCTGCAGGAATTGTGGCACACGCCACTCCCACGCTCACCCCGGAACTCCGGCTTGACTGTCCTCATGGCTTCACGGCCGTCTTGATTCGCAAAACCCGGAGCTAGTGGGCAACGAACGCACCTCTGGCGGCTCCCCTTGTGGGGCTGGCCGATGGCATGCTAGCCCGACGGAATCGAAGTCAAAATGGCTTGCTCTCCATGCGAGAGTTGGACGGGTACATCGCGGGTGGCGCCCGTTGCTGAACTGGGACTGACCAGCGCATCTCGAAGTCTCTGTCGACAGCCACCGCCAACAGACGAGCCGGTTGGCCAGATCGCAAGCATGGGAAAGGATGTGTGCCTTCCAGCCGTTCTGAAACTTGCAGCTTGCAGGCCGTAGCGACAGACGACACAGAGTTGGCCAAGCCAAAGAGCATCGTGTCTGCTGTTGTGTTGTGTTGGGTCTGCGGCTTCTGGACCTGACTGGCTTTTGCGCCCGAGGAGGGGGGGAGTCGCGCCCGAGGGTGTCTGTCGAACATGAACGCCTGCTTTTGGGTGTGTCCACGCCGCCATGTCTTGGTTTGGCAGTCAAGCATTGTGGTGCAGCATCCGGGGCAAAGAGCGAGTGAAGGTGGAGGGGCCAAGCTGCTGCTCCCCGCATCAGGGGTAGCTGGCCAGTCCCTACGTACTGGTTTGTGTCACAATGAGACAGCACTTTGCGGGCGACCGCCCAACGGAGGACCGAAGGACGGGTAACTCACTTTGCACGTACGGGGAACAAGCGCCGAGGGCATCACGCAGTCCGGGTGTTCGCTGCACGGGACACAGCTTGGTCTTTGGTAGCGGTGCGTCATGTCGACCCTCAGGTACGCACTCGGGAGGCTTCTCGTATGCATCCCACATGGGCAGAGCGGATAGCGCTGCCCTTGGTTCGTGCTGTGCTCCAGTGTCCTGGGACAGAGGATTTGCGGGCGAACAAAGGCGTGAGGCGAACAGTCAACACGTGCTGAAGATGGCCCATCGAGGGCGGAAGGAGACCGAGCAAAGAGGCATCGTCCAACTGAGGCAAAAGCAAGACGCCCATCAACGCCCAGTGACGCCCAGCGCTAGACAGGGTTGGAGATCGACGGCGGTAGGACATCTCACAAGAACAGGCCCATTACCGGACCAAAGGCACGAGGTCTGTACCCGTGTCTGTTTGTACTCGTCAACGTGCTTTGCGAAGGCCGGCGTTTCCGTGTTGAGAGAAGGGTGGATGGGTGGGCGGGCACCGACATGTGGCCCAACGCCAACAAAGGCTACCGCTGTGGCGCGGCTACGCCCGCTTGGGGTTTGGAGGACGGCCATGCTGAGGCTGTCGACTTTGGAAGTGACCCTGAGGCTGCCGCACGGACGGATAAGCTTGCGCGCGGCGCCATTGCACCATGAGAGAGAAGTGTGTGTGGCGGGAAAGGGCAGGACGCTGAGCTGGGGCCGGGCGCCCAGGGTGGCATTTCCGAAATACCTGAGCTGGGCAGCCACAAGTTCCACAGGCTGCTGTCTGTACTGCGTGGTCTGTACTGCGCGAGGGGAGGCAGATATGTGCTTGCCGTTCGGTCAAGTCGACGGACATGTATCATGAAGTGTCGTTGAGGCGCTCCCGAATCCCGACAGACTCGCTTGGGACATCCCTGCTGCACCGCTCAGCGGCGTGCCTTAGAGTTTCGTCATTGAACAAGCAGACGATTGCGTGCAGTGCTTTTGCTTTTTGCTGGTCCCGTGCTGATCATGCATGGTGTCAAGGGCCAACGGGAACCGACCCGACGCGCTGGGGCGGCCGCGAGGGCCAAGTCCTGGAGACAAACAGAGTCATCGCGGGCCACGGAAGCGAGGTAGGTTTGACAGGGCGACGAGCATGACAGGGGCGACTTCGCAGACCACAGCGGTGGGGGCCAAGCTGGGACTCCGGCTGTCCGTACCGGGAGCCTTGTGGACGGGGTGCAGTCGGCCAAATTCGCCACGGGGGGGCCGTGTGCTGCTTGAGTCTGGAGGGACCCCCAGGTCAGGCACAGCACTAATACCGTGAGTATACTCGCAAGAAGGTGGTGGTGGAGCATTGTCCATTCGTACCTGATGCACCACGATTCCGTATTGCAGAGTCAAGGAGCAGAACCAGGGATGTTGCGAGTCTGCCTCTGCGGGTTGGCACTCATGCGTGCGCCGCCCAGATGAAGGGAAGTCTGAGGCTTTGCAATGAAACGCGACGGACGAGGGTGCATAAGACGGAGATGTCGCGGCGGCCGCGGCCGTCAACATGCAGTGCTTGGCTGGATGTGAGGATGAGGCAGGCACTCACTTGGGGAGGATGGTGGACGTCGTCGGCAAGCCGACCCTGGTTTTGATCTACATTATACAGAGTACCTACCTGGTACGGAGTACAGCGTAATACCTGTAGGATTTACGGAGAACCTGTTTGAAAAACTCGTGGGTGGCTCCTGCCCGTGCTGACAGCTGGCAGGGAGGAGCGGAAGGAGCACTGAAGCATGCGGCTTTCGCCGCTGCCATGGCTGGCGACAAGTTTGAATTTCAACGTTGAGGGTGCCGTGTGCGAGGCAGGAGCGCCTCACTAGTCCGCCGGGGCATGGCAGCAGCCACTCGCATTCGTCACTGCTTTTGTAACTCAAGGCAGCAGCCTTGCCCTGGGCGACTCGCGATGCCTGCCGCAGCCTCACGAACAAACCTCTCTCCGAGCTGCCCACGCATCATGCAGACTCGTGCCTACGTACCGTATCAAGTCCATCGCGCTTCTCTCCGCCTCACTCCTTCGGCTGCGACTAAAATACCCAAGCGGCAGCCGCTGTCCAATGTTTGAAACCACGCCGTGCAGCCCCCGTCTCGGGCCCCTTCCGTGTCGTGCGCATTGCACATCCGCCTTTGCGAGACAGAGATTAACTTTGTTTTTGAAGCAGCCTCGTGACTGAGCTTAGCTTCATGCTCGCTGCGCCAAACGAATCCCGCACCTCCCGTTCCTCGCTGCAGCTGCTGGCCAATTTTGTCCTCTTGGCGAGTCTCGAAACATGGAGCCCTCGCTCGTCGACCAGGTCCGGGGTCGGGGCCAGGGAATGCCGCCCGTGCTCAGCGACCACAGGGCCACCCGCACGGGTCCTGCGGCTTTGCGCACAACTTCTTTCCGGCGATTACACCCCGGATGGCATTGATTCGGCCTTGCGAGCGGTACGGCCCTGCCGGTGCATTGCACATACACGGTCCTATATCTCGTCGTCGATATTCACAGCCCCGTCTTCGTTCCAACCAAGCCTACCCACGGGCGCTCCAACAGTTGCCTCAGCGCCGAGTTTGAGCAGAACGTCCCTGTCAAGGCACATTTCCGAGGGATCAGGATGTACGCATGCACGGCCGAAGCATCTCGGGTTTCCCATCGTCGAACCCGCCCATGCACCTCTTTAAGGGTCGCGCCAGATCTATCATATTGAAAAACCAAAGACCCACGGTGCCTTATTAATATGCCATGCAAGGGAAAGGATCCGACAGCCGAGTTGGGCATGCAAAGGGCGGCAGCCCTGGGAGTTCTTCGGGGCCGGATGCCCAACTACGATTTACAGCACTTCGTTGTGATATCCAGCTGGGTGCCGCACGCTTCGACAGGAATGCCTCCACGGGCCTGGCTCTGAACCACCGTGCAGGGCATCAGACAGCCCCTACATCCATCCCACCACCAGTGTCAGGCCTACGGGACGGAGAGTATCATCCTGCTGGCTCCGCGTGGATTGACCGCCTGAACGTCCGTGCCTCTTTCACCGTCCCTGAGGTTAACGCTTGCCACTCCCGCAATGGCCGCGGTGGACCTGGCTTGGCAAGAGACATCAGGCACACATCGCACCCAGCTTGGGCAAAAACCGTCCATGTTCATACCGG